GAATTATATTTATTAAGTAGTTAATAATTAGTTTATAAGTTATTCTTAACTTATTAATAATTAGTTATATATTATTATAGCCTTTAGGCTTTTATAGTTATTAGAAAATTACTAATACTAATCTATAGCTTTTAACTATTATTATAATATTAATATATTAAAAATAGATTAGTAAATCTCTAATTAGTAATATTAAATATAATATTAGAGATTTAATTATAAACTAAATAATTATAACTTTAGGTAAAGAGTTAAGTTATTTAGTTAAAAATAATAATAAACTTTACTTAAATAAATAATTACTTTTATATTAGATAATTTATATTTAAAGAGGTTATCTTAATAAGTTTTACTATTTAAATATATTTAATAACTTATAAAATTTTTATATAAAGTTATTATATAAAAAAGTAAAAGTATATTTATTATAATATATTTATAATAAAATAATAATAGGTTTAGAAATAGTTATATTATTAATAAAGCTTATATACTTTAAGTATATATTAAGTAGAGATTAATTCTTTATTAATTAGTAAATATATTTATCCTTTTATTATATATCTAGTATAGTTAACTAATAGGTTATACCTTAAATAAATTTTTAAAGTAGGGGGGACCTTAGCTAAGGGTGCCCTCCCTTAGCTTAACTCACTGAGGTACCCTCAGGTGAGTTACGACCCTAATTCACACCACCACCAACGCCACCCGCACCGCCACTGCCGCCACTGTACTATCGATTTAGTATCGGTTTAGGGAATAAGCAACACAGGAGCAACACTGCGAATAGCACCGCCAATGATGTGCGAAACAATCACTGTGAGAAGTCATCCATAAGATCTGCCCGAAATTTTACAATCAATCATTGTAGTAAAATGTCGCAAGGGTGAGTGAGGGCTCTTGGGCTACGAGTGGCGTTGCTCTCGGTATCGCCTACCAATGTCGCTGCTAGTTAGCGGGTACTTGCAGATGGTGGTGAGTAATTGCAGATTGGCAAATCGCAGCAATCGCTAGCTGTGGTTTTCTCAATTGCAATCGTGAATGAGCAGCTAAGCTACACCACTTGTAGTTGCATAGATGCTGTTCGCGGTTACATCTGGTGGAGCTGTACGGATTAACGGGTTGTACGGATAGATCTGGCAAAAAGTAGGCCAAAAATGGAGACGACATCACTAGGGGCAAGGTAAAAGCCTAGAGTATGAATCTTAGTGGCGGCGGCTTGATCCGCTTTTGGAAAAACGATTACGATTATATTCAACGTTGCTTGAATGATGAGAGAGTAGTGAATTTTAGTCAATATCTTGCAGGCTATGCATAAATCGTCTCTTTTATGGAAGCAAGCACGGGATGCAGCTTGCGAGTATTAATCCTCCTGGCTGCTTTCTATTTGCCCACCCTGTCAAGCGTCTGACTGAGCATTGCCAGCCACTATGGAGCTACAACCGGCACTAACACAAGTCGTCTATCAAGACTTCACCTCCAGGCACCCTCCTTTGTACATACATGCAGGCATCTTCGTATTATAGCTGCAAGACTACCCGGCCTATAACCACCCGGTACAGGCCAAGGCTTCACGACAATATGCTGCAGACGTCTTCGTACATAACCTTGCCTAGCCGAGCTCGCCAACCCTGCTTTTCCTCCCTTCGGTCTGATCTAGTGATTGTATACCCCGCTTCTCCAGATCCCGATTTGCCCGACCGCTCCTCCCGAGATGCCCAACATTCATCCGCTAAAACAATTCACGACATCATGACAGACCATTCTGGACTAATGCTTGCAGGGAGACAATATACCAGTAGCCCCGGGCTCCCCTTCTTCTCCCCCTCCCTCGCATCATGCATCATACAAGTAGCTGGATTCAATCGTACTGGCCTGCGGTCATTTTTTTTTTTCCAAATCTTTGTCTTTTACATTTTTTTCGCTAACCTCGTCTTGGCCTGAAAAATTCGCCGGAAAAGATGCTTCTTGGACTTTTGGCTTTGGGCCAGCTCCTCTACGCTGCTGCTGCAGCGGCTACACAGGTTTCCGATGCGGCCCAATTTGATGTTCTCGACTATGTAGACCCGCTGATTGGAACTGTCAATGGAGGTTAACAAGATTAATCGTCTTCTATCAAAGAAATATATGCTAATAGTCATCTTCCGCATCAGGCCATGTTTTCCCTGGTGCCAGCCTACCATATAGCATGGCCAAGGCCGTCGCCGATGTCAACGAGGAGATTCAGGGCGGCTTCGCGTCCAACGATGCAGACAGTAGGATATGCGATATGATTTCTACTCTTCTAGCTACTGACAAGATTCCACAGTCACCGGCTTCTCCCACATGCACGACAGCGGAACTGGTGGTGTAAGCCAGGGCAATCCCGTCTTGACACTCGACTACCATCTACAGCAACGCTGACATGTTCCTTGCAGGCCGCTTCACTTGGCAACTTTCCCATCTTTGCGCAGACTGGATGCCCTGGTAATGAGCTAAACAGATGCTATTTCAATAAAATTACTCGCGCCTCTCAGCGCAAGAACGGCACCGTCGCCGCACGTCCCGGCTACTTTGCTGTTACCCTCAACACGTCCATCACGGCCGAGATGACCGTTTCCAACCACACCGCTCTGTATCGCTTCACCTTTCCCACTGACGGGACCCCCACAAAAAATACAGATCCGCATGTTCCTTATGTCCCCCTTATCGTCGCTGATCTGTCTGATCTGTCCGAGTCACGCGAAAAGGCCACAGTATTGGTGGACGGGGCGACGGGACGCATCACTGGAAATGGCACTTTCAAACCCTCGTTTGGTGTTGGTACCTATGAATCTCACTTTTGTGTCGACTTTCACGGTGCCCAAATGCGCGGCAATGGTGTCTGGATAAACAACCGTGCTGGCAATGACCCCAAGAGCCTCAACGTGACGAACAATGTCCCGGCCGGGGCTTGGGTCCAATTCGAACCACCTCAAAACAACCAGATCCTGGTCCGTGTCGGACTCTCATTCATCAGTGCTGATCAGGCTTGCAAAAACGCTGAAAAAGAGATTCCCAACTTTGGCTTTCGGAAAACTCGTGACCAAGCCGAGGCTGCCTGGCGCTCCAAGCTGAATGTTATCGAGGTGGACAACACGGGTATTGGCAAGTCTCTGCAGCGGACTTTTTGGAGTGGCTTCTATAGAACTCTCATATCTCCTCAGGACTATACTGGTCGGTTTTACTGCGCGTACTTGATCTTTCAGCAACTCATTTTTGATTCTAGGTGAAAACCCTCTCTGGAAGAGCGATGAGCCATACTTTGACTCGTACTACTGCATCTGGGACAGCTTCCGCAGCACCCACCCTCTTCTCACCCTTGTTGATCCCCACGCTCAAACGCTGATGATCCGTAGTCTGATTGACATATACCGCCATGAGGGCAAGATGCCCGACTGTCGCATGTCTCTTTGCAAAGGTTTTACCCAGGGAGGTAGCAACGCTGACAACCTGCTTGCCGACTCGTATCTCAAGGGCCTCACTGACGGAATCGATTGGGAGACGGGATATGAAGCCGTTATTTCGGACGCTGAAGGTCTGTCCCTCCCACAAATTCCCCGTATTTTCTGTTCCAATATTGAATACTGACGTTTTTTTCGTTTTCCCAAGACGAGCCCCCTCTGTGGACGGTTGAAGGTCGTGGCGGCCTGCACTCCTGGAAGACTATGGGCTATATTCCCACCGACGACTTTGATCCGTATGGCGTGGGCATCTACACTCGCAGCATCTCTCGCACCGTTGAGTACAGCTACAACGACTTTTGCATTGCCGAGATGGCGCGCGGCATGGGCAAGGTCCACGATGCCGAAAAATATCTCAACCGCTCCGGCAACTGGCTCAACATGTATGACTCGCAGTCGCGCTCGCGCCTCAACCTCACCGGCAGCAAAAACGAGGCCGACTTTGTGGACAGCGGCTTCCAGGGCTTCCTGCAGCCGCGCTACCTCAACGGCACCTTTGGCCGCCAGGACCCGGCCATCTGCACCGACCTCTACAACTTCACGTCGTGCTACCTTAACGAAAACGGCCACGAGACGTACGAGGGCGGCTCCTGGCTCTACACCTTTTACATCCCGCACGACGTGGCGACCCTCGTCCCCACGCTCGGCGGCACCGACGAGTTCCTGCGCCGCCTGCGCTACCTGCACGATACGCCCGGCCTGTTCTACATTGGCAACGAGCAGTCGTACATCATGCTCTTCCTCTTCCACTACATTGGCCGCCCCGGCCTGTCCGCCGAGCACGCCCACAAGTACATCCCCAGCGCCTTCAACGACACCCTCGTCGGCATCCCGGGCAACGACGACTCGGGCGCCATGGCCAGCTTCACCGCGCTCACCATGCTGGGCCTCTTTCCCATGAGCGGCCAGGACGTCTACCTCATCACCGCGCCCTTTTTCCGCGCGTTTAGCATCCGCAACTCGGTGACTGGCAAGACGGCCACGGTGCGCACGCGCAACTTTGACGCCGCCTACAAAAACATTTACGTGCAAAACGCGACGCTCAACGGCCGGCCGCACAGCAAGAGCTGGCTGACGCACAGCTTCTTCAGCGAGGGCGGCGTGCTGGAGCTGCACCTGGGGCCCAGGGAGAGCGGCTGGGGCAGCGGTCCTGACCATGTGCCCCCCAGTGCGTCGACACATTTCTGGAAGTAATGGACAGAAGCTTGGAAACCCAAATGAGCAATACCCGTACGGTGCGGGAAGAAGTAGGAAGATTGTGACTTGGGCCTCTTGGTTTCAGAAATTGTCTTTATTTAATAAGACTAATCAGAAATATTCATTCAGTTGAAGAATTGCTCTTCAACGTTGGCATCAGCTGCAACTGTGAGCGTGTGATGAGGATCCCCGTACCTCGAACCGCAGACACAGAAGTACAGGCTCATTTCAACCTCTCTCTCATATAGTAGATATCGAATAAAGAGGAGGAACATAATGATTCCCCCCAAAAAAAAATGTACAGCACGGCTCCATCAATACCGAGCGCCGTCAGCGTGTGGTCCGGTCCAGCGTAGCACATATTAGTGCACATGGAATCTCTCAATACCACCTGTCTAGCCGGAAGTAGCGTCGACGACCTTAGCTTCAGGGCTCCAGCCGGGCTGTGATGCAATGGAGAAGAGAGATGCCCATGCTACAAGGTAGTGACCAGAGCCGTAAGGAATTTCCCCGCCGGTGGCCATTGCTCAGAGAGACAATATAATAATGCAAAGAGGAAGATTTGCATTTCAAAACAGATTGGCAGTGACCAATCATGCATAATTCTTCGAGTGGATTTGATTGTCTGATCGACATAAAATTGCAGGTAGTTGTCGCATCGACTATCAGTGACGTAGTCCCGGCATCCCACATTCAAGGGCCATGGCTCTGACTGCTGTAGTCTGACTCTTTCCAGCCGTCGGAGTGAGAGGCTCACCCTGAAGAGCAAGAATACTACCGTCAATTTGCTCGAGCGTAAAGTCGGCATAGTCCTCTATTCCAGGACATGTCTCAATTGTTTCTTTGTATTGCGAGAGATCTGGTATTGGAAGCCGGTCATTACTGGCGTCGTAGAGACGCCGTGCATTCGTTCTTCAGATTTGGCAAAACATTATATTTTGGCTGATCACTTGGTCGGGGCGTCTCTTGGAGAGTTAGCAACTGAAGTCTGTACCTAGTTTGAGGGATTTAGTCTGCATACCGTGTGAGCAACCTCTCCGATTTTGCCAAGCTTCAGAGTCATGGCCCGGTCCCAGAACCGAGATATTCAGCGCTCAAGGGGGGTAGGCTCTCTCCTCTTCTATTTTCTCAAAAGACAAAACTCGTGCACAAGGCTGACTCGGATTCTATTGGCTCGTGTCGTTGGTGTTGCGGTTCTGCAGTTTGTGCATCTTTTCGTGATGTGTGTATTGTCTCCGCAGAAAGCGCACGACTGTGCCTTGGGGCAGTCCACTATCAAGTGGTTTTCGAATTTACAATATACGCAGATATTGCACCTGACGCAGGTGGCCCTGGAATATCCCATCAGCCCACAGCGCGTACAGCATTTGTCGTCGTGGAATGCCGTTGCGAGACTTCAGCGTGGCTTGGCAGCAAAATGTTGACGAAGAGGATGGATGTTTCTGCGTTTTCACGCTCAGGCGGGGTTCTCCATTGAGCAACGAAAACGAACACAAAATCAAGCCAGCACAGGATACTCTTTTTGTGCCTAGGTTCGCAAACGGAATCGAGGGTGAGCCAGTTGGTCAGAGGGGTGAAAATGATAGAGAGTATAATTACAAATTCGCGCTCGAATGCCTAACAATTGACACTTTGGCCGAGTGGTTAAGGCGGTGCCCTGCGTATGTATACACAATCACCGACTTCCAAGGACTCTTTCGCTAACAGCCTCACTAGTAAGGCATTACGTTCGCGTGCGTAGGTTCGAATCCTGCAGGTGTCGTATGAGTATTTTTTGCCTTCTAGCCCCCTATACGTTTTTTTCCGAGAAGAAAACGTGGAATCATTTAAATCAGGATAGATAGCTTTATTAGGATAGCAAATATATTAAGCAGAGAACAATGATAAGAAGGGGTCTTGATTATAATTCGTGTAATACTCTCTCGTATATAGAAGGCTACTAGCGATCTGTTTATCACCCTAATAGTAAGACCAAGTCATAAAGACACCTACCGTGCGCTAAGATAGCTGACTTTAGGCGTAAGGGGTATCGAGTCTGACTTATATTATGCTTGTTAATGCATTCTATCTAACAAGAAAGAGTCATTAAATTACGTTTAGTAAGAGATAACGTACTAGACAGAAAATAGTTCTATATACACGAAGGAGAGACTATTACTTTAGTTAGGAATATATCGGTTAGGTTCGACCGTCTCTGTGCGCAGAGATATATAAGTAGCCTAGAAAGTCTAGCTAGCAGAGAGGAATCATTAATCTATAGACTACTTCTAACTGTATATCTACTAGTAAATAGTACTCGTAGAGTATTGCGATCCTGTTAACTGATTCTTAGTCTTGAATAGAGGACTTGTTAGAAATAACAAGTCACTAGTCACTTCTATCCACAGAGGCGTTGGTGCTAGATGCCCCCGTGGCTTAACATTACGGGCCGTGGTATATATAGCGGCTGTCAGTAGTGTCGCTACGAGAGTACGCGCTCCTTACACGGGTACAAAAACAGATATACATGTCGAGTAACGTCTAGCGAATTATTTCTAGGCTATCGCAAGAAATATCAGTCTTTTTACGATAACACTAAATGAGTACGAGCTTATAGGATACTATAGAGTATAGTATCTGTTGTCATGAGAAATACTATATACTTAATATATAAATACATCTTAGATAGAAAACTCAGGGCATCATATACTTATTATTAATCCGTATATAGGTATAAAGAAGCGACTCACAGGATTACTATAAAAGAGTAAATAGCAAGACTCCCTAATTTAAGGAATGAGATAGGCAAAAAAGAACTCGTCACCTGCAGGATTCGAACCTACGCACGCGAACGTAATGCCTTACTAGTGAGGCTGTTAGTGTTGATGGCTATATGAAGATCGGTGAGTACATACGCAGGGCACCGCCTTAACCACTCGGCCAAAGTGACTTGGTTGAAAATGGCGGCTTTATTTGATACTATACGTTGAACAAGAAAGTTTGGCTACAATCGCCTTCAACCTTGACTCATCACAAGTTACTCCCAACCTGCCAATCAACCACAATCGAGAACCAGACGGGCTCCAGGTTATTCGCTCAGCTATGGCCGTACATACTGATGAATGCTTCTAATTGTATTTTAACAACATTGCGCAGGCAAGTGCTCCAGACTCAAATTGTAATTGGCAGACTGAAGAGACAAAAACACCCTGGCCAGCAGATGAAGACTCTAAAAAGCGTGTAGCTTGTTATTTCTATGCGCACAATAAGTAATCAACAGCGAGCCGTGCTCATTCTAAATATAAAGAGATTTCATTGAAAAAAAAAAGATATATATTCGCTTCCATGACGCGCAATTCGATACAAACAAAAAAGATACGCTACGCATAAAACGATGTGAATCGACTGTATTTGGATGACGAATGGACATCATCGCCTAGGCAAATTCATTCTTCCAAAAGATGCGCCCGCCCTCAGTCCCGTGTTCCAGCCCTGCGTGACCGAGTTCTTGACAATCAAGGCCGCCGCCGCCGTCGCAGCCTGGCGCTCCTTTTGCCTGTGGCGCTCCTTGAGGTAATGCGCGGCCTCAGGACGCATGCGCAGAATGCGCAGAATCATGTCGTCGCTGGGGTCGGCTTGCGTCTCGCGGCGCTTTGCCTCCTTGGCCTGGCGCATAGTGCCCAGATTGCGGCTCATCATGATACTTTTGCCGCGACGAATCGTGCCCATGCTTGCAAAGGCGCCTGCGCCGCCAAGCGCGGCCCCAAAGCCTGGCGGCGCTGAGTGTCGCATCGCCTGCTGGTTGCTCAGGAGCGCCTGCTGCGCACGCTGCGCCGTGGCAGAGGCCATACGCTCCGACTCCCGGATGAGGCTGTTCGTGTCTTCAAAGTAAAAGAAGTTGAGCGACGCCAGCTCGTGCCACTTAGGCGACTTGAGAACCTCGGCGGGAACGCCAAGCTGCTCGCCAGAGTCCTGTTCCTTGGCATTGAAGAAGACAAACAAGAGCTCGAGCCATTGGTAAACAATGTCCAATTCTTTTCGGCTGAGAGCTTTCTGTGTTGATGGCTTGTCGGAGACGGGTGGGACAAGCAGGTTTTCAATCGTCAAGAGGACTTCTTTCCACAGTCGTGTCATAACGGCAATCATTGTTGCATCAGTTAGCGTCTGCTTCATGATGGTAAAGTTATCGTTAAAATAATCAAATAGCGGCTTCAGGGCATTCTCAATGTGTGCCGGCGTCACTACTGGAAGAGTAGATGTACGTTTCTTCCACAAATTGGTCACCTGCGAACTAAGGCCATTCAATCCTAGGATGCCCCGTAGGGTTTCGACGGACAGCGTCGAGTTGATTTGACTTGTAAGCTGTTCTTCGATTAATGACCGGTCATTTGCAGAGGTCCTGGTACCACATACCTTGTCGGTAATCTTGCGCACCATGTCTCGCTCTGCTCTTTTAAGGTGACGGAAAGCCTTGCCAAAATGAAACTGAATATCGTCGCGCTCGCCTTCCATGCTTATTCGAATAAGCACTCGACCTTGGGTGTCCAAGTCGAGCCAGAATTCTCGAGGAAGATAATCACCAAAATGAACAGGGTCGATCTTCAACGAGGTTCGGCCAGCACAATCGTGGTTTCCAAACGTGTCGTAATCCCAGACAGTTGCGATCAAATTCACCGGACCTTGCACAGTAAACTCAAAAGACTCGTCCCATCGCGGGTTAAGGTTCTTGTAGATGATACGGGTTTTATACAGACGCTTGTTGACCTCGTCTCCAAAGACGACATAAGGGTCGCTGTAGCCGCTGGGATCGCAAGCCTTGAGGTCTTCTGCTTCAACAACCTTAATGGTGAATGTGTACTTGCTTGGCTTTCGTGTCTGCTTTCTAGGGCCATCAATCTTTTCCAGCAATTCAGCGCAAGCATCCGAGTGCATGCTCTTTTCCAACTTGTCAAGTTCTTGCATTGCAAACTCGATATTGTTAAGCTTGACAAAGGACTCGGCAAAGAACTGAAATGGCTCTGCCTTTTCTTTGTTATTCCAGGCATCTTTGGCGTACTGCATCCATTTTTCTTGAGTTGACTTGGTCTGCATTGCAAGCTCCTCGGCTGACGGGCGATCCATTTCTTTGGAGAACTGCAGCTCAAGAACCTCGCAGTAACGGCCGAGGCCTGCCGAGAAGCTGCGTGCAAGGGCTGTCATAAACCGAGCGTTGTGTTCGTCATTGTCCCATTTCAACTGGAAGACCTGGTCCACTGTCTGATTGAACAGCATGAATATGTCAATAACAGACACGCTATGTCTCTCTGAGTCGCGAGGGCTGTGATCACCATGTTGTATGCGGACCTGGAACTGATCTTGTTTGATTGCCTCGTCGACATAGTTGGTCATCTTCGCTTCAGCAGAGCGAACCCATCGCCAGACGAAGTCGACAAGCAAATTTTCAACGTTGAAAGCGAAAGGTTTGTGGGGGAGATGTTTTTGGTGAATGTCTCGTATAGCAACCAGCTCCTTGTAAAGCTCAAAGCCATCTTCGATATCGATGTCTTCACCACTGGCTTGTGCTTGCCCAAGAATTGTTTCAAGAATCGCCCCAGCATCGCACTCACAATTGGGAAAAACTTCTTCTACTAAGATTGCAAAAGGATCCACGCCCATAATGGTTAGATTGTTCTTGTAACGCTTTCTGATGCGATCACAAAGCTTTGTGATGGTCTTGCCAAGCTTCACGACATGAGCAAACTCCCACTGCTCCTTAACGACTGGAATCTCTTTGCGCATGCTTTCGCGGTATACGTCGACTGCTTTGTTTCGCAAAGCAGTGGTAAGAGATTCTGTGAACTCGGCAATTGCTTCTGGTCTCGGTGTGAAGATCTCGTCCTGATAGAGGTGATTCTCAAGTATGAACATTACAGCGCCAATATTAGGAGGTGTGCTGTCGTAGCACTGCGCCATTATGCGGTAAAGTTCTCGCAAGGTGGCGTCATGAATGGAATGAAAAGTGCTTTGATAAACGGCAAAATCGTGGATCGTCCATTTGCTAGACGGTATCTTGGTCAAAGGCAGTGAGTAATTTTGGATATAAGGCGCCTTCTTGGGTTCTGGCTGGGGATCTTTGACGAAATCCAGAATGATATCAAGCTCTTTGGGGACAAGCTCCTGATCTAGAAACTTGCGCGCCGCGACCTCGAGCAAAACAATCAGTCGCGAAGCCTGCGGTAATCGCCACCGTACGCAAAGCTCCGTCATAAAGTCCATGGTTTGCTTCGAGAGCGGTTGATAGTCGACGTCAGAGGGGGCACGCAGTTGGTCAAAGGCCATGGCATGCTGAAGAATATACTTATAAAAGGCGCGCGGATCGGATGGAATAAAGGTGTACAAGTCGCCTTGGTCGACAGTCCGGATACTGTTTGCATCGCTAGAGATGCTAGATATAGAAGCCAAGGGATCGAATCCCAAAGGTGTGTCTACCGAAGAGATGGCACGGCTGAGATCCGCATAGGCTTGATCTTCGACGTACATTGATTGTGGACGACTGGTCAGGGGCTTATCGGCAGAGGGGGATGATTTCGCTAGTTCGGGCTTGGCTGTCAAGATCTCGAGCATCATCTGGGAAAGAAAGTGCGCTTCGGATTTCTGCCACTCGGTGAATGATTCCTCGACGTCAAAGTCATTGCTGCGGAGAGCACCAGAACCGTTGGAGTTCAGACGTTGCTGGTACGTCTTGAGATCTTTGAGAGCTGCTTCCTCGTTCCAAATACTACGCTTCTCGTTGATTTCGGCTTGTACCTCTGAGAGGCTGAGTCCAAATATGGCAGCGACAATTTGAACCATTGGCATGTCCTTGACGTCATAGCTCAGAGGGACAACAACTTCAATGGTGGTACCTGCAGAATCTGAGCCAGAGCTGACGAGATCTTGGTCATTTGTGAGGAGCTTATTTTCCAGTGTGGTCAGTCTGGAGAGCAATTCGGACTTGTCGCGTTCGTGGCCCTGGTCTCGGAGTATGGTGGCAGCGAGGCGGACAAACAACGCCAGATGACGATCTGGCAAAAGCTTCCAGGAATCATCGTCTGGGGCGCGACCTCTTTGGGCAGCCTTGGTGGCGGACGAGTAGAATATGAGGACCAAGGGTTCAAATTTGCGTTCCTTTTCAATGGTTCTGCGAAAGTTCTTTTCAGAAAAGGCAGTATAGGCCTCTGCGAAACAGCGCTTGACGGCAGCATCGTTGAAGCCGGGCAAGCGCTCGGAACCTTTCAAGACGCCGCCAACGCGATCCAGAAGAATGTTGGGGAAGTTGCTGGGAAGCTTGAGGCCGTAGGCGCTGCCAGACACGTATTCCTGTACGAGCTGGCCAACGCTCGTGTGCGTGCGGGCGGGGGGCTTTGGGGGGGCAACATATTGCTTGCGCTTCGCTTTCGGCTGGAGGAGATAATGAAGGTAGGCGGTTCGGAGGGCAAAGCTGCGGGCTTCATCGTGCTCGACGAGGACAATGTTGGACTTTGACTTGGTTTGAATGCGGCGGCTAGAGTCCTTGCTGCTGTTCTTGAGGCGCCGACCGATGGACGACGTACGAAAGTCCTGTGACATGGCGTGACACTCAACAAGCAAGTCGGCGCCTATACTGGTGTTTGCGGTGGCTCATGACCCGGTGAAGGGATGCGTGCGAAGCGGTAACTATTGGTCGGGTGGCGGGCGGTAGAGGGGTGGGTGGTGGCAGTAGGCAGGTACGTGAATGATGTCGCGCGATGATACGAGAGGAAAGAGATTCAACGTGGTTAGACAGAGATGGAATAACGAGCGGAGGAGAAATGGAACTGGCTTTGTAGCTGATGAACAATGCGAGAATATTTGCAAGTGGTAGATGCAATGCTAGGTGTGCAAAGCAAGTTGGAGCCCGAGAGCAGACGTGTACAAAGTAGGTAGAAAAAAGGCAGCCCAAACGAGGAGGTGCGACAAGTTGTCAAGGGAGCGCAACGTCATTTTGCACAGGCGCATGCTCTAGCGGAGGGTCCCCTGGCAACAGAGCCCGGACCACTGAAAAAGGGATGCGTTACGGGTTCGCGGGGGGCGGCCAGGTGTTTGGAGCGCCTGTTAAGTGTGCCAAGTGCCCTACTGCCCCGTCATGCTTTTGCTGCTGAAACAGCAAAGCAAGGTCAGAAAGTTGAAACAAGCTCAGGGCGGTATCATGGCATCATGGAGGAATGCGAGCCAGGGACAAGCCAGGAATAGCAGCGTAAGAATAGGCGCTATTCTGCACTGGGAAGCGCTGAGAGCGGGCTGCCCCTCGTACCCGCCGGGCTGTGGGGGGGCAAAGGGCAATTGCATTAGTTGGTTATCTATTAAAGTCGGAGAACAAAGAGAGGCCGTCGTGGGTGCAAAATTGCAAGTCAGCTAGGAAGGTGTTCTCAAGACGGAGAAAGGAGGTGGAAAATCAAGTCAAGGAAACTATTCAACTCGCATATATATTTACATATATTGCTGGGCGGACCGGTGGGAGCCTTGGCTATAACATGGAAACAGGACAACTCGTGGCGCGAGCGGGCAACGAGATAATATAATAAAAACAACAAAATTCAATAAATTGCTTCCGCAACAAAATAAATTTTTACAACGTGCCTGAGCAGCTACTTGTCATGGTATATGGAATGGCATAAAGTGTGGCCACATCCCAAACAAGATGGACACGGGCCCAGAGCGCATTCCAAAAAGGTAGTCTTCCTTGCGATTCCTGGCTTTTTCACAGATTAAATGCAAGTTGTGATGGATATTTGGTCTTGCTCACGTTGGCACGGAGCTAGTTACGGTCGAGTGCCTCTAACAGGCGCAATAATGTACCAAGACAAACCCGCCCCGACTTTCACATCATTTCACAAAAAGGGTGGATAGGTATAGCATCGCCAGCCAAAGCAACGGCGGCTTTGGTACCTTCCAACGCGGGCATTATCCGTCCGTAGAACGCTGTATGTGGGGGTGTATACGAGATGCCATCTGCACCCACCATGCCACCTATGGCCCTGCTAGTTGTTGAGTGGTTGTAGAAATATATTGTCGTGCTCACTGATTCGGCCACTTATGCGGAAAATCCTTTATGGTGTGGTAACTTAGTTGGTGTGCCAATTCGGATCAGGACCCTGCGTACCCTGCATGGCCGAGGAACGTTCCTGCTCACCACCAACGTAAGATGTCTAATAAATAGGTATTTATATCCCCGTCTACACAATCGGCGCTGAAGCCAGAGTGAATTTGAAAACGAGTCGCCAGCTCCAGAACCAGCGGCTCAAAACGCAACCCATCTGCCTACGTATCCAAGAGAATGCTGTCGAGTCCCTCCGAATTGCAGGTGGTAAGTCATGTTGCTGCGGATGCATACATGTTGTGTATTTACTTGGGCACATTTGACACCTTGGGCATCTAAGTAGGTACTACACTCGTCGGCAAGACCAATTGGCGCACATAATATGGATAATTGAAGAAGACGAAGAAGAAGAAGAAGAAGAAGAAGAAGAAGAAGAAGAAAAGGAAGAAGGTGAGACAATTTCGTGAACGGGATAAACATCATTGTCCAACATACAGACATGTCGTAATCCGTACTCGGATCTGTATTACCCTGCCTGTCAGGCGGTAAAGTTGTAGTAGGGAGTACAGGTGGCTGCCTCGGTACCTACCTACCTACCTTAGGTACGTTAGGTATTTAGGCGCTGCACCCGCCTGTAAATAAATCTGCCAGCTTGCCACCACCTACGCTACCTACAACACCCACTGTAGGTAGGTAGGGATCCGCTAAATTCAAGGCAAGTCCTCGGATTTAGAGTGATCGCAAGGTCAGCATTGTAGGTAGGTAAGATAGTTTAGAGGAAAATCACCACCGAATCCCCACATTGCTGCTCGGAATTAGGTATGGAGCCACTGTAATAAAGATATTGGCGGCAGCCAAAGGCTTAAAGGAAACCAGCCAACCAGCTGCCCCTCAAAAGCCTGCCCCAACTCCAAGCTGCCACTGGTTTTAATCTCCTGATAAGTTGGATAGTGCTGCTAGCTACTGCACTCACCACCTCTCCGTCTCGACTCCATCCCTCTTTATCATTATTCCTTTTACCACACAGCAACTGCCATCCACATTCATCCTGCCGCTCCCCTTCTTCCTTCTCCTGTCACTCCATCCTTCATCGTCTGCTCCATGAGTCGCTTGTCTTGCCCGACATCTCTTTTGCTCATTGCTACGCGCCCTCCTCTGCCGTATCGCTCACCTTTGCCGCTACGCCAGATGACGGCCGCTGTTGCTGTCCCACACTCAGCAGTCTGAGCCCCGCGCCGCTTGCATCTCCTTTGAGCCTCGCTGCCTGCACCGCACATCACTCTTCAACCCGTCGATTCCTCCCCAATTCGTTCGTCTTCGAGCCTGTCTGCCTCGCCCTGGCGCTCCTTTCTTCTGCATCCCAAGCCCGTGGCTGCAGCCGATAGCTCGTCAACATGGGCAACGTCACCAGCAGACCCGACGACCAGGCCGCTAGCCTCTATCTCAGAGACCAGAATCGCCGTATGCCATCCCCGCGGCCCCTTCCTCACTGGCAGCACGTAGTCTGCAGCTTTTGCCTTTTGCAGCCCGCGTCACTGACCTTCTCTCTCTAGTCACCATCTCCTCCCTCATCGTTACCAATCCGCGAAAGCGCACTTCTGTCCATGTCTCGCCAAATGCCTTTCCTGCTTCTAAGCTGTCCGTCAGCCGCACAGCTGGTGAACAGACCCCCATAGAATACGTACAGGTTTGTTATCGCCAATCTTCTCTTGTCCATCCTCTCTCTCCCTCTAGCCGCTGATTTTCGCTTTATAGGATCCCGAGCCGGGTGCTTCTGGTTTCTTACTCAAGCTCAACAATGACGACGAGCTCATCTTCACATTCACCTTTGTCCTTCGTCAGCCTTCAACAAGCCAGCCCGCTTCGCCACCTCCCGATGCGACTTCCCCTACTCTCGATACCACCATATCCAGTCTAACTTTTGTTTGCGGCTCTACTTCACGCGAAGTCGAAAATCTCGTAACGCGCGAGTTTCTTGCCAACCCGAATCTGCACAAGAACGACAACGTTGCCCTCGTCGGAGACTACTCGACCAACGGCAGCTCTTCCGTCAGCTTTGAATGGACTTGGAAATGGAAGCCTCCCAAGCGCTTCGAAGATAAAACTGGCGGTTGGAGAAACTTTTGTAGTGTACGTGCCCGCCGCCATCGGTCTTATCTGTTTGAATGTTGACATGGTTTAGTTTGTCGAGTATGATTCAAGGGCGCACCGCTTGCACGCCCTCGCTAGCTTCTCCTTCTGGGTAGCAGGTAGTTTCCTCCTGCGTGCTCGTTATTACTCAAATCCGCCTGCTAACGTATACTCCATAGCCTCTCCCGTCTACACCAGCCAACCAAACTCGCCGACTCCCGGCTTCCTACTCGGCTCTCCTCCAAAGATTCGCGTTGCATCCGCTCAATCGGTAGACTCTCGCTTACAGTCCGACATTGACGAGGTGCCACTGTCGCCGCTGCCGGGCACATTCGAAGCACTCTCACCGCCGATACTACCACAGCAGCAGGAGCCCGTCAAAGTTGACGTAACTTGTCCGCGACCTGGTGAAGATGTCTCCGTTTCCGATGATGGTCCTGTCTTCCGCGCCACTCTCAAGGCCCTCGAGCAAAAGACGGGCAACATGCGTATCCACATGAAGAGGGTTTTGAAAAGGGCCGAGCAGGCGCATACTAGTCAACTGGAAGCCAATGAGGCTTTGGTCGCTTTCATGGATGCCTTGCGTGAAGCCTCCACCACCAATGCAAATGCAGTTCAGCCTGCACTCGAGCACTATTTCGACAAAATCGCCCGAGAGATCCTCAATTACGACCGTCAAAACACTGCTAATCTGCAAAAGATTATCATCGAGCCTATACAAAAGCTTTATCAGTTTGACATCAAGCAGGCAGAATCCAAGAAGCGCGATTTTGAGGAAGACAGCAAAGTCTACTACGCATACGCATCGCGATACCTTGGTCAGCGTCAAGACTCGGCCAAGAAGCTTGCCGAAAGCGACTCCAAATACCAGAACAAGAGACGGAATTTTGAGCTCAAACGATTCGACTATTCCAGCTTCATGCAGGACTTGCACGGTGGTCGCAAAGAGCAGGAAGTGCTATCGCATCTGACCAAGTATGCCGATGCGCAGACCAAGGGTTTCCTCGCCACGGCAAAGAAGATAGAGGCTCTCCTGCCGCAGCTTGACGCTCTATCCTCGGAAGTCAGCGAAGCAGATAAAGAATACCAGTATCAGAGACGAGAACGCGAGGAGAAGCGACGCTTACTAGAAAAGAGCAACACTCCCTATCTGGAGCCCGAACAAGCCAGCCTGGTCGCTGCCCCGCCCCCGACAGCGTCCTCCAACGGCAACACCAGTCACAATTCTGACTCGGAGCTTGGTAGGGCTGATAGCACCGGCTCTCAGCTTAAAACGACATCATCGGGTGGCCAAACAAGCATGTCGGGCATTGATTCGGTCAACCCTGCAGGCCTCCTAGCTAGTCCCTCGCAGAGCAACAAGTTCAAAGGATTCCGCGACTTGGAGGAACCAAATCCATCGCAAGCATCCGTCCCGCAGCGCAAAGAAGGACTTTTGTGGGCACTGAATCGTCCGGGTGGCCATGTCGATCCTCGAAATCTCAACAAACAGGGCTGGCACAAATTCTGGATTGTCCTTGATCAGGGTCAATTGTCAGAATACAGCAATTGGAAGCAAAGACTAGACCTGCACATGGATCCTATTGACCTGAGAATGGCTACTGTGCGCGAGGCTCGCAATGCTGAACGTCGCTTTTGCTTTGAAGTCATTACTCCTCCAAACTTCAAGCGTGTCTACCAGGCCACGTCGGAAGAAGACATGAACAGTTGGATAAATTCCATCAACAATGCTTTGCAGAGCGCGATGGAAGGCCGAAGTGGCCGTGAAAGATATGCATCATCGGCAAACACAAGCAATGATTCATCGCTCAAGAGAGATATTGGCTCCGTTCTTACAGGCAAGAGCCATTCCCTGATGCATAGCAGTAGCCATTCCCACAGCAGTTCTTCGAGTGCCATTCCTTTTCGGAGAGTCACCGTTGGAGCCCGGCCGACGCCAGTACGGACACACAGCTCCGGGTATGACGAGAACCCCGATCAACTATTGCAAATGCTTCGGGATATTGACCAAGGCAACAATTGGTGCGCTGACTGCGGATCGGGATCCAAGGTCGAATGGGTGTCTCTGAATCTTGGCATCATCCTCTGCATTACGTGTGGCAGCTCCCATCGTTCGCTGGGCACCCACATCAGCAAGGTGCGCTCATTGACTCTCGATATCAAGTCTTTTACTGTCGATATTGTCGAATTGCTCATTCTGATCGGAAACCGTGTTTCAAACATGATCTGGGAAGCCACGCTGGATCCTGCCGCGAAAATTACCCCACAGGCAAGTTATGAGGCGCGGCGCACTTTTATCAATAACAAATATGTCAATCGGGCTTATGTGCGGCCAATTTCGTCAACATTGTCGCATTACGCCACGCCCGAGGAGACACTATTGGCGGCCATTAAGAAGAATGAGATTCAGCAGGTCCTGTACGCTTTAGCGCTAGGTGCAGATGTTAACGCTGTCGACAGGATGAGGGGAACGCATGCTGTATGGCTTGCACTGGCAGCAGCTGATCCAGCGTCACCATCGCCAACCCCCGGTGCTGCGCTGGATAGGGAGTCGAAGCAGGTACCGTTCCCGGTGGCCGAATTGTTGATGCAGAATGGAGCTAAAATTCCGCCAACACTCCCTGCTTTCCCGCTGGGCCGCTTCGCACAACAATACATACAGCAGAAGAAGGCCAAGACCGAAGCAGTCGCAGACTCAATCCAGGCGCTTCCTGGTAATGGCCTCGAGGTGGAGAGAACACGGTCTGATACCGGCAGGCTGCAGAAGCGCATGAGTGCGGGCGGAAGACTGGCCAGGTCGCCGATTCCCGAGAAATAGGAGAACGGCATCTGGGATCGACTGACGGGGCTTGGCCTATGCTACCACATGATTGAAGAGCATTACCGCAAAAATGCAGAACGGCTTGGCCGTCACGAAGTCATGGGACGAATGAACAACAGGTTGCGGTTTTTAAAGCAAGCGGCGGGATATTAACATGGGCTGGGCATGATTCGCGGCCCTTTTTTGCTATTCTTGGATTTTCCTTCGGCAGACGGTGTATGTTTTACCGTGTTTTTCCCCTTTTCCTGCGCCGGTTTATCCCTTGTCTTCTCCATGGACTCTTTTTTTCTTTTTTCTTTTTGGAAATGACGCGGCATATTCATTTGCTGCAAGGCGTTGAGGCGCGTAGTCAGACAGCGACCTACGAATCACCACAGTGTTTTTCAGGATGCAAGAAAGTGTTGCAAGAAGCAGCATTTTGGCGGCGACTACCTTTTCTGGCAGTTGGTATTTTATTGACAGCAAGTGGACGGTAAGGCCAAGAAAGAGACAGGCCGCAGGAAACACGCGCCTTTCCAAGTGAATAGACTTTCATGGCATGCTTTTCTCCCCTGTTTGGCCATTTCTCCTTCTCATTTGCGTTCTACTAGTTTCATTGTTTTGTTGCTGGATGCATGCTGAGGGAAGGTTGGAAACAATATTGGAGTACGGAACATGAGTAGTTTGTAATTGATAATGACAGGAAATCACCATGATACGAGGAAAATTGAACGCGATGGTCAGCAGACGGCCCATGGTAGTCGCTGCATGAAACATGAAAAATATCTGGAAAAGGTGCAATCTGCGACAAATCAATCACTTGTCTTCAGTGTGCTACTCCCCACGTGACGGTGTTCTTTTCGACGATATCAGTCTTAGCAGGGTGCCATCGGAGCGCAATGCTGTCGCCCGTCTCCATTATAATATCGGGGAGAAAAGAGGGTGCCAAGATGAGGCAATGCAGGAACCCGAGCATGTTGTGCGAATGCCGCATTGTTGAGAATAACGAGTGTCGCGATCCAGGTTGCCATTCTGGCGCACGAGGGTGCAGTCGGCGCTCATGAGGAAGCCACGACGCGACGCCTTTGACTGGGTCGTGAATGGTTCGCCTGGTCGGCTGCCTTGTCAATCACGCTCCTCACTTTTTCAAAAGGCGGGTGAGCGTGGTCGAGGTACCCCGTTGCGGCGACAGCGGGCGCAGAGCTACCTCAAAGGTTTCTCCCCCACCCCAGATCGTGGCGATAGCTTTTGCGGTTAGTGTGGGCGCCGCTTTTTTCACCTCGCTCGCTGTCAGTGTGGGCGAATCTGGACATAGGTACGAATACAAGACCATACTAAGGCAATATCGCGCGCTCTTCATATTCAAAAAGTTCTATGTGACCTCTCTGATGTGAGTTTTTCACTCCAATTATTTTGTTGCGAAGGACATCCTTCCTTTCTGTGCTTCCTTGAGACGTTATCAGCTGCCAAGATGAAGCATTATTTTAAAGCGGCATCAGCCTAAACTTCCAGGCACCTGCACCCCGTTGTTAGCACCGGCTACCAGCAGCCTAGTCATTCGCTATCAGGTACGGTACCTACCTCTCGTACGGTGCACTGCGCACTGCGAGTGACTCCAGGCGACTCCAGTGACTCCATCAGCCCACCCCAAGCCTGCACGAGGCTCACTCTTTTCCTCTTCAGCTCTCCAACACTCTGCACCAACTCGTCACGCCCAATCTGATACTTGCATTTTATTTTCGGTGGTGAGGTACTTACAACAAGGCAGCCGCGTCACATCTTTTTTCTCTGGTTTCTCTTTTTTATTTCCTCTTCTCTTCTACTGATCTCTCCTCGCTGAAGAACTCCCTGTCTTGCCTTGTCTCGTCTTGATCCGTCGTTTCGGCCTTGGCTGTCAGTCATCCCGGCTTCTCAACTCAGGATCTAGACTTGCCACATTGTGCCCATTCTTCATTCACTTTTGCCCTGCTCTTCGCCATGTCGCCTCGCGGCGAAAAGAGCAACCTCAAGCGGCCCCGAGTAAGTCTTTACGCTCGCGCCGCCCAGTTCTTCTCTTTTGGTTTCCGCATCCGCAACGCTGACAACCTCCTCTTCGCAAAGGGCTCGCCGCCGGATGATCTGGCCGAGAGTAAGAAGCCTCGCCGTTCCAACCGTCTCTCTGATGTTTCTCGTGATGCGCCCAACGGCAAACTCCTCGACAAGACGCCCGTCTCTCGTGACAACCACCTGCCGTCTCCCCTCACTAATGACGCGACATACGGCTCGAGCGATGCCAAGGAGCTCACACCAACGCCTACTGGCGCCAAGACCGTCGAGGAGACGACTCCGCGCAACTCCGACGAACCGCAGCTCAAGGGCCTCTCGTCGCCCCCCCAGGACACGCAGCCCGTCAGCCAGCTCGTCGACAGGCATCTCGATTTTGCCGAGGACGCCCAAGATGAGACGGATGAGGATGTCTGGGGATACCTTGTTCCGCTAGACGCAAAGTATGGCGACAAGCCCAAGGTCCTCAAGAAGCGGTGCGCTTGTCCACCCGCCGACTCAATCAAGTCGGCCGCAGATGCCGAGAAGAAAGATAACGTCGGTGACACTCCACCCGCGATCCATGAAGAGGAGGCTTATGAGCGCACACAGATCGGCGGTATTGCGTCACGTGGATACCTCATCGGCCGTCACCCGGAGTGCGGTAAGCTACATGCTCATGCCCCCGGCCTGATCCTTTCGGCTCAACTTGCTGACAAACTGTTTTAGATATTATCGTGAACGAGAGCGTCGTCTCGAATCGTCACTGCTTAATTTTCACCGAGAACAACGGCAATGATGCTGTTGCGATCGTCGAGGACTTATCCAGCAACGGAACATTCGTCAACGAAGCCATCGTTGGGCGCAATCAACGGCGTGAGCTCGAAAACGGTGATGAAATTGCCGTTCAAGGGCGCGCTAGATTTGTCTTTCGGTACCCAAAAAATCGTCATACTAGTGCCTTCCTGCAACAATACACCCTACTTCATAAGCTCGGAAAGGGTCACTTTGCCGAGGTCTACCTCTGTATCGAAAAATCGACAGGCAAGCGTTTCGCTGTCAAGATCTTCACCAAGACATCTGGTGTCGAGGATAAGGCGAAAACGGAAGGCCTGCAGCAGGAAATTGGCATGCTCATGGCCGTGAGTCATCCCAACGTACTGTGTTTAAAGGATACGTTCAGCGAACGCGACCGAGTTTATCTCGTTCTGGAACTCGCTCCCGAGGGTGAGCTTTTCAACTACATTGTCGCAAAATCCAAACTCAGTGAGGACGAGACGAGAAAGTTGTTCAAGCAGCTATTCCATGGCATCAAATACCTTCACGAGCGCAACATTGTGCATCGTGACATCAAACCTGAAAACATTCTTTTGGTTGACAAGGATCTTCATGTCAAGCTGGCAGATTTTGGGCTTGCCAAGATCATAGGCGAGGAATCCTTCACCACAACCCTCTGCGGCACTCCTAGCTATGTCGCGCCTGAAATCCTTGCCGAGTCTAAACAACGCAAATACACAAAGGCTGTCGACATCTGGTCATTAGGTGTTGTACTATACATTTGCCTTTGTGGCTTTCCCCCATTCTCTGATGAGCTCTACAACCGCCACGACTTCCCCTACAAACTTCCGGACCAGATTAAGAGTGGCCGTTTCGACTACCCTTCGCCATACTGGGACTGCGTCGGTGACCCAGCTTGTAAGTAACCGCGACCTAGCCTTGATATACTCTAGCTCACATGTTCTTAGTGGACCTCATTGATTCCATGCTGGTTGTCGACCCCGCGAAGAGATTTACAGTTGACCAGTGCTTAACCCACCCGTGGCTCACACAACAGCCGATGAACGTTAACGATAGCACCGGTGGCCTTGTCGGCGGCATTGCTGGCCTTGAGGTCAACCGCCGGACTGCGAAGCGAGAGCGCACCTTGCTGTGCCACTACAACCAGGTGCTTGTGCCAGAACACGTCACAGCTGGCAATGCTAAAACTCCAGTAAAGGTCTTTGTCAATCCCAAGGATCGTATTATCAACATACCCCGCGAGCAAGCACCATCGGGACAGCGAGCTCCCGCTGAGTTCATGGAATTGGGCGGCAAGGGCGACCAAGTCCTTTACTCGGACGATGCTAAGGGCAAAGGCAAATAAGGGAAGTCGCCGAGGGCGACTGTTTTATACTCGAGTTTTGCGCCTGTTTTCTTCTCTTTCACTGTATAGCAGCATTTAATCGTTGGCATTTTGTTCTCATTACTGTGTATAGATATGGGATTAGTTTCTGCGTTAGGATTTACATGGACAGAGATGTTAGTGGCATTCTTTGTGGGTGGCTTTGTGAAGATGACTGGTTTTGGTTCAAGTCATTTTGCAGTTCGACGTTGGAATGATTCGGAGTACCAAAAGTCAATATTTAAAACTGCTACAGAAAATTGTGTTGTGCTCTGCGCGGTGAATTGTTCTTCGATTGTTGTAGCCTATGAAGCACAGTATCTCATATTCAAGGGATCACGTGATAAGTCACATGTCTCTTTTTTCGGCCACCGCTCTCGCTTAGCGCCCACACATTGAGCTGGCAGAAAATTTGGCGGGGTCTCATGGTGCGCTGCCCCAGCCAGGCCTGAGAGACAGCACCAACGAGAAAGCCCCGCCGCAAGGGCTATTCCAAACTCGCCCGAGTTGATCAATTTTTGGTGGCCCAATCCCTCATTGACTCTGGGACTGTGTAGGTACGGAACAAGTCGACGCTAATTACGCCCACCTCGAGCCGCTGTCTCTGGGTTCTTGCTGGCCCCTCTGCTGAGTCAACTTCTGCGTCCTCGTGTGTCCAATTTTTCCCACTCCCGGCCTACTGTGTGTGGCAGACGAGCCCGCCTCAGCGTATCCCTTCTCTCATCCTCCTCCGTCGAAATAACTCTGCCAAAACGAGGGCAATTTCTATCCTGCAGCATATCCCCATCGCCATACCTATCCTCGATTGCCGGAAAAAGTTTCACAAGCCCGGAACTCGACAATATGCCTGCCGCCAAGAGCGATGCGCAGCCCCAGCTGCTCTTTGTCGACGGCTCCTTTGAGGAGCTTGCCAAAGAAATGGCCGACTACCTCAAGGCGGAGGACGCCAAGCAGCTGCTGAGCGGCGAAAAGGCGCCTTCCAAGGAGGAGGTGCTGTCGAAACTGGTCGCGGCCTCGAGCGCCCTCAATACGGTCCCCGAGAAGGAGTACACGGCCGCGTCCAACCTCATGATCCACCTCGTCTTGCAGTCGGCCGACCCTAAGAAATACCTGCCGGCGCTCTGTGCTAACTTTGCCAAGCCCATGAGCAACTCACCCGTCCACGGCGTCGGCCTCTCGCTCAACGCTCTGTCGACGGTCTTCAACCTGCTTGAGCCTGCCGACCCTATCCGCGCGCGCGTCTTCATGGAGATTCTTAAGTTCCTCAAGGCACATGGCATGTTTGATAGCCTGCGCTCCCACCTCGAGAGACTACCCGAGTGGCTGGATACATGGGGTGCCGGCGAGGAGATTGAGCGCAAGATTTACGAGGAAGTGGCCGATGTTGCCGCCGAGGCTGGCGAAGAGAGGTATGTTTCTTGAATGGCGTTGAGTGCATCTAGAGTGCCACACATGGACACTCACGACTCGCGGGAGCTATGCTAATTTTACCGTTATAGTGAAAGCTACGAGTTCCTACTCAAGGCCCTCCGCACTTTCGATGCCGACGACAAGGAAGAGCTCAACTCGGACGAAGCCCAAAGACTCTCCCTCCGCGCCGTCAAGCTCGCCATCCTCTCCAATACCTACTTTCTCTTCCAAGACCTCCGCTCCATTCCCTCGATACAGGCTCTGGCCGACACGCACCCCGTTTACTCAGAACTCCTCGACATCGTCGCCGAGCAGGACCTCGAGGACTACAACGACTTCAACGACGAGCACAAGGGCTGGGTCGAGCAGCAGAAGCTCGACGGCGAGAAGTTGCACCGCAAGATGCGCCTGCTGACGTTTGCCAGCCTGGCGGCCGCCACGCCCTCGCGCGAAATCACCTACGACAAGATTTGCAAAGCGCTCCAGATCCCCGCCGATGAGGTCGAGAAGTGGACCATTGACGTGGTCCGCGCTGGCCTCGTCGAGGGCAAGCTCTCCCAGCAGCGCCAAATGTTCCTCGTCCACAAGGTTACCTACCGCGTCTTCGGCCAGAAGCAGTACCAGGAGCTCGCCTCCCGAGTCGACCACTGGCGCACCACCCTCAACAATGTCCTCGGCGTCCTGCGCCAGGAGCAGGCCAACGCCAAGACGGCGCGCGAGCGCGAGGCCCAGGAGCTGGAGCGCAAGCTTGCCAACGCCAATAGCGGTTCCGGCAACCAGGGCGAGCGCCGCCGACAGCAGCGCGAGCGCACCGACAACGATGATTAAGCGAGATACTGGACCTATCTATTTTACATTCTCAGCATACATATCATCATTCGGGGGTCAAATGTCCCGCCGTGAATACTACGAAAACGTTCTTTTCGTAACCCAAGTTGATCACGGTTGAGGGCCAAAAAAATTGCACGAGAAAAGAAAAATCAGTATAAAGCGCGTTCTTGTTCTTTTCTCTTTCGTGTGTGTCTCAGAGAACGGCAATAAAAGTATAGCGCATACCGGGGAGGGATAATTTCCATTATTCTCTTGTTTTGGCATGAATGAAACGAAACGATACATGGAAAATGAGAGGGAGAGGGTGTGAGGCGGAAAACAGTCGATTGTCCAGAAGCAAGTCGACTTTGTGATGTCCACTTGCTATCATCTGTTCAGGGTTAATCCAGAATAGAGAAAAAGATGTTCAAGTTTGTTAGAGAGCGAGAGAGAGAATAAGGGTGTCCTTCTGTTGTTGTTTCTAATTTTTCTCGGAATATGGTTTACAGAGCGAATGAACTATCAAGAAAAAAATATATATAAGAGAACAACTGCAGGCGTGTTCAAACACCAGTCATCATGTTGAATTGCTTTGACGCGAAGATAGCATGCAATAGTAAATGAAATGTGATGCGGTTTCTGCAGTAATGTCATAGTAACCAGTGTGATATCAAAAGCCAGGATTCATGTAGAGAAAACGACAATGAGAATAAAAGAGCCAACAATGAGAATAGAGAAGCTAAAAATGAAAATAGAGAAGCCAAAATTTAAGAGACTTTTCAGGACAAAAACGACGCCCCAAGATAATAAAATGAATCGTGGTATCCACGCGCACCTCATACCATGCAAGTCTAATCCGCAAGAACCTGGCGCAGCATGACCAAAAAGTTGTCTTTGAGCTTGTGTACCTCGTGAATTTCGGGCTTGACCGGCTCGCCCGCCCTCCGTCGGAGAGTATGCTGCTGCTTCTGCCTGCGGCGGCGCTCCGCCTCGATGGGATCCATCTCGTCTTCCGCCTCCGCTTCAAGCTCCTCCTCCGAGTCGTCCTCGTGGTAGTTGTTAAAGTCTTCGATATCTGCGCTATCGAGGCCAAAGTCGGAGACGTCAAAGCTCAGACCTGTCACCAAACTACCGCCCAAGCCGCCACCGCCCGTGTTGGACTCGGCAGCCATCTTTTGTCTCGTCTTGTCGTTGTGCCACTTCTTGCGGGCTTCTTGCCATGCAATCAGCTCATTGATTTCCTCGATGGCCTTTACCTTGTCAATGGTGCCGGTGCTGACGCCGCCTTCGAAGAGAGCATTGATGTTGAGCTTGCCATTGGCGGGACCCGTGCGCAAGAACTCGAGAATCCCTTCAATCCACCCCATGAGCTGAGTGAAGAGTCCATTGTCATGCGTGTGTACCTCGTGGACAAACTTGTAAAAATTGTGCTCGTGGCGCTGGCACAAGTCGATAAAAGCCTGAACCGTCTGGTTCGGATCTGCCGAGGCGTCTTCCTCGCGGCACTTTTCCACCGTCTGGATAACGTCGTCAAAGAAGACGGCAAAATCGGACACGCTATTGTAGACGTTGGCTGACTTGTAGACCCGGACTAGTGGCTCGTAGAAAATGGTAAACAAATCACGGAAGAGCTGCAGTGTGACGGGTTCCTCGACGAGGTTCAGCATCATGGTCTTGTCACGCTGGCGGGTGCACAGTTTGAGTAGCTGCTTGAGATGCGAGAAGAGCTCGGCACCTTGCTTAAGCTCCTCGTCAATGTTTTCCACGGCATTGTTGAAGGCGACGTAGGCATTAAAAAGGCGCTGGAACTGCGGCCCTGTCAACTCCGGCTCCAGCTGATCCGAGCGCAAAATGGTGACGACCAAATCTAGATTCTCGTCTTCGGCCTCTTGCCGAATGGCAATCTTGACATGTTCCGGGGCAGTGGTGTATTTCTGTAGCTTCTCCGAAAACACCGGATCGCCAATCTTAGAGTTCAGAATGCCAATAGACTTCTGGAAGCTTTTAATCCCGTCGTTGAGAGTCAGAGAGAAAATGCGCTGTAGCAAGGAGCGCGTGCCAAAGGGTTGCGCCATGAACACGTCCAGGATGCCTGACATGACCGCGGCCGGGTTCGCAATACGAATCACATTCTTGATGATGCTATATGGCACCAGTGAGTGTATTCTGCGTGCCTGCGCAAATACTTCTGGAGAGTTATCCTCGGCAAGAAACAGGTGATAGATGACGGCAGCGACTTCGATGCGGAGCCACTCGGCGAACTTGCGATACTGAATGCTGAGATCGCCAATGGTCTTCTTCTCCTTGATCTCCTTAAAGAGCATGGTAAGACCGTTACGCTCGACAATGTCACGTCGGAACTGTTCCATATACTCGTCGAGCTCTGCCGCACGTTGGCGCGCGATTTCGTAAAAGTTCTTTTGCTCTTCGACACGCTTCTCGTCCAAATTCTTGCGACGTAGAATGTCTTCCACATCTTCGTCAGTGGGTGTGATGGGGTCCGCCGTTAGAAATTGCTCCATGGCAGCGGTGTTGGCTACCTGCGGGTTGTGTAGCATAGAGCGAATAAAGGATCGTAAAGAAATTCTCTGCTTCTCGCGCCCCAGGACAACAGTCTATTGCACGGTCAGCGATCAGCGGTCGAGTACAATTCGATTACCAAGTCACGACATACCTCTCCATTGGCAGCAGGGTCTGGCGAAGCGCCGCCGGGGGCCAGTCTCCCATCAGAAGATAGGCGTGGTGAGTTTCCGTTTCTAGAGGTGCTTGAATGAAGCGATCGAGAAGAGCCAGCTCTTTGGTGTGCAGCTGGAGCCAATCTAGCAGATGGCGCATCAGGCTCAACAGAAAGTCGAGTCAACCGCGTCGACACGGTGGACAAGCTAGCCCCATCGTCGGAATCAGCGGCACCACCAAAAGCAGACATGAAGGTCGACGCCGTGGAACTGGACTTGTTCTTCTTGGGCAGGGAGGGAAGGGCGCGGCCGGGCAGCTCGATGCGGAGGCGTTTATGCAGACGAGCGAAATCGCCATAGCGGCGGGCGACAAAGTGCTCGAGTTCGCCCTTTTTCTTGACACGGAGGATAAATTCCGAGTGCTTGTGCTGGCGAATATTGCGTTTGACCGAGACCGTGCGCACAGCAGCGACGTTGACGTCCCAACCATTGATGTAATTGCCCTCGGGAATGGTGTGCATAACACCCGTGTCGATGGCGCTGGCATCGACAATGTCAATTTCGGAGAATCGGATGCGCTCCTCGAAGCCCGACGTTGTGCCAATCCCGGATACCATCATGAGCTCGACCATCTTTTGCGCTTTTATAGCGAGCTTTCTACGCTTTGTCTCTTCGAGGCGGTCTTCGGAGGATGAGATGTGCTTGGTTGCAAAGGATTCAAGAAACTATGCAAGCATGTTTATTAGCACCCGGAGTTCCTATCAATCTGTAAAGAGTTTATGGATACGCACAACTTGCAGCTTATCTTGCCAGAATTCCTTTTCGCGCGCCTTATCGAGAAAGGGAAAGTCGCGGACATGGTGGACAAAGATATATCGCAGAAGGGGCAGCTCGGATTCCTGCGGGGAGACCTCGCCGTGTTCGGATCGAAAGGGGGCGCCGAAGCGCTGAAGGGCAGTGGGCGAGTTGAGCTCATTGATTTCGTATATACTCTGCTCAGCCATGAGCTCTCGCTTCAGGTCTGAGTGATTTGAGGGTCAGTAATTGAGCAGGAGTTGGGTTTGCGGGGAGGGGGCAAGCTGGAGCTACTGACAATGTTCCTGCTTTCCCGTGAGGGACTGTCCCTCGGGGGGTTGCTCGGTGGATCTGGTCTTGGTCATTCTCAAGGAAGCACCATCTTCGACGGCGACGGCCTCGACGAGAGTTTCTTGGTTGTCGGCGGCCATGGCTGATGTGATGATTGACGGCCTTGGTGAGCTCGGCTTCGGTCGGTATTGTGGATGAGACGCGGCTGGTCTTTCTGTTTGCCTCGGTCCCGTGGTCAAGATAGTACTTCGGGGGTATTTTGCGCAGCTCAAATCTTAGAGTTTGAGGAGATGTCACAGGATAGCAAAGAGAAGAATCCCACAGCAAAGGAGAAATGGCGGTAATGTGGTGGAGGCTTGGTAGGAGCTTACTCCAGCAGCGGGAAACAGCAGACTGGTAGGTATCAAATTCGGTAGGTGAGCGCGATGGACGACGAAGCAAACGTAGCAAACGTAGCAAAGAATAACTCAATTCAGTAGCACGAAAGGTTCGTGAGAGGTATTGGAGAAGCCCGGTCTGTCCCTCTTGTGTTCCGTAGTGGTTTTTTGAGCCCTTGGCGATGATGCGGCGAACTGGGAGCGTAATAAGCTGGGGAAGCTTTCTTACAGCGCCTGCCACAGCACCTTGCTCAGCCCGAGTCTGCCCCTCATAGATGTGGCTGGTTTTACTGCATTGCGGCGGTTACAGCGGGGGTTGAAGTGGGGGTTATACCTAACCACCAGTACGGTCAGCTGCGCCCATTGTCTCGCCTGGTCTCTGTCTTTGACCTTTGTAATAAGCTTGATGCCACTACTATCTTCTCTTCTCTTTTCATACACTTGATTACTTCTGACAGTTCAGTTATTTTGAGAAAACGTTTTCAGTGTTATTCGACACTGGTTTTTTTTTTTCTTAAACTTTGGCCTGCCAACCGTCATCGGCATTTCCTCACCCCCTCTTCGCCCTTCGGCCGTATATGCCCATCGTCATCCCACATCGAGAGTCTACATACCTAGGCTATGACGTCCTCCAGCAGGCTTTGTTATTAGCGTCCCTTCACGACGGCTGCATATTACATCTCCAAGCCCCCTTTGTCATCCGCACATGCCTTGTACAGGACAGCATCATGCATGTCACAATCGATTCGCCCTCCCTCGTAAGGGAATAGCCAAATTCTTCGCACTAATTACCGCCAGAGCACGGTCGGCCAACTTTCAATCCCCAATTAATGCCCTTTCGCGCTAGCCGCCCACTCGCTCGGCCAACATGCCCCCATTGCCAGGCTCGGTTGCGCCCGGCGCCCAACTCTGGCGCCCGTTTGCAGTCCAGCTGCTAATCATCACCTAGGAACTGCCAAACTCCCCAAATCCCATGGCATGATTACTCGTCACCGACCATCAAATAAGGCGGATTTCGCCCAGTTGATCTCTGTGCCTGTTCACTTCCGCCCGATTGGGGCATTTGAAAAGACGAAAAGCGCTGTGGCTCGGCCAAGCTTACGCGCCCTTGGCACCCCGGGGGCAGTGCGCCGGCCGCAGACAAGGACTGAAGAGCCAGGGACAACTACGTGTACAATGTGGTCCCGGGTGCTCGTCATTCTCTTTATTCGCGTCCCGATCCTGCACTGCCTTCCCACGTAACTAGTCGCAAGTCACGCAAGCAGCTGCGGTCAATCAGTGCCCAAAGTTAAAAAAAAAAAAAAAAAAAAAAGAAAGAAGAAAAAAAAAGAAAAGACCCTAAAACGTCGGGCGCGCGCTGCCATGTCAACATGCGCAGCAGGCATGTAGACGCCGAGATGCGTCAAGCAATCTGACACGGCTTGACAGCCAGTCCCTTGTGCAACATGTTTTTTTGCATCTCATACAACCAACTAGGTGGCTTCATACGCTCCCGTACTTGCAATCTTACGAGATTGTTCTCTCTGTACGAATTAAAGACCAATAAGTCGCACCGGCCATGGCCTGTAATCTCACACGCAGCATTGACAATTATCTGCTGCCTCAAGGCCTCTTATTCGTAATTTCAGTTCGAATTGTATAAACACACAAAAGGGTATAGTATGCAATATATACGACCCATCAAAGGCTGATGACAAAGGCCTAGACCATGACCTCATTTCCGCCCAGAAAAATAGATGACGCTTTATGCAAGATGCAACAAAACAATGATAAACAAACGGTACTTCCCCACATGCAGCGAAACGGCTTCCCACGATGCGCCTCTGGCAACCTGACAGATACAGCTCAACTCCGCCGTGCCAGTGGCAGTGACAGTGGCCGTGGCCGTGGCCCAGCGCGTGACGTTCGCTGCAGCCCCATCTTGCCCTCATGCAGCCAGCTCGGAGCCGCCGAAGAGGCTGACCCCCGGCGCGAAACGCTGTAACGAGCAGCGGAGCTGTCAATATCGAATAGAATTACTCTTTTCGACATCATCATTTCCCAACTTGAGATTGAAACAAGACCCGACTCGTCTAGTTCGTCTCTTTCTTCAGAGCTCGTCGAATGCACGCAAGCCATCCCTTCCCCGCGCAGGCGTCTTCCACTGAATCCTCGTCTGTGCTTCCTTGCCTTCGGGCCCCGGCGGCTGCCTCGAATCAGCGGCGTTCAACGGCTCGAGTATCGAAATGGCGCGGCCCAGGTTGTCTGTTGGCCCGGCACCCGGCGCCCGCGCGTCATGCGAGGAGCTGCTCACCGTCCACATGAGGGCAATCAGCACCAGCACAGCAACCGACATGACGGACCAGATAATCTTGAGCCTGCGCCGCGTGCTCTCCTGCCACTGGCGGTCCGCGCGCTCCCACTTCTCAATCCGCTGCCGCACCGTGTCCACCCGGTCGCTCAGCGCCTTGACCCTGGCGCGTCCCTTGTTGATGCGCTTCTGCAGCGATGCCACCTTTGTCTGGTGGTTCTGAAAGTGACCCATGGCGCCTAGCTGCGTCGCAATCTGGTTCTCCAGCCCGCGACAGTCCTTTTCAAACGTGTCATATGTTGCGTGCGACGTCTCGGCCAGCCCCTTGAGCGACGTAATCGTAGAGTGCAAGGCGCTCATCTTCTCGAGCACAGCGTAGTAGGCATCGTCGAGTTGTCGAGAGGCATTGGCCGAGAAGTCGTTGAGTTCGATGAGTGACTGCGTCAGGGTCCTGTTGCTTGTTAGTTAGCCACTGTCTACTGCATAACACGCCATGTCTTTCCCGAGCACGCACTCAGTACTGCCAGCGATTCTCGCCTGATTCTTCCGCAGCTCGGCATTGCGAGCCTCTGACGAGCTCGCTCTTTGCTCCTCCTCTCTGTCATTATTCTCCCTGGCCGACGGTGGTGCGAGTTGTGAATTCAGCACGCTGCCTCGCCTGCTCTGATCAGGACTCATGGCAGGGGAGAAGTTGCTGCCATGCGACATGTCGAGAGACATCCGAGCGTCGCCGCCCGGAGCGAGATGCGGTTGGCGAAGATGCCGGTTGCCGTTGCTACCCGCCACGGCGCTTCCTTCACCGTGGTTGCCGTTGCCCAGGCGGTCCTTACGTCGGCCAGACTTGCCCGGGGATGTCAACTCGGAGAGCGACCGCTTGATCTGATGGCGTCGCGTTGGCGATGTCGTTTTTTGGGGCGAGGCGGCGCCGTTTGTGCTGGACATCATTTGACTTGTCCTGGGAGAACCAAGACTCGCGGCGCCTGCGTGGCCCGACGCCCCCGAGACAGTGTATATGCGACCAATATGATTGTCTCGTGCCGCTTTCCAGGTGTTTAATTGCTCGCTGCGTTGCAGATGGCTTGTTCTCGGTACAGAAAAGGTTTGGGTTCGGCGGAGCTTGCTGCTCTGGATTCCGAATGACCACCCCTCCCCAGGTACCCTGGTGGCGGCGGAGACAAAGTACCCGTCCAACCGTCGTCTCATGTCTTCACATGCCAAAGCAGCCAGGCCCTGTCTCAGCCCAGGCATAATCACATACTTGTACTAGTTTTTGCTAGCAGGTAATTCGTAACTGAAAATGAAACGCTCATCTTCAATTCATCAAGATTGGAATTTCTATTTTTAGTCTTCTCGTTCTTGTATTGTTCATTCCGCAGGCCCCAAAAATTGATGCAGAACATGCCCAACGCCTGCCTATGTGATTCCCATGTATGTACGTGTCAATGTCAAAACAAGATAAAGGAAGAAAAGAAAAGAGAGAGAGAAATTCCAAAAATCGTACGGAATGCATCGTAGCAGTATACCACGCGTCAATCCGAGCGCCTGCAGCAGCTTACTAACTAGAGTGAGGTCTCCATTTTGGCTCACCTCTCGGCAAGGTAAAATTATTCTGCGCCCGTGGCAGCGGCGTCAGGTTCAAAAATACCCTGCAGTGAGAGGAACCTATTCGATAATCCGATATTCAGTATGGCAAAGACCTTGCCCCAAAAGCGCAATTGTCGGTACCTCAGCGTCGTCGGTCTGGTCGAGTGCTCGTCGACGCAACTGCTCAAGAGTTGATGAGCTTGTTGCGCTTCTCCTTGCGTTTGAGACGCTCGACGCGCTTCTTGTGCATCTTTTCCGCCAGTTTCTCGTATCTCTCCTTTTCTGCCTTCTTGGCTCGTTTCTCGCGAATCGCATCCACCTTGCGCTGCGAAAGGTTAGCTGTGGACAGTGTGCAAGGTGCGCCGGACGCTTTCTTCGTACCTGGCGCTCTTCCTTCTTCTCCGTCTTCATTTCATTTTCTTTGGCCTTCATTTGCGCCATGAGCGTGCGCTCCTTGGTGCGCTTCTCGTACGAGGTCAGGCCCGCGGTCGGGCGGAAAGCCTTTTTCGGCGCATGCCACTGCTTGCCTGTCCACCAAGTTAGTGTTGGGGCACTCCTGCACACTTGCGATAAAACCTACCATTCTTCCTCATACCCAAGGGCTTCTCAGACTGAGTTACTTCGGGCAGGGGTGTGGTTTCCGCCATGTTTCTGCGGTTGTTGGGCAGCTTGGAGAGATTCTGTATCAGCATGCCACCACCAACGCAAATCTGGTCGACACCGTCTTGATTTTTTTTCTGCCGCCTGAGAAGCCATTGGGTGAGGGACCCCGACGCATGGGGAAAGGCGGTGTGTGGAACTAGCACTCTACAGCGGCACTGATACCCTTGAAGCGCTTGAATCCAGAAGGATTCGGTTTTTAGAAGCGTTGGTTTTAATTGGTTCGCAAAAATACTCGTGTGCACCATTGGAGGTTTCTTATTCCTCTGTCTTGCCTTACTGTGTATTATGCAGGAATCTTGTCCCGTCTGTTTGCGTAATCGACGTGAGCCAAAGACGCCGTAAACACAGCAGGCAAATATGAACACACTAAGTAAAAAATCGTCGAACAATACAAAGAAAGTAAAGAAAGCCAATCTACAAGCCAGCTCATCCTATTGGGGCTAATGCTAATGCGCTGCCCACCGACTAGACTGGCACTATATCAAGTGGCATATTTCGCACGTCGATTTGAAGGGATAATCAAACTTCGTTACTTCGCTGGCCACGGAAATTGGAAACAGGCAAGGTTTCCTGTGACAGGATTCTTACATGGTTGTCCGTCCCTTGCCCTTGACAAGTGAGATGCTGTGGACAAGATTGGTGTGCCAGGCCCACGGTCTCACGCCCACTGCGATTTCGCGATGAGGCGCCTGCACGATTTAAGCGATGTGATCTCACAATCTCACACACCGCCCCAGACATGAACTGAGCGTGCTATCAATAGTCGGATTGATGTGGCAACGGGGCACGCGAGGGATGGAATAATACAAGTCCGCATTATCATGAAGTCGATAATGTCCCACAGTCGAAGTGCTACCCTAGCTTGGCTCGGGCCATTAACGCAGGATCGAAGCAAAGGGAGACTGAAAATTGCCCCATCAGGATAATTTCTTCAAGGCTTGTCAGAAGCGCCGTGCAGATCAAAGGTCAAGCACGACAAGAGTGATGTGAAAAGCAGGGTTTCCCTTTGGTTGCACACGGCGACGGAAAGTGGCATGGGGCCGAGGGCGAGGAGGAAGCGTCATGGGCTTAATTTACCACCCCGGACGAAACCAGATTGAGGTTTCGATCCGACGTCTCTTCAGGATGGGGGAGCCGCTACCGGGATAGTATCGTCGCTAGCAACAGCTGAGCCCACGTCATCCGCAGGGATTTTCAAAGATCACGGCCCGTCAAAGTATTGGCAGATGCCAGGTTGCGGTGGTAGTTAGATAGTCTGTGTGTTTTGCGGTAGCTTAGACGCGGCAGTGCTGAGCAGGGTAATCAACAACGGGTGCGCAAACAGTAGTTATCTCGTCGGCCGATGAATGAAGGCAACCCAAATCTCCACATTCGGCGTCGCGACAAAGGCTACTGACGCGCAGCGGAGCGACTGTACATTAAATGTCTGCATCCGCAAGCGCTGGGCAGCTGGCTCAAACAGTTGACAAGGCCAGAGCTGCGGTGATGCGAGAAAACACAGTGCATGAAAAATATTAGAGCTCACGAAACCTCAGTAGCGCCGACCAGGAACAGGGGTATGGGTGAGAGACGATCTGGGGCGAGCTTCCTTGCAGAATAGCGCATTGCGATTTGCACAGAGTCAATTCCACCAGTACCCACTGCAATTAAAAAAAAATATAAAGAACTCGATCCTGGCAAAAATCCCAAAAAGGTCACGGTCATCCAAGCCACAAGTTCCACGCCGTGACGAATTCGGAAACGGGACTTGGCCGGAGCCGTTTATTAACACCTCGTATGGGGGAACCCAGGCGATGCAGGGAAGTCGGCAGCGGCGGCGGCCTCTTTTGGTGATGTTTCTGGTTACAACTTGCTAAAGGAAGAAGCCAAGGGCCAGAAAAGCGCCGAAAGTACGGAGTAATTGACAGGCAAACCGCGGATGGATACCGGAAACGGTCGTCTGGAACCGGCTGGTCTACATGATATTAGCAGACGGCATCCCGCTGCAAATCGCAATGCCAAGGGAGTCGCACAAGGGAGGGAGATTGGGGGCGCTAGGCACCGGGAGCAGGCATTGGGTGAGGGTGAGTGAGTGTGGAGGGCAAGAATGTGTTCTTGAGCCCTTGGGTGTTCGTTCGCATGACAGTTTGCCGTCAGCCATGTCTCTGATCGACTCGTGGAAAGCGGCGCCTCTTTGCAGCCCGGGCTCGACAGGCGAGTCGCTGATCGAGTCCTGAATAGGTCTGGCTATGGAGGCACTAACAGGTACTTGTTCGCCCGTTGATTCAGCCGCACTGCAGATTTTACGGTATTTGACTTGAGATCTGTGTCTTGTCGACTGGCGTCGGGAACAAGACTCTCTATGCATGCACGCACATCTTTTTTTGTCTCAAACGTTGCCGCTGCACACTGCACATATGTGTTAGGTTGCGGAGACTTTCCGTCGAGTCTCCAGCCTCACTCTTAGCCTACCTGTACTGTGAGAAGATAACTAACATAGAATCCGAGCCAGAAATAGTACTCGGGCCCGAGGAGCAACTACAATTCAGGTGGAAAGCGTTGCAGACTTGACGGTGGGACGGGCTGTTCGTTGGTATTATTAGGCAGGATCGCCAAGGGCCGCATCCGGGGTCACGGATAGGACAGGGGGGACATTGGCGGCGGCGACGGGCTCTGTTTGAGAGACAGGTGGCAGGGCAGTGCAAAAGGAGCTGTGTACCGAGTACTCTGTACGTGCGCGCGAAATACGAAAGTGCGTCTATTAATAAGTTCAAATAATAGCAGCCAAGAGAAACAAGGCGGCGGACTCTGCGCTGCATTGACCAAGCTTGATGTACCTTGGTGCATTGAACTGCAGTGACGGGCGGCTACGAAATACTTTGTTGCTCCGAGCGATTGACCAACTAGTTAGCCCAAGTTGTGGCCAAACCCCATCCATGTTGATTCAAAGTGTTGATGCTGCGGCGCACCGTGTCCTCCGGGCCGCTGCCGCTGCTAGTTTGCTTCATTGGTACCTGAAATCAAGGGAGGAAAGCCAAATATGGCCGAGGTTGGATCATTATTGCATGATGGGTGCGGCGAGGAAGCCGTAACAAGGTTTCCGTATACGAGTGTACTTGTGGTGACGACGCCAAAGTAGTCGAGCTGTAGATGGAGACAGAAACAATGGCCCAGGTCAGGTACCAGAACCGGGCTTCTGGAAGAGATGCGGATTGATAATAGTAGCTACCTATGTAGCCATGGCCGCCGCCGACTCGCGTGCAGCTTCCTGGCTAAATTCATTACTAGTTAGTGTCGCGAGATGAACAATGGCCATGGCGATTGGACCAAGATTTTAATAGGCTTTTGGCTCCAAGTGAAAAGTCATGCTTCTCGTATGTTGTTGTGGGCAAAGGTACAAGGGAACTTTATATTATGGATTGATTACTTCTTGCTGGTTGTGCTGGTGAGAAGTGTGTCTAGAGAAGCTGAGGATGGGTCGACTAGTTACGGCCGTGCTCTACTTGCTCATAGAGGGTTGACGTAAATAGAGATTCAGGTTGTTTCTTGCTCACATTGTTTTCTAATTACTTTTTTGGTCATGGCTTCGAAAGCGGTTAATTCTTTGCAAACATTACATGCGGATGGCTTTTTCCTTGACTGCCATATGGCACGTAGGACACAGCTGACCAGGATATGACAAACGCAGGGCGAGGGGACACTGTATGCACTTTGCGCCGCAGCAACAAGAAACGAGTTGGCAAGATGAGGGTGGTCGTAAGACTCTTGTGTTGATATGAATCAACTGACTTTTTACTGGTAGATTCAGCGACGACAAGTAGCGGTTAGAGTGTTAATATGCGTGCGCGCTGGGATGAGCGAAATAAGATGACCAATATTGACTCGAGGGTTTTGATCGATATTTGCAAAGTCGCGACGGAGGAAGTAAGAACTGGTAAATAGAGGCAGGGCAGCAGTGGGCAAGCAGGAGGCTGCCCTGAAAAGGCTCGTACCGTGCGGGCCTAGCGCACCCCACAGCACCAGGAGCAAGCTGAGATGGGCAAAATGGCGCTGGATTTTGGTTGCAAAGTTGGCACATTGGCTTGGCTGACCCGGTCGCAGGATGCAAAGTGGGAAGCCGAGTGGGAAAGCGAAGGAGAGGGTGGTGCCCATTGCCACGTTGTCGGTTAATAGTACTGATCGGGATTGATGACAATTGTGAGGAGTTGTGAGGAGTTGTGAGGAGTTGTGAGGAGAAAGCAAACCAATCTCTGTCCGGCCACCAAAACAAACCGACCTATTGAGCCAACTACCTACCTCATCTTTCCTCTAGACTGGATCGAGGCCAGGGGCATCTTGAGACTTCTTGGCTTCATGCTGCACAACGGCGCCGGCGCGCCGTAGGACTTTCGCCTCGCGGAGCCAGTCCGTCCGTCGGCTTGAGCTGCACCTGCAGGTCACGGCCATCAGCTGCGCTGTGGCGGCTTGCGTGACAGACTCACAGACAAGCTACAGCAGGCAAGCAAGTCTTGTCTTGTCGGAGAAAAAGGGGCGTACATGCGCCAGCAAACAAGACAAGAAAACCATCAAGCCACAGGAATCTTTTTCTCTCCCCTCTCCCCTTGACTTCGGCATATTCGCCTTGCCTCTGTGGGAGGGCTGCGTGTCAATCTCCGGGGATTGCGCGGGCAGTCTTGTATTACCTACTGGTTCCGGACGGTTTTGCAAGCAGTGTGCAGCACTTCATTCCTGGCCACCGAGTTTTGGCGCAACGCCATCCCGTCGGCTAGGCCACTGCAATCAGCCAAGTGTGGCACTCGGCTCTTGGTAAATGTTGCACAGCAGGAAGCCAAGATGCAGGTCACGATGTTTTGATGCCGGACACGGCATTGACGTTGTTGCGTGGGTAGGTGGTAGCTCAGCAACAACAGAGGGAATACGGTAAAATAAACGGCAACACCATGTTTGTTACCCTCGCAATCGTTATTATCTACTTTCGCAAATACCTACTAGTTAACGCCTAGGTAAATATTTAGTCGCTGCGCTCGAGTCGATAGCGCGCTGCACCAACTTGGAGCACGGGTCGTTGTTGGGCTGTACCTTGACGCCGCACTGAATCCCTGCCGCAACTGTGCAGGTAAACATCTTTTGGCCGCTGTGAGCGCGGAACTGCGATGCAAAATAAAAATAAGAATAAAAAATGGCACAGGCAGTTACCAGTAGGTAGGTAGGCACACAGGTACATACAGCCTCGCTGCCAGGCTGTGCTCCAGGTTCCTCTTGTGCTGTATTACCTGTGACCCGGCACCTGGGGCAGCAAGGCAGGTGCCAAGTAACACCACCCACAGCCATACCTAGTTAATGCACAGGCACCACGAGGCACCACAGGCACCACAGATACCACAGACACCACAGGCACAAAAAGGCACATACAGGCACCACAGGCACCACAGGCACCACAGGCACCACAATGTAGCCCACACATGAAAGATGCTGCAAGTGATTCACGTATCCTTCATTGCCCTTTTTGTTTTCACTCCATCTTACCCCCTGTACTTTTGCGTAGGTAGTTATTACCTGTCACTGCATCCGTCACTGCCTTTGCCGGAATCATTGGACCCTCCCATCCATCCATGATCCTCTCCCCACGCCCGTCTCCACCGGCCAACAAACAAACCTGGCCTAGCGCCAATGGCTGCCTTTTTCTCTCTCTCTTTTTTTTTGCTGGCCGCCGGGTTGCTTGCTGGGCCTTCTGGTCTCTCTCTCCACCCCAGCCTGCACTCACTCACTCTTCTAATACCTGGGCCCCGTTTCCTCCTTCTTCTCCCAGTCCGCCGCATCTTCATCTCTCCCCCCCCAATCTCGACGCCTTCGCGCGCCTCTTGAACTCGCCCCCCCTGGTGCGATTCCAGCTACTCCTCGATTTTCATTTCGAGTTGTCGCTGGTCTTGACCGTCCGCTCATTTTCCATTTCATCTCACTCTTTTTTTCTGCCTTGATTCTTCTGCACCAGCATTTTGCCCCGTTTGCTTTTCTTCCAGGTGCGTAGAATGCTTCCCCCACGCCGTTCGACGACATACCATCCATCGTTGCCCCCCTGCCCGGCGTCAATTTGCCCTTGCTGATGCTGACCACTCCCCTTTCACCCTCTAGATACATTATTTATGAAGCAGACTTTATTCGCCCTCACGACTACCTTTGCCGACCTCTCACGACTTCCAATCACGACCCTGTTACCTCACGCATCTCGCCTGTCGCGTCATCCCATGATCACCACACACTTATAGTATTCATCCTACGTTTTGCCGCTGCGCGGCTGAAGGAATGATGGCCGCTACGTTCGGTTCTGCCTTGGGCCGCAATGACTCGTCTCCGACGCTCCAACCCTTGACCTACAATGCTAGACAAGGGCGACCTTCGGCTGCCTCATCGCGCCGAGATGCACCCGTCGCGATCCCCGATTTCGTGTTTCCTGCTCAACCTGCTCCCACAGAGTCTGCGTCCGATGTCAAACCAGCCGAGCAACTCTCACCCACCGCTCTCAATATCCAAGAGTTCCGCTTTCCCGCTCGCGACAACCATCCTCACCGGCCTGCTGCGCTTCCCGACTTTAGCTTCAATCCTGGTGCTGCAATGCCTCATAGCCTAGATTCGCCCGCGTTTCTTAGCCCGCCCACCTCGCCGCTTTCTCCCAATACTGCGCTTTCTCCCTCCAGACCCGTTCGCCATGGCCACCGTCGAGGCGGCAGCGAGTTCGTCGGCGGAAGCATACGCGATGGTAGTTCCATCGCTGTTATGAGCACAAGCCCCACGAAAGAAGGCGGCTTTCCTCAATTGCTACAGCCACCGCCGCCCCGACGAGGCCATAGAAGAGGCATGTCAGGCGCTATTTCTACAAATGACTTGCCCATCTTGCAACCGCCCGCTATGGATTGGACTCCCAAGGGCAGCAGTGCTCCCAACAGCCCGACCAATTTTGACCAGGGTATTAACGCTACTATCCCGCTGCCAGACGACCCTCCGATTTTGACTCAGCTCCCCGAACCTGTTCAGGAACCTCCCACTCCCGCAAGTTCAACCCGAGAACAGGACTCTTTTACGCCACCTAGCCTCAAACCTGTGAGGACTGTCGCCAGAGCTCGTGTCGGCTTCTCAGACACTCTTGAATTTATTCCTCGGCCATTATCTCTGGTGTCTAGTGATACATCCAGCACTGTGACCGCGCGACCAGGACACTGCATGTCTGAAAGCATCTCTTCCGTTGTTTCCCCTGCTTCCTTTGGTGATGACCATAATCCCTCCCCTCTCTCACGCAGCCCGTCCAAAGAGACGCAAGAATCGAGACCTTCGACAGCAGGCGCTATCCTGGAATCTTTTGCCTCCCCTCAACTTGAGCAAACAAGCTCGTCGCCCAGACGCCGAAACTCGATTCCGACTCTCATAAGCGTTAGCGAGCCTACTACTGTCAGCCCACCGCTGCCCAGCCCAATCAAAACGTCAAAACGTTGGTCTTTCTTTGGGCTCGACACGTTGAGTCCTTCGACCACGTCCACAAAGTGTCGTCCCATTAGCTCAAGCTCTTCTGATTCTGCCTCGCGCGCTCACACTATCTCATCCTCGGACCGAGGCTCGGACTCTGAAGCTGCAGAACCGTCAACACTGAAGCGGAAGAAGAACAGAAAGTCTCGGACTGAAACTGTCAAGGGTTGGGCTGGCGCAATCCTGCCCATCAAGAGCAAAGGTGAGAAGCGCAGATCCAAGCACAGTACTGTGCGACCACCAACTCCGCCACCATCCGTCACACCCATGGATGAAGATGACGAATACGAGGACGTGTATGCTGGGCAGGAATCTACCCCAGCCCCATCTGTACATATTCAGCCTCCGGAGCCGCCGGCCGTGGTGACACAGCAGCCGCAGCGACCAGATGAGATCATGTCACCCATGATCGATCTCGATGCCGCACTTGGCCCATTCAATACACCACTCCCGCACAATCCAGAGTGGGAGGCGGCACAGCGCGCTGCTGGCGGTGCTAATAGACGTCGTCTGCACAGTGCTCAGGGTATGAAGGGCTTTGGCGGTCCCGGTATGCACTACCATAGACGAGCTGAATCGGCACCTGATCTACCACCCTTTGATGCAGGTCGAGCCGTCATCAATCGGTTCGGTAGCAACTCAACAATGGCCGATGTATTTGAGGAGGAGGAAGAGGAAGATGAGGGCAGCGATGGAGGCAATACGACGTGCGCCCCGGAAACGGATATCAAATGTGAATCCAGGGCCGAGACTATAATTTTCAGTGACAGTGGATCTGAAACCACCAGCCTCCGGGGTCTTGCTGTGCGACGAAAGAGCTCGGGACTGAGCGATAAGGATCACATCGGCGCTCGCTCTGTGCGCGCTGAATGCTCGAGGACATCCCTGCACGAAAGTGTCATTGTCGAAGAGCCCACTTCAGATCCTATACTGCAAAGCCCCTTTGTGTCACCAAGCCACAGAGACTCGTGGGACTCGACCGGCCCTTCACCGAGGAGGATCCTGCACATGCAAAACAGTGAGCCCCTGCCTGTTGATGCAGTTGCCCTGTCACTCCCTCAAGGCACCTCCATGCCACTAAGCCCTTACTCTATTAGCACAGCATCGTCGCACCCTTCACCAAGGTCACCCATGTCTGATGCTCAGCGTGTCTCGACAGCTCCTTCTTCGGTGGCTGAGGACAACTCCTTACATTCGCTGCTCATGGGCGAACCGGGTCCAGAAGTACGCCGCTCGATGGACTATGACATTCCCTCTCTCACTTCTAGCACATCGACGATGACTAGAGAGAGCGGCTTCAATCCGCAAGCTCGTCCGCAGCCGAGCACTTTGCGGGACCAGCGACCGTCTTCCATGTCGTCGGCGGCGTTTGGACGTCGACGATCCAGTCTCATCAGCCTCAGTCGACTCATCAGCAGCTCGCACGGTGAGCGCAGCAAGCTCTCTACCGAGCTGACATTTGAAGAGGCCGAGAGCAGAGCGCGTGGCAGCAAGAAGAAGAAGCCCGGGCGAAAATGGCAATTCTGGAAACCAAACAAACCTGGGCCATCCACGTGAGAATCATCCAACATGCTGGAATTAGCGTCCAAAAAGGAGGATACAGTTTCGACGAACTGTTTTTGCGTCTCACAATCCTACAACTCTTTGTTTTTATACATTGCTAGGTTGTTGGCAGCACAGTCTATCAAGGCAGATGGACTTGTCCCAAAAAAGAGAAGGAAATGTACTTTGACGCGAACACCAACGCCGCGCCACGCACCAGAGAGGACTGCACGCAATGCAAGTCGTAAACAGCGTCGGTGACATTATGGACGAAGAGAGAAAGAAGAAGGACAAAGCCCCTCCTCATGATGATGTATATAACAATTCTCCTTTCCAATCTTCATTTATTCTAGCAGTCGATAGCATGAGGCTTCGGGGACGGGGCGGCTTTGTTGGTTCCTACTCTTCTTGTTTCCCTTTTTTTTTCCTTTTCGTTTTGTTCTCGGATTTTTTTTTCTGCTTTCAGCGCAAGGGTCGAATTTGTGTCACGGTGGTTATTTTCTATTTTATTTAGCAGACATTTCGAAGACATTCTGCTGGGATTCTTTTGCCTGTTTATTATGCTCTTGTTTGCAAGAGGTAGAATATACATGGAGGAAAAAAAGACTAAGAAAAGGAGGAACGTTACAAGGTTGCAAATAGCATACAACATGTCAAGTGTTGCAGAATATACTACTACATTATGCAGATGTAACATGGATGCAGTGAATAACTTGTATTGTGATGTATTTGATCATGTCATCAAGTTGGGCTATCTGGCATGAATGGGTAGAGTAAACTCTTGAAACGGGAGAGCTTCTCATTATGTGCCGAAGTGTGCAATCTGCATATATTGAGTATATAAATATATATATAGAGAGAGAGAGAGAGTATGTATGTGTGTATGTGTAGGCGTGACCTCGAATCAAGGGGCACATATGACGGATGGCCTTGTCGTAACGAAATATATGCCTGTATATATGCATATTCAATTGTTTCCAGATTCGCATCAACGCAGTCCGATGCGAACACAATATCAAAGACAGAACAAGTAACTCGCTTTATATGGGCATTTTGACCCCTTTGAGTAGCTTCTTAGATGAACATTTTGGCAACGCCGTTGACCAAGCCACTGGTCCAGTCATCGCCGCTGCCACCATGGGTTCTAGAGCGAGCAAAGTCCTCGAAAGCGTCAAAACCACCGCCGCCGCGGCGTGAATAGCCGTCGTGGCTACTGCTACCGGCGAAAGCACCACCGCGAGTGCTACCGGCGCTGGCGCCGCCAGCCATGCGCACGGCGTCGCTGACAAAGCCAAAGCCATCGCCCGACGCGGCGCGCGAGGCCATGCCAAGGGCACTCTCGAGAGACGGGGGCATGCGGAGGCCGAAGCGTGCGAGGAGGGCGGTCAGGGCGCCACCGGTGACGAGGGGCATAATGACCATGAAGAAGACCTTCCAGGGATGGCGCTTGAACCAGTGGATGAGGTCGCGGAGCAGGCGCTTGAGCTGCTTGTAGGTGCGCTGCATGAAGCCCTTGCGCGGAGAGCGTTTGTAGTATGAGGAGCGCGAGTTGCCTGTGCGGGGTGCTTGTGTGTTAGAGAGAGGGATCTGGGAGTCGCTTCATGCGAAAATTCAAATTCCTCTCGATTAGGAGGAGAGTAAAAAGGGCTTAGACGTACCGCCAAAGAGGGAAAAGCTGCCGCGCGAGGAATTACCAAGAGGCAGTCCGAAGAACGAGCCGCGCGAGGCATTGTGCTTGCTGTAGGTGCTATCTTTGCCGAAAAAGTCGCTGATCACGGAGCCACCGAGGCCGCGATCGCGTTCGCGGTACCGGCCGCGGGAGCTGGAGCGGGAGCGGCGACGCTTGCTGGTGCGGTGGCGGGAGGAAGAGCGACGTTGGTGATGGCTGCTCGAAGGGATGGACAGGCCCTCGGTGAAACCTTCTGGAAAGAAAGGCATGGTAGCTGCGCTGGGTATGTATTTGGGGTGTGCGTGGCTGGGTGATTAGGAAATTGATGTTTTGCAGCTGGCGCGGCGACGGCAAAGGGGTCGCTTTTGAGTACAGGAAAGCTGGGCGAGGCTCCAGTCACAATGACAGACAATTGGCTGTCCAATGTTGCGGGTTGCGGGTTGCGACACCCAAAGGCGCACAGAGCTTTCTATGTCAATGAATCGGCAAGACGGGAAAATGTCTGACGTGGTGGCTGAGATTGTGTAACTTGTCAAGGTGCATATATCTAGTTGAATGTCGCACAGAGTCGAGCGAAAGAAGGCGCTGCTTTGCCGATTTCAACGAGGATGGCGCGCCGAGACTAGGAATTAGAAAAGAGAAAAAAAAACCCTGTGTGGTGCTGGTCGGTCGATGGAGAAGGAAGGAAGAGGTTGATGCAAGATGCAGGCAAGAGGAGTCTTTACGAGTCGGGAACCAAATCCATGGCCGCAGGCGTCTAGCAAGGCAAATAGGACATTTTGTCTCTGGAGGTGAGCTGCAGCGGTGTTGCCTTGCATGTCCTGCAGCTGAGCCTGCAGCAGGCTTGACCGTAAATTCGAATGGCTGGGAAGCAAAGCGAGGGCGGGGAAGAGGCAACGTTAGACTGCTTGGCTACTAACAGATCTGCCTAGTCCGTAGTACTGATTTCTGTTAAGTTGACACGATGCGGCGCCAGGTGCCCGCTAAAACTACAGGGGCCGGCCCGCTGTAATCGCTCCATGTGGTACTCCGTAGAGTCCACCTTGACGCAAACGAGCCGCTAACAGATTTTGCCGACACATGCCACTTGGAGCAGGCACAGCAGGTTAGCGATTACGATGCAAGGTCCGCTAATATAATTACAAGGCCGCATTACGGTGCATCATTAGGACCCATCTTTGCAAAGTTGCTCTTTGGCACCGCAAACACAATTAGGCCGCTATACCCCGCCGCCGAAATTACATTACTATGCCTGAAGATAATTTGTTAGACCTAGCTAGCTGGTTCTGACTTAGCAGGTGTATGTGCTGGACGTGGCCCGTACACAGCTATAAGTAGCCAGAATCAGGCCAGTACTAGCTAGCAAGAATAAAGCTTTTATATCACCATCACTACTACCAGTACCAGCGTACTATCGTCTTTATCGACGTAACACTAAGGCTAGCCCATGATAATAAGAGGTATAGTCTAAGCTAGCTAATCATAGTTCTAGAGGGAGGGAATAGAGAATAGACCGGCTTGTCATAGTAGGGAATCGGTTGGCCTATTATAGTTATGGAAGAACCCCGAAATTTATAACATCCGTTTTATAATCTACAACACGTAACAGCTAATGTGCCCCTTAACCACTTCACATGCTCTACCATCCTGCACTATTTTTCCCTCCTAGCACACGCATATCAAGGCGCCGCATAGAGGCACATAAGACGCTTGAAAGAGGCGCTTCAAGGCACTCTCAGGGGCCATATCGAAAGCACGCGCTGGAGGTACGCTGAATGCACGCTAGAGGGCGATTTTTTGTTAGTGACTCTGATTGGTCCGTTAAGGCCCATAAATTACCTTAATAGGCCAGAATCACGTTACAAGATTCAAATCGTGCGTTACAAATTTCAGGGTTCGTCATGGAGGGTGGGAATCCGCCTTGAGTTGGACTAATCTATTGCAGGAGAGTTGAGGCAGGAGCAGCCTTCGGTTCAACCAGCCGAGAGGACCAGTATAGTGCGGGGGAGCCGGTGACAAGCCTCCAGGTCGACTAGCCTAGAGACTCCAGAGGGGGGTGGGGATCAGCTGGTCGGCTAGCTGGTGAAGATTACTGCACCTACTAACCGATGACTCCCTCCTTCCTCTTCAGTGCACCTAACGCTCTGTATGCCAAGTTTGCAATAATAGCCTGTAGTGCCAGGCACGCACGCATGTTCACTTGTAAATTCGGTACAATACACTTGAACAAAAGCTTTTCCCGTCGAAACTACCTCCCGTCAGCTTAATCCTGCTGGGGAGATTCGTCGCCTTCATACGAGAGCATATGGAAATGGGGGGTGTGCCTTTATACGACAGCGTACATATAAGAGCGCATAAAAGTAGGTTGTGTGCTTTCATACGACAGCGTTTGCCTTTCTACGAGAGCGTGTGTAAATAGGCGCGTGCCTTCGGGTTGAGCTGGGCACAACGCCTACTCCCGTTCCAGCCTCTTGCTTTCGGCCAGTTTCCGTGCGCACTCCCTAGCTAACACGAAGAGATGCTTTCTGTAAGAAGCCTCAGCTGAAGCAGTAAAAATGTGGACCCCAACGTTCATTGATGTGGCTTAGGCCTTGTACGTTTATATCAGCGGCCGATAAACCTTATACAAACTTTAATCTCATTACACGCACATCACATGGCTTCCGTGAGACGAAATTATAACAGTAGTGCGATTCAGCCCTGCGAAGCTCTACTGATATAGCGCCAGATGCTAGTGATATTATAGAGGCTTTAGCTTTCACACCTAGCAACCATATCAACCACATTGAAATAAAGCATGAGTGCATAGGCGGATCTTGCCGTGATTCTTCTTTCTTTTGACGACAGTGTCTTAGAATCGCCACCTAACTGAACTAAAGCGTGAGTGCATAGGCGGATCTTGCCGTGATTCTTCTTTTGACGACAGTGTCTTAGAATCGCCACCTAACTGTAATCCAGTGGCTTCAGGCCTAGACGGGTCTTTAAAGAAGTAACTCCTTAAAATCAGTACGGCCTTTAAGATGTACAGAAGGAGATATATATGTCACCTTCGCTAGAGTGAGAGAAAGCGCGAGAAGGTGACCGGGGGTCGTTTAAACTGGCTTTATGGCTTGGCTGTTTGCAGAGTAAACTCACGATAGGAGATTATTATATACGCCACTTAATACACTATTACGTCTTACTGAGCTTCATAGCTGAACATTGCTCTAATAGGTCTTTGAGTATTTATATCTCACTCTCCGCCCAAATGAGCAGAACTTGAATCAAGGTTACTCAAATCAATCTCTCAACTATCTGTCTCTTTTTGACACCGTGGATACCAACAACCTTCCCGATTGGTGTGGTACTATTGCAAGACCAAGAACAAGTCCAGGATCATTGACGTCCCCAACCACCAAGACTCTCAGAACTTTGACTCATTTGTCTACTCCTCCAACCATGGCGTCTCAAAACGTACTGACGGTCTCATCCAACACGAAGCAGAAGCTTCAGGTCATCAATCATGCTGGGGGTAAAGCCCCAGCCACCTTGAGCAAGGAAGACCTCAAAAAGAATCTTGAGCAGAAGGCTTCAGATGCTCCGTCCAATGGAGAGCCGGTCTATACATGCGTGACCCAACGCAATGCTCCACGTTCTTCTCCAGCTGCCATTATGGTTGGCCTGTTTGAAGAAATTCCTCGCTGGAAAGCTGGCTCCGTCATCAACTTCGCCGCCTACGCCGATGGCTATCCGGCGCCTGGTGATGCTATTTACGCGGCGAACTGCCTCATCGAGGCCGCCGAGGTATGGAACTCGGCAAAAGTCGGAGTCACGTTCAAGTGGGTGCCCAATGTCGAAGATGCGGCATTTGTCCTTGCCTATGGCGGCAAGTTGAGCACCGTTCTCGCCAGCGCCTTCTTCCCGGGCAAGATCGACCTAGAAACTTTGTACGTGTACGAGCACGGCTTCGACAAGACCGAAAAGACCTCCAAGAGAGGCAAGTATAGCAACTACCAGATCATGAAGAATGTTTTCCTGCACGAGCTGGGCCATGTCTTGGGCTTGAGACATGAATTTGCTATGGACCCGGGCACCTTTGAAGGGGGTGCCATCGTGATGGGCTCTTCGAATATCGAGTCCGTCATGAGCTACGTCTTTCCACCCGAGCTACAAGAGTCTGACATCAAGGACACTCGATACTTCTACAAGCATCCCCTGATCGTTGACTACGCTCCTAACAACTAGGGCTGGATGGCCAGTCTAGAAAGGCAACAAACTGTTGAGTCTAGTATGCGATCTGTGTTACGATCTGCGTCAGTTGCTAGTTGTGGGGCTGGTTCGGGCGTGTATATCCGGGGAAGTTAGTTCTGCCTTGACTTTAACTTTCTTTTCGGAGAGTAGAGGCACCTTGCTTTATCTCTTCTTTAATTAATGTAATGTTTAATAACTAGGAAGTAGTATCTTAGGTAGTCTAAATTGTCTTTATTTATATACTAATATTACTAAATTAAACAAATTTATATTGAACCCGGACTTGATGAGCTATGCCTAATTAAGTAATTCATATAGACCCCTTAGGGCAGCTATTCCCCGCAAGGCCTTTAAGGTTATCTAACTCTTCTGTATTATCTCTGCATTGACTGTGTTATCGCTAAGCCCGTTGCGCTTATTAGTGATGAGTTCACTGCCGTTAGAGAACACGCGCTCTAGTTCTGCGCTTATAGCCGGTATTTTGTTATTTTTATTGGAAGTAAAGTGGTGCATTGAGCGGACTGGTGCACTGACCCCGCCAACACGGTATAGGTCGCTTGGTTGTTCAACACGTAAACTACTTATTTAATACCAACCCTGCAACTTGTAAACTACATACACAGACTCTGTATATTACTACAATTGTAAAAACAGAAAGACCAACAAGGACAGAGGGCTATTTACTTGGCCGCTTCTACACAAAATGGATTGGCAGTGAATATGCCCTTTGGGTCAGCTTGCTTCCTGATCTGCTGCAGCTTCTGATATGTTTTGGGATCGTAGTAATACTGCCAAACATTCTTCATGTCCCAATCACCATAAGATCCCCAGAGGAGGCGGCGGTCGTCCTTGCTAAAGTGAATAAGTGACCCCTTATCGTTTTCAGCCTGCCATTCATCGGCTTTGTTCTGAGTGTCTTGGTAGAAGATGTCCCAAGTGCCGGCAAGGGTGGCATCCCTCCAGCTATAAGCCGTGCCATTATTGGCATTCTTCCAAAACATTGAATTTGTTCCGCCCATGGCCTGCAACTGGGAGGATACCCATAGGCCATTATCCTCCTCAGAAAGAACCTCATCGATGCGCCCAGAGAACCAATCGGACCAACCGTCTATGGAAAGCGTGGTTGATTTGGTCGTCTGGGTGCGCTTAACGTATGGGTGGGGGAACTCGCGTGGACTTCTGAAGAGCCACCATGATGTGATTTTCGACATTGGATATCCTTCAGGGGTCTCCTTGCCAAACTTCAAGAAGTGGGGAATACTCCTGATTCGGTCGAACAGGTCAGGTGAATAGGTATCCGTCCCGAAATTAACCCATTGCGCGTACACAACGATGAGTGCATACTTGAACTTGAATAGATCGGCTATGTGATCTTTGCCGTCATGAATTTCGTTTGGCAAGTTTTCCTTCAGTTCGCTTTCTGGGCCGGGGAACAGGTCCAAAAGGTTTGTCTGCCTGCTGAGGACGTTGACGTTGAAGTCGTAGCTGCGCTCTAAATTTGGATCCTCTCCCTTCTCCACGAGAATGTCAAGGAGATACTTCAATGTGTCCGGTTTGTAGGGAAAAGCCATCCATAGTCCCTTGGAACCTTGATACTTCCGATCTTCTTGGACTTCGACCTTGAAATGCGTCAAAACTCCCATGTTGCCAGGGCTGCCACCAAGAAATCCATAGAACAAGTCGGGATGGGTTTCTTTGGTAATTTTGACTACATTGCCGCTGTAATCTACAATCTCAAGTTCGACGATATAATCGCCCAACAGGCCAAAGGATCGAGCAAGCATTCCATAACCGCCTGTCTGGACGTGCCCTCCAAGGCAAACCGTGGCACACTGTCCTGTTGGTAGGAATACCTCGTTGTCCACAAGAAAGTCGTAGAATTCAGACAAGGTCCAGCTGACACTTGATTTGATATAGACCTTGTCGTTGATAGTATCACGGATCAGTTGCAGATCAAGCTTGCGTTGTCGGAAGGTAGGTTTCAAGTCCAACTGGATGCCATTAGGACCAGTTGAGGATGCACCACTGTACTGGTGGCCTCCACTTCTAATGGCAATCGGCTTGCCAGTAGAATTGGCATATTTGACAACATTCTGGATATCTTCGATACTCGTGGGCTGCAAAATTGCTCCAGGGTTCATGTCGTGCTCCTCTCCATAAGTGGACGTAGCGTACAAGTCGTTTGCCTGTGTATAGGCGGCTGTTCCTGGCATGAACTGGTTGCCTTGAATTTCTGGGTTGAAAGTCATCATGTATGAACAAGTTTTCGATGCCTAGCTTTAGATTGCCAATTAAAGAATCAGTGATTGATTTGCCTCAGAGACGGGCCATTGTCTATTAATATATACGATCGAGCATAACATCAGTAGGCATTATTTCTTGGACGCGTGATCTTGATTCTCAGCCCACTGTGAATAGCGTGTAATGAAACACATATGACGACTCCCTTACATGTGACGACTGGCTTGTGTGAGCGCTGCAAATGCATGAAAAGAGGGGTCCAAAAGCTAAATTAACGGTATCTTCCAGCGGCTGAATGGCTGAAAATCCGCTGCGGTACTAGATGCGGGAAGTGACTTTAACAAATGGACGCATCCAGAGTAATCACATGGTCTGGAGTATGAGCGGGCTGCTCAGATCCGTGCATCCGAAGGTTGGGACAAGGTTCACTATGAAATTTACAGCGGGGACTCTTCCTGGCTTGGCAGCCGTTACGCAAGTGGTATCTCTAAAAGCAACTTGATTAGTTTCTCTATAATTGAAAGTTGGCCGTCTGAGATGTGTGATGAAGAGATGGTCCGCCGTGTTCTTGGGAGACTTGCGCAGACGAAATGCTGAGAGTTGAGTGCTGGCCAAGTATTCAGCGCCAGACAGTTTATCAAAACCGTTTGTTAAAGTTCAGGATGGAAGGCCTTCCGACCTGGATCTGCTGGGGCTGAAGTGCAAAAAAAATACGGGTTGCCAAATGCGGGGAATTGACGCCTCGTAGTCGTGTGGCTGGACGAATGCCTTATGTACTCTATTCTGACATCTAATCGTCGCTCTTTCTTGGCATCTATAATAATTAGCGTATAGAGTAGGTTTTCAGCGTGGAGTCCGTTTTCACCTCCCCCATGTTGCAATCGGAACCTTCTACGAACCCCCAGATTTATAATATATATTTTAAAATATGTAACGTAGGCGAATGTACCCCTTAATAAATCTTCCTATCCTCTACCATTTGTTCAATCAAGCCTCTATAGTATAGTGGTCTTATACCAGAGAGTTCTACATAGGTTAGTATATAATTATTAGTTTAAATCTAGCTAGAGGCACCTTTTTTTTTGTTCTTTTTTCGCTAGGAAGCCAGGGACTAAATATCAACAATTTATAAAGGAATTAAACTAGAAGAAATCTGAGGTAACTATGGATTTAGGTAGAGTAAAGAATATATTATTAGGTATATACTAACTACTATATAATAATAACTATTATAATTAATATAAAATTATATATAACTACTATAAATGGTAGATTTAAGGACTTGGAATCATTAAAATATATATTTATATATAATAACAAAGTAAAATTGATATATATAATGGCTTCTTTGCTCGTTACCTAGGTAGAAGAGTCGCCCCCACGCAACCCACTGCACAAACCACACCAGCGGCCCTCGTCTTGACCTCTTTTTGTATCTGCAAATCCATCGCTCCTGCAGCGATCCATCTCTATGGAAACTTCATCGGACCCTTTAGGCATCAACAATCGATCTCATCGGGCAGATATTGTCCACATTTCCGGTCTATGCTGCGGCTCGTGCGCTACGTACGCTACAGTTGCGAGCAGCAAGCAAGTCAGCTGCAGTGACACTGGACGATTCTCACTCATTCAACAAATCAATAGTTTCCACTAATCCGGCATTCTCGTTCATATTTCTATTGAAGTTGGGCACAAATGCATCCTCCCCCGTCTACCGAGTCGTGTAGCCCCCGTTGGCAAACAGCGTCTGGCCGGTGATCCAGCCGCCCTCGGTCACCAGGAAGCGTACCAGCGGCGCAATGTCCTGCACCTCGGTCAGCCGTCCGCCCAACGCCTGGCTCTTGTGAAATGCGACGGCCTCGTCCGACTCTTGAGGGTAAAAGAATGCTAGAACAACGTAAGTCAGTTTGACGCCTTGCTGCATGACGTGGGCGGAAAACGTTGCAAAAGAAAAAAAAAGAAAAAAAAAAAACGTACGGGTGTCCATGGGACCGGGCGCGACGGCGTTGACGCTCACCAGCCGCGACTGCAGCTCCTTGGCGGCGCCACGCGTAAAGTGCTCGACGGGCGCCTTGGACCCGGCGTACGACGTGTACAAGCCGGTAAAGGCGGCAAGCAGCGCCGTCACAATGGTGACAATCTTGCCCCCGTCGGCGACGTGCTTGCTGCCGGCCTTGAGGATGAAGAAGGCGGCCTTGGAGTTGATGCTGCCAGAATGTCAGTCTTTTTCTTGTCTTGCCGCAATGAAAAGCTGACAAAGCTACAAGAGATTTGGGAACAAGGGGGTAAGAAAGAAAAGAGGAAGAGGAAGAGGAAAAGCAGACTCACGCAAACATGGAATCGTATTCCGCCTCGGAAATCTCCCCAATCGCCTTCTTCAGCACCTTGCCCACCGTATTCACCACAATGTCGATCCGGCCCAGATCCGCCTTGGCCGCCTGGAACAGCTTCTCCACGGCCGCCTCGGTCGTCAGGTCGCCCTGGTAAAACTTGACCTTTGCGCCCGGATACTGCGAGGCCAGCTGCTGGCCCAGCGCGTCGGCGTCGGCCTTGGACTTGGCCGAGTTGTAGTGCAGAGCCAGGTTGGCCCCGAGCCCGGCGAGCTCCCGCGCGATCTCGGCGCCCAGGTTCTTGGCGCCGCCGGTGATGAGGGCGACTTTGCCTTGGAGAGACATGGTGAGCTTTGTACGTGTTTTGCAATGATGATGCGGCGCAAGTAGCGTTTGCGATGGAAAGTAGTATGCGGCTGTTGGGGGAGGCGTTTCGGGTGTCCTGTGTAAGTGGAAGTGAAGCAGAGGAGAATACAGCAATCAAATGAAAACAGGACAAAACAAGCTGTTTAAATAGTTCTTGTTACCGAGATCTCGAGCCTTGCCAATGACTGCATACCACCGCCCATTGACGTATTCGTTTCATCGAAGCGTCTGGCCAAACTCTCATCAGCTACCCACACTGATAGCTCCAACGCGGTACACCAGCCAATGTAGATGATGCACAGTGAAAGCTGGTACCAAGCTAGTCCTCACACTCCAAACGCCACTCAGCTTCAAAAATCTACTCTACTTCAAACTTTGGCGAGGTCAGGCATGGGTGGGGGGATCGGCATGGCTGAATCGGAGTAAGCGTGCGAGCTGGGTCGTTGTAATTCCGATGCTGCCCCCAGCGTTTGACCACAACTTCTCTCTACAACCCACCACGGCGGTTATTAGGTACAACGTCCGTCAATAAGGTTAGAGGGATAAGTACGGAGTAACGTTGGACGGCTTTGTGGATTCAGTAGTTCTCGCCCGGAGCTAGGGATTGCGCTCCATTCTGTAAAGCCGGTTTGTTGCTGTTCTCAGCCTGCCTGCCATTATGCGCACCAAACTCTGTTCAGTGGGTGCCATCATCGGCTTTCTGCATTACTCTTGAAGGTGATAGCAAAAAGCAGTCTTTCCTTTTCACATCTCTAGGGTGAAAATATTCCTTTCCCCTCTTTCCCCAATTCTTGTATGTAATCCGTCTTTCGGATCTCTGCAAGGTACTGCGCCCTTCTCTCCGAATCAGATCTTGGAGTTGCATCTTACTTGCGCACGCCTTTCTACTAGACCAATTGACGCAACTTTGTTCGCAGATGGCGTAAAATATCATCTTTTACGATTCAATGACATTCAGCTCTTAGGTTGCCTCCTACAACGCACTTCCCCATGCAAACGTAATAGTAAATTCATGCCTTCTGTCTTCAGCCGGCATAATTGGCCATCCTTGTTCAAGTTGGCTTTTCCATCTCCATATATACATCTATACAAAATTTGCATCAACCCCTCAACACGCACGACTATATTCTGCCCTCGTCAGCTCCTGCCCCGACTTGCCATCACCTCGTCGAGCTCAACGTGCACTCGCAGTCCTTTTGCCGTCATCATGCCATACACAGAACGCAGCTCGTCCGACGCCAGATCCCCCGTGAGCGTCGTAAACGCCTCCATAAACACCGACTTCGCCCAGGGACAGTGGCGCAGCGCGCGGTACAGCACATCCACCGCACCCTTGCCTCCGCGCCGCAGCTGCCGCCTATGCGCGTGCGCGAACCGGACGTACCACGCCCAGAGCGTCGCGCTCGCCCGGCAGGTGTCGCTGCGGACGGCCTGCTCAAACGCCGCCTGCGCCGTGTGCGCGTTGCCCCGCGCGAGCTCGTGCTGCACGGCAAAGAAGCGCGCGCCTACGCTGTCTGCCCGCGGCGCCTGATCGCGCAGCAGCTGGCGCGTCTCGTCGACGATGCGGAGGCCGGCGTCGGACCACTCAAGCATCGAGAGCAGAATGGTGTTGGAGGGAAAGCTCTGCAGGTGCTTGCGGACCTGATCTCGAATGTAGACTCTGCGGTGCGGCCTAAAAAGAATTAAACGGGAGCTGTTAGCTGCAGATTCTGGTTTCGACAACATGGTCTGGTTTTGACAACATGGTTCTCAACGTACCCTCTTGTAGCATGCATGTATAGCAGATGAGCACCAAACTGGACGAGACGCTCGCCGGAGGGGCTGGTGCCGTGTCCGCGTGCCGCGATTTCTTGTCTTGCATAGTCCAGCGTCTGCATAGCCGCTGCTATGTTGCCCTGCGAGAGCGACATGGGCTCCGTGGCTTCACCATTGGTCAGGTAGCTGTGTAGAACAAGACACTCGGCGGCTGTCTCTGCCGACTCAACGTCACCCGTAAACAGTGCCTCCGACATGCCGTCTGAAAACGTGGTTCTAGCTTTGAGTACGTCGGCAAAAGAGACCTCTGCACTGCTGGCGGCGCAGAGGGCCCTTTTAGAGGCCGCGATATCTCCATTTTCGAATGCTATCCAGGCTGCAGTATGATGTAAACGAAGGCGACTGCTGTGTTGGGAAAGCTACATTCATGTTAGAACAAGTCGAATCACTTGAATAAAGTACCAATACTTACCATCGAAGATGCGAGTGATGATTCGAGGACCTTTGCCGCCACGTCGGTTGCCCCCCTCGCGTGCTCTGCCAGAGCATAGGCGTTATAAAGAGACGCACTGTCGGGACTTTGCTTTAGTAATTTCTTGGCAGTCTTTTTGACAGATGACGGGTCCCGCGCAAAGGATATAGCCAAGTAGTACTCTGACAGGTCTTTGCACCCGGCAGAGAAAATGAGTTGGCCGAGTAAAGTCTCTAGCCAGCCACCGTCAACCGCAGCGTTTAGTAATTGTGACTGAAAATACGAAAACCACTCCTTTCCAGAAAACAGTAGCCTTGACGATATAGCAAAGGCACTATGCGACCGATCAAAGAGCGGCGGGCGGCGTGAAACGGACTCGTCTTCGTGCAACTCATGTGTTGCGTCGTCGATGCTCACGCTCGGTATGTTGCTCCCTATAGGAGCGAGAAAATGGTCCTTATACAACCTTCTTGCCCATTCACTCGATGAAGCAGGCGGCAAGCCGCAGAATATGAGAAATGCATCTAGAAGAGAGCCGCTTACGCTTGAGAGACAAGACTGCGGGACCATGAAGAGGAATGGCTCAATGTCAGTGTACGTCACAACCCGAAACGGATCATCCTCTGTGCCCTCATCCATTGTCCTCGCGGGCAGCTTGGCCGCATTTGCACTCTCCGCCTCGAGCCGCGCCCAGACCTTGAACGCATCGTCCCTCGACTGCGCCGCCGACGAGGACGGGGCCGGCCGCGGCTCCGGCGGCTCGTCCTCTCCGTTCGCGGCCACGTAGTGTTTCCACCCAGACGCGCCGACTTCACCGACGCGCGGCACTTCGCTCTCCCAAAACGCCTGGAATGAGTCTGGCACCACACCCTGCTCAGCATCGGCGTCTGGCCGGAAAAAGGTAAGCTCCAAAACGGCCTGCCACGTCGCGACCGCGAGCTCCCTGTACCCAGCATCGTACACAAATCTAGTTGCTAGCAGCAACACCTCAATCATCTCGAGATAGGCTTCCATGCTCTTGTTATTCTGGTTTGAAAGATGGCGCAGTCGTTCGACGAGCATCGTCTTCACGCTGGTATAATCAAACTCGGTGACGCTCGTCATGGCAAACTCGAGCCGCATCCGCCATAGGGCGAGCGAGTCTGCTTGACTGCCCAGCTCGGCCCATTTCTTGGCTGCGACCTTGCTGCTCCAGACCTTGGCGCCCTCGCGCATCAGCGGCACGAGGATGCGCTCCCGCTCAAAGGCGTCCTGCGCATTCGCCAGAGCCTTTTCTAGCATTGACACTTTGATCTCGCTATAACTGTGGGATTCGTGATCCGGTGCCGTGCCTTCTGCAGTGCTGACGCGCAGCAATTCGTCTTGATGCTCCACCAGCTCCAACCACGCGTCCACGTCCTCGGGATTATCTTTGACACGGCGGTTGAGCTGAATCGACTTCCACTTCATCGGATTGCTGGCCTCTGTATCATCCCCCTCGTCAGAGCTGTCCGTGTCTGAGTCCATGTCGCTGTCGTATGCTTTCGGTTTGGCCTTGCCCTCTATCGATCGATACGACTGCTCTGCTTCGTCATCGGACGAGTCCTCTTTTTCTTTCTGCTTCTTAGAGCTCCTCAACGACAAGAATCCCTCATCTTCGTCATTTTCTCCTACTGGTGCTACTCGCCTCCTTCTCAGCGAAATAGGCTGTGAATGAGCGAGTGGTCGCTTAGCGCGGAGCCCGTCTCGATCTCTGTAGCGGGGCAGGCCCTCCCCGGGCATGCGAAGACTAAAAGATTCGTTGGGACCATCGCGATGGATGAACAACCGACCAGAAGTCCCCAAGACTCGTCCGCGGCCATGGCGATAGTAGGCAGGTACCTGCGACCTGTCCAGTGTCCCATATCTTCGTATTAGCGGGTCGCCCTTTGTGTCGAGTATGAACAGTTCTGGCCCCGAGTCGCGCGCGGTCGACTTCACCTCTGCGGATTTGCTCTCTGTGCGACGTTCGCGCTCACGGGACCGAGGGCGCTCTCTTCGTCGCTTGGACTCTCTGCTGCCGTCTCGACCATGGCGCTCGTGCCTGTCATCGTGAGAGCGCTTCTTCCGTTCGCCACGCGAGTCTCTCTTCTGGCTTGCATCTCGCGGCTTGGACTTCTCCTGTGTCGACTGTGATTTGAACGACCCAAATTTCGGAACCACCAGATTGTCTCCCTCATCGCCCGACATGGCGTCGCGTGCTGGCACCAAACCTCACGGACTTTGCGCAGTGTGAAATCAAAGCTTCAGCGCATGAATTCTCGACAAGGTAAGGGCGTTTTCCAACTATACAATGAATACTCTGTAGTATGGACTACAATGTGCAGTCTAACTGGCAACATGAAGGGAATTATAGTGAGTCGCATTCGTTGTGGTTGAAATTAAGTTGGCCAGGCACCCGTGCTTCTGTGACTCCCTGTGGAGCTCTGGCGCGACCACTAAATTCGACAGCTCCCGTCCATCAACGACGAGCTTCAACCCCCCCCCAGTATACCAGCAACCTTCTCCGCCACGAGCCTCTGCCCTGAATGGCTCTACTGCAGTCACCAATTCTCTGGATTACAGTAACGCTGGTCGTCACACTAGTTGTCGCCGGCACAATGGGTCTCTTTGGCGGCAACAAGATGCCAGTGGACGGCAAGGTAGGAAGGAGCATGACCCTCGGGTTTCGCCATCAATCTACTCAGCTTCTAATGCTCTCCCTATAGACTGTTCTGATCACTGGCGGGTCGGAGGGGATGGGCCTTGCCGTCGCGACGCAGCTCTCTGCCAAGGGCGCCAACCTAATTCTCGTCTCCCGCAACGCCGCCAAGCTCGAAGAAGCCGTCAAGGCTGCCAAGGCATGCATCCCATCTCTTCCCTCTCTTTAAAAGTGTACCGCTGACAATATTATTCTTCTCAGGCCGCCGCCAAGAGCCCCGCGACGCAAAGATTCCATTACATCACCGCCGACGTCTCCGTCCCCTCGTACGCCGACTCAGTCGTCGCTGCCGCCACGACATGGAACGACGGCCGCGCGCCCGACATTGTGTGGTGCATCGCGGGCATCTCGGTGCCCAAGCTCTTTGTGGAAACGGACGCAGCGTCGCTACGTCAGCAGATGGACATCAACTTTCACGGGACCGCGGACATGGCGCACACCATCCTCCGCGCGTGGCTCGCCCCCGACAACAACAACAACAACAACAACAACAGCGAGCAGCCGAAGCACCTCATCATGACAGCTAGCGCGACTGCCTTCTACACAATCCCCGGCTACGCGGCCTACGCTCCCTCCAAATGGGCGCTGCGCGGCCTCGCCGACACTCTCTCGCAAGAGGTCCTGCTCTACCCGCAAGACGTCCGCGTTCACATCGTCTTCCCCGGCACCATCCTCTCGCCCGGCTTCGAGGTTGAGGAGCGCACCAAGCCCGAGATTACAAAGAAGCTCGAGGCTGCCGACCCTAAGCAGACACCCGACGAGGTGGCGCGCGCCGCCATCCGCGGCCTCGAGGCTGGCCACTTCATGGTCGTCGTCAACTGGCTCGGCCATCTCATGCGCTTCGGCGTCATTGGTGGTTCTTTTCGCAACAGCTGGATCATCGACACGCTCGGCGCCTGGCTCGTGCCCCTGATCTGGATCTTTGTCCAGTATGACCAGGTCAGTACCGTGCGCAACTATGGCAGGAAGCATGGGCACCCCAGCACGTATACCAACATTCAAAAGTAAATGTCACAGCAAAACCGAAAGTACCCCTAAATGGCGCGAGAAAAACATCACGCACGTGTATATATAAAGAACAGTATTTATTGTATATCCCAATGCTTATGTATATTCCCTTTTCCCTACCCCTTTAAACGCCACTCCATTTACCAAACTTGACATATCGCTTAAACATTTCGCGCAAGATGGCTCTGCCACTCGCATCCATGGCGTCGTTGAGAATCTTGCGCCCCTCTGGTGGCGTAATGTCGAATATAGAATTCATCGCCGGCTCCAGCGCCTCGCGGATTGGTCGCGACACGTTTTCCGTAAGCTGCAACTTTACGTACTGCATCAGGATGATGTGCATGTGGCGTCCAGCAGAGCGCTTGGCCGCATCCGTCGCCGAGTCCAGAGAGCTTTGGTGCTGCGTGCGCGATACGGCGCCTGCTGTAGGCTCGCATACCAGTGTAATCAGGCGCGCATAGGCGTGCGCTTTTGTCTCTTGAGAAGCCGACCACTCTTCATCTGCGAGTTCATGGATGACGAGTCGGTCAAGCAGTGTTTCCAAGACAACCAGAAGCAAGTGATAGTGGCCCTCAATACGCAGCCTGTGTTTCTTGATAATGACGTCAGTGAGCCTGCACAGCCAGATATACGGTAGCCGCGTTTCGTCAGACTCTTGAGCGGGAGAGAGATCGCAGATTGTGCTCAGCGTGGCTTCGACATCCCACTGGCTGACTGCCTGCGGTCTCTTCTCCAGAACAGAGTACAGCGTGCGGCACAGATGAACGTTGGCCGGCGCAGGGGCTTTGCTGAGAACGGTGACAATTTCGCTGTAGGCCGCGGCAAGATCATAGCCGTCAAACTTGCCCGTGTACTCTGGCGACGCTATAATCTGGCTTACAACCTCTTGGATCGCGAGGGTCTGGCCGTCTGTGAAACAGCCAGCGCGCATTGCATCAATCAGGTCTCGCAAATATGCCATCTTTTCTTGCACTCTCAGCGACTTTGTGATGGAGCTGGCAAAGTCGCGTAGGAGCTGGGACCGAAGCTTCTGCGGGAGAGGTGAGAGCGCATCAAACGTCTTGGGTGCTGGCAGCTGAAGAGCCGCAGGCAGTTCATTGCGCAGCAGGGTCTGGACTTTCCAAGCGAGAACATCACCCTCTGCCATCCTGCTGGTGCAGTTTCCAGCAAAAGTTTGCACAGCTGCAGGCTTGCCCTTGTATAATTGCGCCAAGGGCGCAGCGGAGGGCGCTGCATCTGCGGCGGCTAGAAGACAGAATCTCTGTTCCGAACTAGGCTCAGCTGGAAGAGCCTCTGCAGTGATCAAAGGATTGATTGCAAACATAATGGCTTTGGCCAGCATACCTTGGCCCTCAACGACAAGTTCTGAAAGTACTTGGTTGTTGTGCGTGTTAGGTGACCGCGCAACAACTGAAATCAAAGATTTGAGCAAGGAGTAATGAAGACCAGAGAGGTTCTCAAACTTGCTTGCAGATGCCGCGGCAATATAAGCAGAGCAATCGCCAAAATATGTTGTACTTCTCTCGTCCACCTGATCTGCCATTTGTCGAATGGTCGCCGACGCCATCTGAGAAAAGCGCTCGATAACCTCTAATGTCTCTTCGTCGCCGGCAGAGTTTTTGACGACGCAGACAGAAACGGCCTCAGCCAATCGAACAAGGTGATCAAACGTCATGTCGCTGTAGAATGTCGCCCGAGCCATCATCTTGGTTGCCAGGCTCAGTACCTGCTTCCACGAGAATAATGCCGTCTTCTTCGGCGATCTAACCATTTTACCGCTATTGAGATTCAGCGTGTTCATCACTTTTTCTCGTTGCCAACGGTTGAAGCTGTCTAGTGGAATGCGGCTCAAGATATGAAGAACAAGCGTCGCATCGCTATCCGGCCAGCCTTTCTCTTTGCCGGATACCTCTAGTGCTTCAATGACTTCATCAACCAACGTTCGCGCAAGCTTTGCTTCGTTGAGGTTCATGTCATTCAGGAAAACTTTTTGCCAAAGTACCTTCTTGTCCTTGAGGTCAAGTTGAGAAGCGGCTGTCGCATTCTTTAAAGGCTCTGGGACGCCGCCGCTTGCCATTGAGAATAACCGGTTGAATCGGCTGCCGCCAGCAAGAAAGACGTCAAGGTAGCAAGACGCTGGTATCTCATTGTCAAAGGTGTTGAGCTCGGAGCCAGTCCTGTCTAGGACTGTAATCTTCTTGATTGAGGGCTCGGACATGAGGTTCTTGGCGAGACGCTCAGAGAAGTTCTGTATCAGTTTGGCGGGTTCCTTGGCTGCATCAGCATCCGTCGCTAAAGCGTCCCACGCATTGTAGCAGAAACAGAAACATTCAAATGTCTCAGCGACGTCCAAGCCTCCCTTTTTTAATATGTGCTTGACTTTGTCCTTCAATGACTGCCATATGGAGGTCTTCTCATCAGGCTTTGCCCATCGCATTGTCTTTGAGCTAATGCGCCATCTGGCCGGTAAATCAGTCAACCCAGCGCAGGCAGTCCACGTCATTTGAAATAGTCGTAGACCAACCGTGTCAATGAATGTCTCTCGTTTCAAGCCCTCGGATATAGTGTCGCTGACCGTGCAGAGTGACTTGGGGCTGGATTGCGTGCCTTGTGACTCGAGCCAGCTAACAAATTCGGAGAGCTGAGACACACTCAACTCCTTCTCGATCAGGTCATGCAAATACTCACTCTTGTATTTCTTTGGCCCCTCCCCGAACCACGACGATTGTTCTTCTTTCTTGCTTTCCTCGACCTTCCTTAGCTCTGTGAACCACAGCTGCAAAAATGCGACTAGATCGCGTCGAATTACGAAGCTTTGCCGTATGGCACCCAGGACCTCGGCGATTTGCTGATGAGACTCTGTCGACGATGCCTTTGAAATCTTGTCGCAGATCGACGCCAGCAAATCGCTACCATCTCCGCTGGTCTGAAATACGGCCGGGTCACACGCAACAATGCTGCCAAGCAAAGCCCAATCTGTGGGCTCATTTTTCAACACATAGCCGCGGGCAATCTCTCGCAAGTTCTTCACATCCACAGGTATAGACTCTTCGATCGCTTGGCGAATAATTAGCTTGATCAGAATGTTTCGGTCTGGCCTATCATGTATCGCCGTTTCCACCTCTTCAAAGACGCGCTTCATCCATTCGACTGTGTTTTTCCGCCTTTCGCCCTCAGCATTTGTATCTGATGACCTTGCCGCTAAAAAGTACAGTGAAGGCGCCGTCATATGAATTCTTGCCTGTGATACATCCAATGCACGAGTAATGGGAACAAAATCTTGTCTGTTGAGGAACGCCGTTCTGCAGGGAAGAATCAAGTTGCGCTGGAGGAATTCTTGTAGATCCTCGCTCCATCTCGATTTCAGTGTGGTCGGAGTGCTAATGTGTCCATTCTCTGACAGGTTTTCCAAAGAAGCCAAGATGGAGGCCGGTATGGTGAACAGGCGGATAGCGATTTCGGACATGTCGTCATTGCCCTGCATGTGTAAGTCCCAAAGCGACGACGCCACTGCAACCCATTCTTCGGCGCCTTCAATGTCGTACATTTCGGTGTTCATCAGGAGCTGACAGACAGAAAATGCGGGCGCCAGAAGGGCAGCAGTGTCTGCAGCCGACATACAGAACAGCGACCTGATATGCTCGGCGCCAATGTTGTCTCGGGCTATCGCGGCGGTCGCGTCGTCGAGGCGGTTTAGTAGTGAATTCAGCGTAGCGAACAACGACTTTGCAGTAGCAAGGCGCCCGTGTGGCTGTTTTATCTCGTCACTTCCAAACTGAATCATTGACGATCGCTTTCGCTTCTTGGCGATGTGCTGCTCGTTATCGCTGGCGACGATCGAGATGTCCTTCAGTGTTTGTTGAAGAACTGCGACGAATTTTCGGTCCGCCAGAGATTTGGCGAGAGAAAATAGAGGGATTCGTGTGAAAACGCAGTCGAGCATGGTCCACGTCAGTGGATGGCGGCGCATGGCTTCGGCGGTGGTCGCATTGCCATTCATGGACTTGAGCAGCCATCGCAGCGTGCTCTCCTCGGCGGCGTGGAATGAGTCGTCTGACGATGCGACCAGTTTGGTCCAGAGGAGATCCAGATTCTTGCCATCCTCACCTGGACCGCTCTGGTCCAGCCCTCGTACAATCTTGATGAGATTGTCCGCTTCCTATTGGAAAAAGAGTCTTGGTTTGCTTGCTTCTCTAGGAATGACTGTGGAAGAGACCTACCATTGTGAGTTACGGAAGCTCGATCAATACATGCCAAATGCCTTCTTCCCCGAACCACCGACTTTATGCAACATAGAAGACGAAATGCGTTATCTATTGCAAATGCAAAGCTCAGAAAATGTTCTTGCAGTTGGAAAACTGCCCCACATGAAAGTCCAAAAAAACGTAGTTTCTGCCATCACAGTCGTCCCAGAGTGGAAATAGGTTCTCCTCACCGCCCTCGGGTGTGGACGCCAAAGGGCCTACCGGCTGCTTCTCGCCAGTTTGGCGTCCAGTCCCGTCATAGAACCAAGCTTGAGAGCTCCCATTGCGCCATCTTCGCCGAGCTCAACTGCATCTCATATAGGTATGTGGCAGCGCGTGCAATTACTCTGCCCTTGTTCTAACGCTCCCACGTCCGACCCCAGATCTTCATTCACAATGGCCGAATCCAACACCGCCGCTCCAGCTCCGTCGAGCGCCATTTCCCGACCCGTGAGCGAGACTCTTCTCAACGAAAAGGTAGCGCATTACCCCGATCGCGCGACTGATTAAGTCTGCATTAAGCGAATTGACACCGAAATATACTGATGCAGCTGCTATGAACTACTAGTGGGATCGCTGCCTATCGAACCTCCTTGTCAAGTCCAGCATCGGTCTCGGGTTCGGCGTCGTCTTCTCCGTCATCCTGTTCCGCCGCAGAGCTTGGCCCGCCTTTATCGGCGCTGGATTTGGTGCCGGCCGCGCATACGAAGAGTGCAACTTTAACCTGAAGCAGGCTGCACGCGACCTCAAGAAGAGCACATAGACGAACCGGGCGCCATCTGCTGCACCGGAAAACAACATAGACATGTACAAAATTGGGGTTTTGTGAGGGATGAGAAGGGACCGCCAAGCGAAACACAATACTCAACGTGCGGACCTTCACACTGATCGACGACGCCTCGGGCGGCTTTCAAATTCGGTAGTTTTTTTTATGTACAACAAGGCTCTCGAACTTGAACGACCATCTCCAACCCTATTAAAAACGATGATACAGTGGCTAATAACGGTATTCCCTTTTGAACTCCTTTCTTTTCCCCTTGCCAAGTGGTATTCATTTACATCATAACAATCTCCTGGTCAGCTTCATCATGGCTCACGTCGTTCCCCGACGGCGCGATTATCGTATTCTTATGGTCGTCCTGGACCTTTTCCTGGGCAGCGGCTTCTCTGCTGGTGGATGACACGAGCTGGAAGCTCCTTTGTTCTGGCCGGGGCCTGACGTCTTGGCCGCTGGCTGTGGCATCGATCGACGCGGACATTGTGACGCGGCGCGTCAGGATGGCGGACTCTCTCTTGGCATTGTCGGCGAGTGAGGCGCTGCGGCGGCGGACCGAGTCTATTAAGGTGTCGCCATGGTTGTATCTGGCCGTCTCGGCCGGAAGCAGGCTCTTCTATGATGCCTCCCACTTGTCGCTGAACACCGGCTTTTGGTCGTAGCCGTAATCAATCTGCTGCGCCTTGCGCTCGCCCCGCGGCCTGAAGCGGAGATTGATAAAGACAAAGAGGCCAAGCAGAGAGACGAGGACCAAGACGCCGATGGCGAGGATCATAATCTCGAGCCTGCTCTGCTCCAGGGACCGATTGATTGCCGACATGATGTGAAAATGGGTGAAGTTGAAAGTTATAGATTAAGCAAGGATTCAGTAGCGTGTCCTTTATCTGTCGAGGCGGCCTGGCTCCCCCTGGTCAGTCTCTGAAGTCGGTGTAGAAGACGGGGGCTGGTTGATACCTAAGGATGCTTGCGTGATAAATGCTAGTTAGGTGTCAAGAGTCTGGGAGACAGGCTTAGGGGAAAAAAGTCTTGAAGTCTAGGTGAAGAAAGGTTTCCTAGGATATGACTCTAATGGTTCGAAAACGCCATTTCCTAGGGCATTGATTTTTTAGTGAATGGCAGGCAGGGAGGTGCGGCGGCGTGTTGGCACGAGCTAGGTGAAGCAGGAGCCTATCTAAGTACATGTTCATTTACATGTGCCTGCCTGCCGGGCCAAACCTACCTGGGCAATTGTGCACCTTGCTTGCTTGCTTGCTTGCTTGCTTGCTTGCTCGCGAGTTGTTGCTAACAGAAGATGCTGCTAGGAGATAATAATGGTCTGGCATCAAATCAAAGTATCCAAGCTGAGCAGGGATACGCACATTGGCGAGACAGATTGGGCCGCCAGACGTACGACTCGACTACGAATCAAAAACACGATAGCTAGCTGGTCACACAAGACAGCCAATGACAATACTTCATTGTACCAGATCGGCAAGTAGAAGCGCGTGTTTGTTTTTTGCATAGAGCTGCATCGAGTGAATGAGTCTGTGGGATACAGCTACGCCCAACCTCGCACAGCATTACTGCTGCCACCAACCACATTCACGCCCCCGCGTTGGCGTTTTTACAAGAGCAAGCAATCTGCTGCTTTCCCCCCGCAACGAACGGTCGGCAGGATACAGAAGCCCCAGACTAAAAGCTACATTCCAATACAGCCCTTGACAGATGTAAGGAAACCAAAGCCAACCCTGCAAAGCCTAGGTGGTCGTCACGCGCGCCACGGCGAATAGAATATTGACATGTCGGACCCTCCATCCCAAGCCGATGAGAATGCCGAAGAGAAAACTCATCGAAGAAGAGACAGTTTAAAACTATTCTCTGGTTAGAGAAATGCCCGTTCTTCTAGCACACAGATATGACCGGTAGCGAGTTGGCGAATTTCACCCCCGGTTGATTAATCGTGCGAATAAAAAGTGTATGAAGAGAAAAAAGAAATCCAAAATTTAGGCGACTGCTGCGCAACGCTGTACAAAAAGTTTCAAACACGACGGGACTGCTCAAGCATCACGTGCGGGCGACCCACAGGCTGGTTTTTCTGCACGACACCCCCAAGCCAGACCTATTTATTAACTGGTGCCTTCTCTCCCAGCTCTCTTTTCCCATCATCACACACAGCTCCTTTCTGAAGAGCAGCACTGCTCTCTATCTACCGTGTCGTCGGGTCATCTGAATGACTCTTGCAAGATGGCATGTTCGTCAAATGCGGGTTGAGTACACCATCGTAGCCTTGCGGTGTCGTCCCATTTTCTCGGCATCCTCATGCGCACACACACTGGTACAAATCATGCAAACTCGTGACATGCACCAAACGACGACGAGCTTGTCCCTCGTCTGTTTTCTCTATTTACACCCACAGAATGCCTACACCTCGCGCTTCCAATGCGCAAGCGTGTCAACTTTTACATAATCGTTCGAATGTGGGAGAACAAACCTCTGGTCTAGACAACCAGTCCGCTCCACCCTGTTGCCATTGAAGTTTAGTGTGGCACCAGGACTAGAATCGGGCAAACATATCTTGTGTATTCGTTGATTGTATACATTGTCGTATCGTAGTTGTCTGTTTGCTGCCTGTCCATGCTGTGGTTCCATGTCATCCAATCCAGTTTGCACGCTTCACTTCAAAACCGCTCGCTCGAAATATGTCTTTATATCTTGCCACCGAAAATGCGATTCTCGTCCAGAAAGGACAACAAAAACTTGGACACCAGTCTCCCTGTGTATAGGTAGGCTGTATCCATGCTCGCAGGATCATCACCCCTATTGAGCAGCAGCTCATCATCTGCCAGGAACTGCATATCTTGCCCTGTACACAGTATTAGCTTACGATTGCGCTGGGCGCCAGCGTTCCAAGACATCACGACTTACAATCCTCGCCTTGATACAGATCCTGCAGCTGAGCCACGAACTCCATCGCCGGCCTGTCGAGCTCACTCTGCGCCGCAAAGCTATCGTCCAACAGTGGGTTAAAGGGTTTCGTATTTGGGTCCCTCGAGTGCGTCTGATAAATGTGGTGAAACTGGTACGCGAACTGCTTAAACGGCATATTCTCCACCTCTTTGCACATGTCCAGCACAAACGACCGCTTAAACGACGGCGCGTCATTGTTCTTCTTGTTGACCGCGTTTTGCGAAATCACAAAATTGTCCGTCGTCGTCTCTATGGCCTCCATGTACAGGCAGAGCACCAGAAACGCCGCCAGGCTCGGCGCCCACTCCCTGCGGTACTTGGGCTTCAGCGCCTTGGTGAAGAGCTCAAAAAGCTGCTGCATCTCGCGCATGCAAATCTCGTCGGCCAGCGACTTGATCTGCCGTGCGAGCACGCGCGGCGTCACCCACGGGCTGTTCTGCGGTACCAGCCCGGACGGTTGCAGAGCGCGCACAGTGTCGCTGGTGAGGCACAGGTGTCTGGTCATGACATAGTGCATGGCGTAGATGGAAAGGGCCTTCTTCACCATGGCGCAGTTCGTCTGTTGCGCATATCTTTGCACAATGGCGAGAATCTTGGCCGGCAACTTTGTCCATCGTAACGAGTCTGTGACTTGCTCTGCAAAGACGGGCTCTTCTATCAACCGTCGCACATACACCTTGACCTTTTTGCGCACTTCATCTCTTTGGCCGCCGCTTGCAGTCTTCTCAAGCCCTATCGGCGCAGAGCCATTCGAGTCTAGGTGGACTCCATTATGCCCAGAGTTGAGATGCCAATGTTGCAAGACATCGCATGTCTTGGCAGTAAAGAATTTTGCCTCAATGTCAAGCGTCGTGACAAATCGTGCGCCGGAAAATAGCTTCACAGAGCACGACTGCGACGCGCCGCCTATACGAAATTCGTCCACGTTGTCCCGCAAGAACTTGCTCATCTCCTCTTTTTTCAAGTGGGCGCTGATGAATTCCGGAAAGAGAATCGTCAAGAAATCCTGAAACTGCCAGCAGACCACCTGCGGCACCTGCACCATGAGCTTCTTACAGTGCTTGCACGGCCGCTCCGTGTCGCACTTGACCTTGCGGCTGCGGCAGCAGAAACAAGCACCGCGCCGGCGCACCTGTAGGGCATCTTCCTTGGTAGCGTTGGCGAGGGGCCCCTTACGGCCGCGCTGCGTCGTCCGCATCGCCTCGAAGCATTCGTACGGGTTAGGGCGCCCGGCGCTCGCTGTGATGGAGTTTGGAGTGACGATGTGAAATCTGCCCACTAGTTCCGTCTTGCTCTTCCCGACTCTCCCAGTATTCACTCTTCGGATGGCAATCGGTGACGTTTTGCCGCTTCCCTCCGACTTGACCGACGCCGTCGAGCGCGGGCTGGAGGGTCCGACGCTGCGCTGGCTTGGCGACGACATGTACTTGGCCATGCTCATCGACGGTCCTTCACCTGGAGACGCGGCGCCCGCCCCGTGAGGATCCCACTGCACCAGTGTACCCTCGATCTGAAATTGTTGGAAGCCGTCCAGCTCCAAAGTCGGTGCCGGCGTAAGTTGCTGTTGCTCTGGTTGCGCATGGATTGCCGCCGGGGCAGTAGCCATCTGGAACTCGGGCGTGCCAGCCGGGAGGGCCAGCGCCTCTGGCCGCCACTCCGATAGAGAGTTCTGCGCAAAGAGGTACTCCTGGGGCGTCATAAACATGCCGTCTGCCATGAGCTCGCCCGCTGTTACCATGACCAACTCGCCCGATTCCATCGCGCCACTCATCGGAAGCGTCGTGGCCGGCGGGAGGAACACCTGGTCGTCATCCCCCAGTGGCGGCGGCACTGGTGACATGCAGTGCTGCGAGGGCGACGTCGTCGCATTGTGGCCAACAATGGCGAAACCGTTCAGGCTGCCGCTCGCCGGGCTTGGCAGGAATCCAACAGACCCCGGCGCAGATCCGCCGCTCGAATAATCAATGTACTGCCATGATTCGTCCGTGTCGCCGTTGGATTCAAAGTCATAGGGTGACGGATGAGAAGAGCCGTTGTGAGATGAAACGGACGCCATTCCTCAAGTTTCCCCTAGCTGGCGTAGAAAGAAAGAAAGGGGTTCTCGAAGCGCCTAGCTGCGAGGCCTCGTCCAAGCCCTGATTGTTCCCGTGATGCTCGCTTCCGGAGAGTAATGATTACCTGTGAACCAGCGACAGTGAACCGTGGTAAAGCGTTGCGATCGGATCAGTATGCTCTAGTGTAGCGGCCTCGGCTTGAAACTATTGCAGCACAACCTCGTCGCAGCCATGTACAGTTTGCGCAACAAGGCCAAAAGTATCCTTTAAATCGATGATAAAAAGGCTAGAAGCCATCGAAAAGGACGGCTCTGCAGACGACATTATGTCCTCGACAGCGCCTTAGAAATGTACTCGGTCAGAGTAATCATGCAAGTGACAGTGGACGCTAACCAGAAAGGAATACCGAATGCCACAGGCTGCCCACTAACAAGCCGTTGTATGCCCACATGCACCCGTGCCACTGGCGTCTTCCGCCAAAGAGAGACCGAGTCCTCCAGCAGCTGAGACGCTTCCTCCAGGGGTCCTGTCTGCTGCTATTCGTGGGGTTCGCCTCTGGCCGCAAAGTGGCTTGCCTTTGGTTATTTTAGCCTGGGCGTATTCATTGGCTCCATGTGTGTTAGCCTGCAGTCTCACGCATCACTGCTAGGCTGGTTTGGCTTGTATTTAACCTTGATTTGATATAGGTTCGCAAGGCTATCTCAACATAACGGGGGGGAAGCACGGATACCGCTCAACTCTAGTATGGGCAAAAAAAAAGAACGCCATAAACAACTCGCGGGAAATCATGTAGGCTCAATGCCCAATTCACCTCCCTCCCATTCCCAAGACACGGTACAACGTTGCCATCTAATGCTCGTGTCAAGTATTTCTGTGATATTTTGCTCTGTGATGCATTCGTTGTAGTCATCATGGCCGTTCAAACAAGCGCTGGTCGTAAAAAAGAAGCCCTCAGTAGCAAGAAATGCGACGGGTGAGGATGTGGAAAGGAATCGCAAAAAAGACTCAAGTTGGGAGAGATGGCGACGGCTGCGGAAGAGGACCTGCCCGTGCAATGTGACTCTCCAATGCCACAACCATCTCATCTCGCTCGGGAAAAGAAAAAGGTAAGAAGCCGCGCTGGGCAGTGACTTAACAGACGTAAATGTCACGCAGACAGCCGATGAATTCTCCCTTATGCCTTATGGTTGTTTACGCCGGCTTACCTCTTTTCGTGAGACCGGCGCTGATAAACGTATGTGCTGATAGTAACTAGTGCCTTTACATTTCCAAGGCATGATGATGATAAACGTGAATATTTCGGCCGCAATAGGTTTCCCAGCGGCCGTTGTGGTCCACCTTGCCACGCTTAGGATCGAAATCTCGACGAAGTGCGATCCTGAATCTGCTTTTCGGTAGAGATATAGAGGCGATCGAGATAGTCCATTGCCGAGGCATCTCGTAGTATCTTGGCTACCTGGATGCCGGCCGAGATGAGCTGCAAGATGTTCCTGTCATCCTTGAGCGGTCGGCTCTGGTGCTTGGAGGCGTGTCTCATCTCCAAAGAATTTTCTAGAATGGTCACGAATTGCTTTATCTGACCGTTGTACAAGACGCGGGCAGGAATCCTTCGCTTGGTTGCGAGTCTCTTGAGCAGATAAACCCACTCAGTCCATTCCCGATCTTGGGGCCGCTCTACCGGTCGCATATTCTGCGACAGAGGAATAGGGAACTGGTATTTGGCCACAAAGTCGTAGGCGCATTGGGACAGGCGATCATTGACCTGACCCAACACCATGTCTTGTTCCTGCACATGCAAGTTTGTCGGGAGATGGGGCAATTCGCGCTCTTGCATGGCAATAACCTCTGGGGGAGGACGTTGAAGGAACTGGTGCGGTCCGTCGAATTCATCCCGGTTTGAGGGACGCCTTTGTGGTCGGGTCCTTGGGTTTGGGTTGGCATTCGCATTATTGGGCTTGGATCGTCGTCCGGTATAGGCAGAATCGGCTCCATTTTCCAGGGAGTATTCGGACAGGTTCGGTGATGCCAAGATATCATCCACAGATTCTGTCGGGGACTGTCTCTCTTGCGCCTCCCATGAAGCTTTGGAGCTCTGGTATGATCCGTAAGCGGGCAATTGGTTCGTGTTCAACGCGCTCTGTGGTGGTGGCATGAAGCCGGGTAGGCCCATGGAAGGCGTTTCCGTGCGCGGCGCATAAGTGTTGCTGCCGGCAAAGTTGTTCATACTTAAAACCCGGAGAGAATTGTTACTATCGGCTGCGCGCAATTTGCATATCCAAATGGCAATGCCAAACAACAGTGTAGAAATCTTACCTTGAAGCAGAGTACATCTCATCGCGAGGCCAGTCGTGAGCAGTCGATTTTGGCATTTGGCTTCGAAAGCAAATGTCAGCCGGAAAGAAATAAAAAACAAAAGTCACAAAAAAAAAATAAGAGAGAGAGAGAGAGAGGCCGCGCATGTGGGTTTTGATCGTGGCTTTTCAGAATTCCTACCTCCGTCTTGGGTTCCACGGTCCAGATTCGGAACCAGGGCCAGAATACATCATGGCTGGGCGAGCCATCTGCCCAGGATCCATGGTACAGAGCAATGTCCGTCAATAGCGACCAGGAGAGCAGCAGCGCGGGAGAAAGAAACAAGAACAAAGAAAAGGTGTTCTTCGTGGTAGAGGTGGTCAGGATCCGGGCGGCCAAGTCAAGAAATGGTAAAATTCACAGAGTCCGGGAAGACCTGGAGATGATACAAACGGCCAAAAGTCCGCGGGGGAGCGCCCGCCACGTCGGGCATTGACCACGAAAATAATGTGGGAGGGGAAAACCGGTAATCCAGTCAGCCGGGAGAGCAGAGACAACTCTTGGAAGGCTGGAGAACGCTTGCCAGACGATGTCGACAAGTTATAATTTGAGGGTGCCGGATGGCGGTGTGGTACTCTTGGGCAGGTGACCGACAACAGCCAGCTTAGGCCGACTTATACAACTCGTCGAGCGAGCGGTAACGACCGCACTATCTTTTTAGTGCCAGTCGGCTAGTGGCCCAATGGGCCAGTATTAAAGAAAATCAAGGCGCGCTGGATTGATGCAACACTAGGCACAAGAAAATTGGAAGCAGCGGCAGGGTTGCGTCTGAGAGTCAGCAGGCAGCGAGAATGCTATGTGCTCTTTTCCCCCTTATACGATGCAAGTTACATTGAAGATTCAGAAATCGTCGACGAGCTTTGCAGGATTGTTTTACATGCCTGGCGAGACAGGATGGTGGATCAAAGCGGGCGATGTAACTTGTTTAAAACTGCCATTTGGCAGACGACACGTCGCTGGCGGTGGCACGACTCAGGGCTAGCAATTTTGGCCAAATCACAGATGTGACAGGCAGGGCAGCCCTGCTCCTTGTGCCCCTCCAGAATAGAGGAGAGAGGGAGAGATGTTTTGAGCACTGATGAGCGAGGGGTCCAAGGCCCTGCGGAGATTTGCAAGTGGGACACGGCGCAGGGGATAATGCACCAGCAATGTCGAGGCAATCTCAAGCGCCAGTAATACAATGGACCATTCTCTTGGATCAGACCAAGAGTCGCTGGTGGGACTCTGGCCTCGACGTTCCACTCACTGCTCATGAGCGTCGTCGTGGGGGCTATGAGCTGGTCTCATTCTCCAGGCCGTTGATACGAGCCCTGCGTACATTCTGAGGTTGGCTTCGCTGGCTTTGCTGGCAAAGCCTGGCACGCGCCTTCATTCGAGTGTGGGATGCGTGACACGCCGCGCAAGCCAAAGACAGCAGCTCTTTGCCAGCCGGTGCGGCGTGAGAAGACGGTTAGAATGAGGCCATTGATGACTGAGCCCAGCAAGGCAAAAGAGCGTGACAATTTGTTGTTGTTTTTTTTTTCTTTGCAGCTTGGTGGCGTGGGGAGGCCTGGAGCGCGTGGGGAGGGCGTCGAGCATAGCACGAAAGGCGGTGTACCAATCGACAGATGAAGATGTGCCGAGAAGGAGGGGCAGCTTTTTGCTTGGTTTGCTTGCTACGCTTGCTTGGGCAGCAAGGGGCAAAGGTCTTGAGAGGGCCAGTGAGGGCCTCGCAGTCCCACCAAGAGCCGAGAGATGACAAGCTAGCGAGCAACCAGAGCGGATTAAAATGCGTAATTACGTAGCAGGAGGCGACGATTCGGAAGTTGTGTTGTCATAGTCGGCGCCGATCCAGGTTTGGTAAATGACGGCGTGTGTCTGTGTGCATAATCTGGCGGCGTGCATGCCGTCGTGGCAGTACGATGCCAACGCCCACGGGAGAAATGGTTCGGAAGATCTGGCTACGCGACTGCCCAGGAGCCAATCTGACCTCGTCTGGAGCAATCTCGGGTTTTGCAACGGTCCGCAGGCTGCAGTGTGACGTGACGTCTGAGGGCAATTGAGGTTGAGAATTGTCATGTAATCATGGTTCGAGGAGGCGAGGCGCTCTTCTCCTGCAGGCGGCAGGTCTCGGATTTCGGCACTCAGTGAGGAAGCTCTGAGCTGTTATCCGAGTATTTGCCATCTTGGGTAATACAGAGTGTCAATACCGATTTCAATATAAATAGCGCATCGCGAGAAAAGGTAGGTGGGTGTTGGCCAATGGATATTTGTTGCAGAACAGCACTCACTAGTTATGCGAGCAGGTCCAATTTTGTATTGAAGATTCGAAACAACACCTGATATCCTCAGCAAAACGAGCAATGATGATGTTGCAGTGTCAGGCAATTATTATGCTCATGCTGGCATAGATTGCGATTGCGATTGCGTTTGCGCATCGTCGATTGTTGAGATGGTTTGACATGAAAGAGTTGCAGCGTTTACCTTGATGCAGCCGGGCATGTACCGATCAGTCGGTACTACCTTAGTTAGGTAGGCGGAAGCCAAAGGCACCTCGACGGGCCAGCAGCTACAGCCTACGGGGTACACAGAGATTGGACGGCATGTTGTCAGCTGCAAGTGTCAACTGCAAGTTGTTTTCCAATTGTCAAGTGCCCATTTGCTCTTCCGGCCTCGGAGGATGATGAGTCTGGTAATTTACAGCCATTACAAACTAGCCTACCCGGGAGAGGCTCTCGATCACAGACACGCAAGTGCAGACACAAGCGCAGACAAACAGCGACGATATCTCAAACGACAAGTCTCTCGAGTCCTCCAAGCCCACCAACAGAGCTCAACATCACAGCGTTCCCCGTAGCCACATCACCACTTGGTCTTGTCCCTCATTTCCAAGGTTCCCAGGCTTCTACTTATCCTAATTAGTACCAACGGGCTAGTTACAGCCCGCACCACAGCCACTCGGCATGGCACCGCACTTTGAAGCGAAAAGCTCTACCTATGCCGCTAGCTGTCGAAAACGCTGTACAATACCTCGCACCCGCCATTCTCGCATTCTCCCAATGAAACAAACTGTGCCAAAGAGATGCCAGCATGACGTGGAAAATGACTGATTGGCTGTCAAACGAACAACTACCATTACATGCCCTCGTTGTATACTTGCGACAAATGTGTCAACACTGAGGAGGCAACGACAGGAGAAATTGCGAAGGCAGAGTTTGAACTAAGTTGCCAAGAGCCCAAAGCTGACCTCAGGAGTGGCTTACGACGGCCACAATCATGCACACCACACCACACCACACCCATACAACTCACCCGAGGAAAGAAAAAAGGCCACGAGCGCCTCAACAAAGGATCCCAAAAAGTGAGGCTGCGGAAAAGACCAGCTCGGCCTCTGCCAATTTCGCACTCGGCACATCAACTGAGCCCAACTATCACGACGCAGCCAAGCAGCCAAGCAGCGTGACAGCTGCGGCGCCGGGCCGCGCACCCTTGGACAGCTGCCGACGTGGCCGACAGACGGATGTGCAGCAGCATGTCGCCGACGATGCTGGCATTTCATGGTGTTGCGGTCATGCCACCCCTTTGTTCCCTCGTCTCGCCATTCTTCCACGTACTGCTGACTGAATGATTGGCTCGTGGGCCATCCAGCTAGCCAGCAACTAACGAGCGGCCCGCAGTCGACCGTCGCGGCCGCTCCCGAATGGACGGTGTGGTATGACGGCCTTTGCGGTCCACCACCTCGTGTGCTTGTGTGGCTACATGGCGCTGCAGTGATGAGTTGTCCTGCAGCAGAGACACTCTGGCCATCACGTCGTCACCATATCTGACCACTCGTCTGCTGGCCTCTGCCGCTATCCTCTCCACCAAGCCAAGCCATGATACCCTGCTGAACCCATCTGCGTCCACCATCCCTGCATCACCAGCCTATCATAAGCTCCCAGCCAGCTCCCGACGCACGCTAGAACTTCATGCAGCCCCTGCTTGCACCCGGTCTGCCTCCTTCAACGCACCTTTATTGGAGAAAGCAATATGCGACTTGCCGTGTCGACAAAGCCCCGTCTGTTGCAATACAGTCATGACTCCTCTGAGAATGTATTAAAAAAGCGCATGCCCCCCGTTCTCCCTGCTGCCCAACTCTTTCTTTTCTTCCCCTCAGATTCCTGCCCAACCCAAGCATTATTCACTTTCCCGCACCAAGTTTTGCCTACAAAACCTGCTTCTCCTCTCATTCTTCCTCACTCCACAATACTCTTTACTGCCAGCATTACCTTACCTGCAAAGGCTGTGCTCCAGTTGACTAGAGAGACTGCACTGTACATCGCGAGTGAAGGTCCGCAAACACTTTGTGGAAGCTCGTGTAATCATTTCTCTATCCTTGCCTTTGGATATAATGACAGTTGCTTTTGTGTCGCGCTCGGCAACTATGCCTCGCTATATCAAATCTGAGCTTGAAGAGGCTCAATCGCTCGTCAGGTACTGTTTTCTTTTCTAAATCTCCGGGACCCGTTTTGCTTTTGCTTTTGCATTTCACTTTCATTTCCTTTCGGCTCGTACGCCATTGCGTACAAGTCTGTTGCACATTCATGGACCATTTCATTTTCCGCGCCTTAGGATACCATGGATGCTTTGAACCACACCGGACTTCTGCCACCTGGATAAACAAACTTTCTGGATCAGGCCTTGTCTGAACCGGGCAAGGGGTCTAAAAATCATGAAATCTTTCTTCTATAATGGCATCTGCCAGCGGTAAGTCTGATTGAACCAGTGATCTCATCACAGCACTGTGGCTCTTCTCATGGCTCTTGCATTCGCTTTCGTGGACAGCCTGGACATTTCAAAGGACCACATGAGTTTTCGCGGGATTTGGCCTTTCGCCGGGATTTCATCTGGACCTTCTGCATTTTTTTGCATTCTTCTGGACCTTTTATCAAACCATTGGATTGGACGTGGACTCGGATTCGGACTCTATTTTGGACCAGTTTTTCTTTGCATACGGACCGTTTTCATTCACACCTGGAGAAGCCTGCGGCTCTTTTGCTTTAGCATGGAGTCAAATCTGAATCCGTGACCACGGCTATGGACACGCAGTCTGATTACTTTTGAATATTACTGTATCAACTGCTCAAGGTAAAAGATCTCGTCACGAGATGCGCTTTGCTTTCAAATCGTCGCCCTATCAACTCTTGCTATGGACCAGTCGGAGACCGATGCGCTGCCATTCAAATACACACCTAAGGAGCCACTTGGACCCCAACACCAATCTGCCGAGGACTGCGCAGTTTTTACGACAATTTCTTGTAGTGTTCGTTGCTCTTGTTACTGTCATGACCGACTTGAGCTTGACACCTCGTCTTACGTCCTGATTTGACGAGTCATGACGAGTTATTGGCAATTGGAGCCCTGAAACTACGACTTGACATTCTCGATTTTGCTTCTTGGAACCTTATCCCTGGACATCGCTTTTTCCTTTGTCTGTCTCGTGTGTTTGCTTGCGTTCTTGCTTTCCCGCATCGAGTACGGCATTACTCAGCCCGCATGGTTTGTTTTAACCCCTGATCCTCGAACCACCGATTGATAAACTAATATTGTTTAGGCCCAAAGTTGGATCGCGCGGCTTGATCTCTCCTTTCAACTCATTTCAGACGCTGGATAGACAAACTAACCCAATGCAGCGATTATAGCTTCCCTACCACTTCCGCCTCTTCCACAGCTGCCCTCTTTGCCTTTTCCCAAGGCGAGAACCCCACAGACCTGCTCACAAGCTCCGCTTGGTGTATGTCGGGAGACGGCTCACAATATCTGACTGAGATCCACGATGGATCAGTAAGCCACACAGATATTGAGGAATCCATGTTTACTTCCGGGCAAACCACACCTAAAGGAACCAGGATCGCGCACACCCACCAACCGGTGGAGACAACATGGAACACTGCCAGACCAATTCCCACCACCAAGAGCCAGGCCATGTCTCGGATGAGCTCAAGCACATCAGGTTGCTCGTCTGCCTCGAATGGATCACATATGGTTCAGACCAACCCCGTTGTGGACGCAGTTCAAGCCTTCCACGATGACACAGTTCAAGTTATGGGTGCCATGCACAACTTGAACGGTTGCCAACTGTCAGACACTGTAGGCTCTCCCATCTGCTGGTCTGGATATGGACTCGATATTGGGTTGAGCGGTGATTGCACTCTGTCTGTTGAAGACCTCAACTCGATGAACGTTGCACCCTCCCAGGTTAACATTGGAATGAACGGACTGCCGGCAGCTTCCCCTACTAGCTCTTGGGATGTTTCGAGCTCCATTTCCCGCACTTCATCACCAAACACTATCGACGAGTCGTGGCGGACAGCCGCACTGGCGAACTCGCCTTTCATGTGTGAGCCAACGAGGTATGAGACGAATTGCCAAGGCAAATATTTCGCAGACATCAATTCTCACAGTCTTGACAGCCCCGACAACAAGCCTCTCCACCTCATTTCCGATGTACAAGACACCATGGCGCCCTTTGGGAGTGACATGAACATCAGTGCCAACTACCAGCAGCGCAGCAGTGTTGAGTCGGATTCCCCTCGTGAAGATCATCGCTACAAGAACGCCATGCGAGGCGCGGACGGCTTATTTCACTGCCCGTGGGAGGGCCAGACTGGCTGCAACCACAAACCAGAGAAGCTCAAATGCAACTACGAGTAAGATTTGCACGACATGGCCAATTATTCAATGATACTGACTTGTATGTAGCAAATATGTCGACTCACACCTGAAACCATACAAGTGCAAGGTCGCCAGCTGTGAGGATGCTCGCTTTTCCTCCACTGCATGCCGCCTCCGCCACGAACGGGAGGCACATGGCCTACATGGCCACGGAAACAAGCCGTTCCTTTGCACCCATGAAGGCTGTGAGCGCGCTCAAGAAGGCAATGGTTTCCCACGACAGTGGAATCTCCGCGACCACATGAAGCGAGTTCACAACGACGTCGGCGACGTTCCCGCACCTGTCCCTGTCCCCTCTACAAATGCTGCCAAGGGCCGCAAGCGCAAGAACGAGACACAAGAGACTGCGGCTGTTGAGCGCAAGGCGCCGACTAAGCCGACCCAGCAGCAAAGCGCTCGCAAGAGCTCGACAAAGCCGCTTCTGGATGAGTGGCAAGAGCACTATCAGGCCCTGCAAGGCATTCTGCAGAGCATGGTCGCCCCCGCTGATCAGAGAAACATCATGCAGCTTGGCGAGATGCAGAAGCGTTCTGCCGAGATGGCCAACATTACCTCACAGCTTGTGTCTGTGACCAAGCAGCCGCGGGATGGTGATTCAAAGAAGCTCTACAACTCTGGTGACTGAACGGAGCCGCGACTGGACCACTCGATTTGTGTGGACGTACCCTGCCCTACCTAACTCATTGCACAACCATCAGGACGCCGACCTGAAGCCAGACTACAGTGAGAAGCACCCCGTCATCTCCTGGTCATGGTATGGTCAATTTTTTTGGATGTTATCGCAGAGGCGTATGGATCTGTTTCGATCTTTTGCGCGCTTGTCTGCCTACTTCTGGAGGAATCCGAGGTCTCCTATGTGCACGGTTTGCTGAGAATGCCCAGTGTCTTTATCTCACGGCTTCCGAGGCTGGAAGTTGTGATGCCATTGGCTTTGCAGAATCTTTACACTCCCATGACCTGAGAGGTAATTCTGCAGAGCAAGAAAGAGATGGACTCGCGTAACGATTTTATGACGGGTTGTTCTTTCGACTTTAGTTTCTTTTGTGATGCGACTGCAGAGCCAGTCGGCGCCATACTTTCGTGGCGGCGCGGTAACAGTGCTGGGATGTCATGAAGTGTGGTGCTATTCTTATTTCATATCTGTATTTATGACCATTATATTTAAGACACAAAAAAAAAAACTCATTGCTGAACACCGAGTGCATCGTCATTCCTAAGTGAGTCATGATTCGGGTAGAGAGAGGGAGAGGGCGCCGTAGGGATGTTGAAAGTGTGGTGGCTCGAGACTCGACTACCTAGGTAGGTAGGTAGGTAGGTACCAAATATTTTTGCCGTGATGGCATGATACAGCGGGCTGCCAAACGTTGTGGCGCCATGTGACATGTAAGGTAAGGTAGGTAAGTAGTCGGTCAAAGTCAGCGGGCAAAAGGCAAAAAGGTGTAAATGACTCGGCCCCTCTACTCAAAGCTCAACGCGCGACTTTTGGCTGCCCCTCCCCACCTGTTGTTACGCTGGATTCGAGCTCTTATTACAAGTACCACCGCCGCCAGATTTTCTTCTAATCATCACATCTGCAACTCTTTAGCCCCCGGTCCTCTAGCTAAAATTTGTTTACAACTTTCAAAATATTTATCTCAAGACCAATCGCTACAATGGCTCGCAAGTTCTTCGTCGGCGGCAACTTTAAGATGTACGAGGCCACTTGGCTGTGGAGGGGCTATTTGCTCGGTCAATGCTAACGTTTGCTGCGATGTAGGAACGGCTCCGTGTCGTCCATCAAGGAGATTGTCGCCAACTTGAACAGGGCTGAACTCAACCCTTCTGTCGGTATGCCGACTCTACTACGCCCGACTGCGCTGTCCATCCTCCGCCGTGCCTAACCACAGTCCACAGAGGTCGTCGTCTCCCCCAGCGCCATTCATCTGGTCCTCGTTCGCGAGTCCCTCCGCCCCGAGATTGGCGTCGCTGCTCAGAACGTCTACGACAAGCCCAACGGCGCCTTCACTGGTGAGCTGTCCGTCTCGCAGCTCCTCGACAGCAAGATCAACTGGGTTATCCTCGGTCACTCGGAGCGCCGCACCATCCTCAAGGAATCCGACGAGCTCGTCGCCTCCAAGACAAAGTACGCCACCGAGAACGGCATCAGCGTCATCTGGTGCTGCGGCGAGTCGCTCGAGGAGCGCGAGGCCGGCAAGACCATCGGGGTCGTCAGCAAGCAGCTCGAGGCCCTCAAGGCCAAGGTAAGCGACTGGTCCAAGATTGTCATTGCCTACGAGCCCATCTGGGCCATTGGCACCGGCAAGGTCGCCACCACAGAGCAGGCCCAGGAGGTCCACAAGGCCATCCGCGAGTGGCTCAAGAAGAATGTCAGCGAAAAGGTCGCCGAGGAGACCCGTATCCTGTACGGCGGCAGCGTCAACGAGAACTGCTGCGCCGAGCTCGGCACGCAGCCTGACATTGACGGCTTCCTCGTCGGCGGTGCTTCTCTCAAGCCTGCCTGTAAGTTTTCCTCGTACCTCTCAAATCGAACCGCATTGCTAACTGTTGGCTTAGTCGTCGAAATCATCAACACTAGCAAGCTGTAAACTGGATACAGTCTCAATGTAAGACGTCAGCCCCTAGATGCTAAAATACCACCTACATGCAAGACCCATGACCACATGAAATAAAACATTCATACCGATTGTTGACTAATTGGGAAGTGAAATGGAAATTTATTGCTTAAGTGTAAATGAAGAGCCGTTCGACCCTATAACCAGGGGATATCCCAATGCTCCCGTCGCGCATCTCTAAAGCCGCTGTCATGCGCAAAATTGTCTCAATACAAGTAGAATATACACGGCACGAAGCCTTTTGACCTTATAACGGGCAATTTCTTTTATCATACAACCATACCCTTGCCGTGGTATGGCGACCAGATACCTCGGACGCTAGGTTTGGTGCTGAGAACGGCCTTTGTTGTGCGGCGGTTTCTGGCGCCGCTGGCGTCGCGCAGCAGCTCGACCTTTTGCAGAATCTCGTAGGGCGTCAGGTTCCGTACGCAGATAGGTTTTGTGCGGCCGTTGATGTAGTGTCCGATGATGACGGGGTGTCGTCCTGGGCGAGGCGAGACGGCGAACTCGACCTGGGGGTTGGATGCGGCGACCTTGGGCAGCAATGATTTGATGAAGCCGCTGAAGTAATCATGTTAGAGGTGTATTTCCTTTTCTCCGCACTTGAGATAATGTGTGAGCCACGTACTTCATTCCCTTGGAGCTACCGGCCCAGTCGCAGTAGTGAAAGTCCATCTTCTTGCATTGGAGGATGAAGGCGCCAACGCCGTTCTGCATCCATTGTCAGCTGCTTGATCGGTGCTGTTTCGATAATGAATTTCTGCAATGCTTACATGCGCCCTCGCAATCGACCTGATCCCCTTGACTGTCATGGTGGCTGAGCTGTGTGTGTCTGAATAGTCATATGCAAAAGAGAGTTGTCTTTCCGGCACAGGCTCGCGCGGACCCGTCGCACGAAAAATCGAGCCTTGGAGCTCACCCCCAAAAGGGCACCCAAAACGGACTAGCTCACGGCACAGCATCGGAAAAATTGTTCTGGCGGCGCTGTCATCAACTGGGAGCCCCTGCAAAGCGTCTAAAACTGGCAGGTCCAGCGCAAGCTATTGCTAATTTCGCCAGGCGCCCTCAGTCAGCCTTTTCCCATTCTCAGGCTGGGCAACAACTTTGCGACGACGCGTATCTGTTCGACTTTCATCGTCGAGCAGCATCGGTGGACTCTGAAGCCAAGTTTAACATCTTGTTTGCTATTTTCTTCTCGATTGACGTGCTATTCCGCGATTACATTTTCCCTGCTCGCGGCAGCCATGACGGACAAGCTCCCTCCGAATTTGCTGGCGCTGTTTGCGCCGCGTCCGCCGCTGCGATGGGTTCAGCCGCCTGATCACGCCCCTGAGAAGCGTAAGACGCCACATGTCGACGGACTTGCCGCTTTTCTGCCCGATTTGAAAGCATACAAGGAGAACGACACGAGCATCCCGACCGAGAGCTGGCTTGAAGCACGCGATCGCAAGAAGCTCGAGAAGAAGGCCGCCGTGGAGGACCTGTCTGCCAATGCGCCCAAGTATTGTATGCAACGATGGGCCCATGAGACTTTCGCGATGGAGTTACTGACTCGTTTTGCTTTGCAGACAAACCCAATGAGGATCCTCTGATTCGCGGCGATGCGTTCAAGACTCTCATTGTCGCGCGCCTCAGCTACGAAGCTGACGAGCGTGACCTGGAGCGCGAATTCGGTCGCTTCGGTCCCATCGAGCGTGTACGAATCTTCCACGGCTGCTGCTGCTGCGGATATCACCGACTCAAATACTGACGTGTTTCCATAGACTCGCATTGTTGTCGATACACACGCCGCCGAGAAGGGAAACAAGAAGAAGAAGCCACATCGAGGCTATGCATTTGTCGTCTTCGAACGCGAAAAAGACATGAGAGGTAATTTTCCCCTTGTTTCAATTCCTTGTAGGACCATTCTATCCGCGCTTTCTGGAGTTGTGGCCCTCAGGCTTGCCCTCTCTATTGGGCGTTCACAACGAGACTATCATGGCCCTCAAGCTTGCCTGTCTCTGCGACCTTTCTTTCTTTCCTCCCTCCGTTGAACACTCTTGACCAAGTTTTTACATGCCGCTGGTAAGCATTGCTAACAACTGCGCTCTGATGCGCGATCCTGAATAGCGGCTCTGGATGCATGTGATGGTATCCGTATCAAAGACCGGCGTATCAAGGTAGATGTCGAGCGTGGCCGAACAGTCAAGGGCTGGAAGCCAAGACGACTGGGTGGTGGCCTTGGGGGCCGAGGATATACGAAAGCTCTTCCAGCTCGCCCGGGGGGCCCGGGCGGCTTTGGCGGCGGTTTCCGTGGGGGTAGAGGCTTTGATGGTGGCCGTGGTCGTGGCGGCTTCCGTGGTGGCTTTGGTGGTCGCGGCGGAGGCTTTCGAGGTGGTGATCGCGAATTTGGTGGCCCCCCACGCGCTGACCGTGGCGATCGAAACGGATTCCCTCCCAGAGATGCGCCTTCCGGCCCCGGCGGCTTTGACAGGCGCAACGGTGACCGCGACCGCGGATTCGACCGCGGCGGCGGCCGGTTTGATGATAGGCGCGGTGACCGGGATCGCGATCCCCGTGACCGCAATCGTGACCATCATGACCGGGGCGATAGACCACCTCGTGATGGTGGTCGATACGGTGATCGCGACGGTGGTCGCCGCACTGGAAGCAACAACGAACCAATTGGTCGACGCGAGGGAGGACGTGAAGGTGGACGCGAGGGTGGGTATCGCGAACGGGACAGAGACTTCGATCGCCCCCGGGATGATGACAATCGAAAGCGAGGATACGACGGCGGAGGCTATGAGGATCCAAGGAAACTTCGCAGATACTAAACCGCCTCAGATTTCTAAAACCTATCACGGTGCAGTATTTCGCACAACACATTTGTCCTCGTTGGTAGGCGAGGCGTCGCCCGCTTTCTGTTCGCTGCAGCCTGGTGGTAACATGGGAAGGTAATTGTTCTGTTCTGTCTTGTCTTTATATCATTTTCTACTATGCATTCAAAACTTCGGCGTCAACAAGGGGAAGTATAAAACAAAAGTACGGTTTGAGCAATAAATTGAAAACGTATCAATGGCGAGACATTTGCATTTGATGGTTTCAAGGTAAGGCATAGAGGTAAGCGGACTCTGGCCTGAAATTGTATCTTTATATATCTCATGGTGCCTTTTCACCTTGGAGTTGCTCGAATACGAAGAGTTGGGTGACGGCTATAATTTGCTTGGAGGCAGCTAATTAGGTACTGTAAAATACGGTATAAGAATAATATGTTGTCACATGTACACTTTGAATAGGCATGTGATATTCGGAAGTTGGTATATTTAAATATCTCCTTTTTGCCTGGAAAAGGAGGAATAGTTTTATCCTCGTCATGTATATCAACTTCATGCCCGTAACGCAAAATAAAAGACCCAAGCCAACGCCATTACAAACAATTTTGATCCCACATCCATGTCATGCCAGCGGTGATGTAGATTTGATCATCTCAAAAGATTTTCGGTTTCACGAATGCCCATTCCAAACTATTCCCTGTCAATTTAGTCCTGTTCCATGGCGGAGGACTCGACCTGGGTGACCTCGCCCGATTCCGCGCTCCAGTAACTATCACATCGCAAGTTAGTCATCCGCAACCACAACGTATGCAAGCAAAAAAAGGGGCCAGTAAAGAATGGGGTATTGACAACATACGCCAAAACCTTGACCTTGAACTCGCTCAAGCAGACGTCAAACATCTTGAGCAGCCTCGTCTGGCGGGAGTCGAGGACGTCGCCCTCCTTGCAGACGACGTAGGCCTCGCCCTCGCCGTCCTCGCTGCCGAGCACCACGCGGCCCTTGACCATGCGCGTGGGGACGCCGAGGCGGCGCAGCTCGGGCTCGAGCGTGTGCTCGAGCGGCACGTCGTGCTCGGCGGGGACCTCGCCGGCCGTGGCGTAGACGACGCCGGGCGGGATGGAGAAGGCGCGCGGGGCGACGATGCCGGCGCGCGCAAAGTCGACGAGCGCGAGGTTGTCAAAGTAGTCGAGGACGGTGTCGGGCGCGCGGTCGGTCAGCAGCAGGCCGATGTTGCCGGCGAGGAGCCGCGCGCAGGCGTCGATGCCCGGCGCGACGGCCTCTTCGGGCGTCTGGCCCAGCGCCTTGGCCATGAGCTTGGTCTTGCCAAAGAAGAGTCTGGTTGTTTCATTCACCCCCCCCCAAACGGTTAGCATTCGAAGAAGAGAGCGGGGCTTTTCCTGCTTGCCCGTCCCTCGAGAGCGGCGGGGGAGCAGGATCCGGCGGGGAGGGAAACAGGAAGCTTACCTGCTGTCGGACATTTCGCGGCGGACGTTTTTTAAATAGCTGTTGCGCATGTTGTCGACGCTAAACACGAAGCAGTGCTGGTACTGGGGGACGGCATCGCGAATGTTCTGAAAGAGCTTGTCCTTTTGCTCGCGGCCCTTTTTGTTGACCTGGGTCAGGTTGAAAGTTCTGGAGCGCTTCGACTTGGGCATGGTGGCGGTTTATGTTTCTTCTTTCCTTCGTATCGATCCGGAATCCGGCAAATGATTCGAATTCAGGCAAAGAACCTGTTCTTTGAGCACCGTAGGTGTGAATGGCGGTGTTGATATCGAAATCGGGAGAAAAAGTGATGGGCAGAATTCAACTGATAAGATAGCGCAGAAAAAAAAAATTCCTGGGTGGTGATTTTTTTTGTACGCACAAAAAATGGCGCTGGGATTGGTCGCTGCGCTTCGGGGTCCGACCCGCTACTTGAACGAGGACTGCCTCGGAAGACAGAGCTCTACAGCGTTATAGGGCCAATCAAAAGGGAATTATCTTGAAAATCATGAATCGGATTGATTTTTTCTTCTTTGCCGAATATGAAATCGCCTACAATGTGCGCCGGGAGCGGCACGCCCCTGAGCCACCATGGCCAGCCTCGCACAGCAGCCTGTGGAAGAACGTTTGAATAGGCTGGTCATATTAATTGAACCTGTAAGACTGCTTTCCTTTTGTTTAAAAAAAATCTTGCAAGTCTAAAAGTTGGCACAAAAAACTGTTTTCTATAAATTGACAAAGGACCAAAAAGGGAGAACCATGCCTCACGCCTTAGAGCCATCCTTGCCATGCTTCCAGAACACAGCATTTGGTCGTCGTAACCTCTTTCCGGTGTCGAGCACCTGTCAAAACAGCCGCAGGGCCAGAACTAGGAAGTGAGGCCGCAAGAATGATTCCAGCACGGACTGCACTCCGAATCGTCGTATAATCCTGTAGCCGCGTGCTCAGCATGCTGGTAAGCGCACCGCCCACGAGGCCGCTCGCCAAAACGAACGTTTCGCGAGACTTGAACATATTGAAATCATTCTTCGTAGATGTTGTGCTTGTGACGCATGACATCAAGACCATAGTCTCATCAAGATCATTACTTCTGACGGCCCTAGCGGCAACCGCAACAACTGCTGGCTCGCAGGCCAGCCTCGTGTCATTTACCTCGCTCCAGGTAGGCACTTTGCCTCACCCATTTGCCACGTGCAAGCCTTGCTAACCACGCCAAAGACACCTGCACTCTTTCCTCCACTCTTTACGAGTACACTGACACTGTCATCATCGCCGACGCCTTCAACTCGCCTGTCACCAAGGCTTCCTCTGGATTCAACGGCGACTATCTTATTGATGGCGGCCAAGGAGATGTCTTCGACCGCCCTTGCGGTGGCTTCGGCGGAGAAACTCACTTTTCCATCATTTTTAGAAACGTTATTCTGGACACCACCTCCAGCACCGGCAAGGCCGGCTTCACTGCTCTTAGCTGGGCCGTTGCTCAGAACTGCGCTCTGGTCAACGTCAAGATCAGCATGCCTCAGAGTGCTCACACGGGTATGGTCATGGGCCCGGGCTCGATCATCTCCGTATCTGACGTTCACTTCACCTACGGTAATGTCGGCCTGCACTGGGCCGGTCACCAGCAGTGACAGCTGAAGGGCATGAGCTTTGACCAGTGCACCATTGGTATCCTGATCGATGGCGGCAACAACATCAGCATCCTTGCTCCTTTTTGCAACACTGTTGGTAATTGCATCGTGGTTAATTCGGGTCATCCCTGGGCTGCTGTTATTGACGGCCAGAACACCAACTCTGGGGATCTTTTTACCAGCAAAGTTCAGTACCCCAGCTTCATGTTGAAGAACATCTCCAACAACAATGGCCAAATCAAATTCGTTACTATTGATGATAATGCCGGGATCGGCGGCAAGAACAGCCTCGGTACCTGTATTTACGGAAACACTCGTGGTGTCAATCTCATCTACCAGACCAACCCTTCCGAAAAGGCCCCCAACAGGCCGGCTGCGCTGGCGCCCGGTGGCAAGTATCCATCCATCAGCGCTCCTCAATATGCCGACAAGAAGGTCTCCGATGTCATCAACCTCAAGGATGTCAACCAGAATGGCGGTTTCAACCTGCATGGTTATGGTAACGTTGACAATACCCAGGCTCTAGAGGGTGCTCTCAACACGGCTGCTACCAAGGGAAAGGTCGCTTACCTCCCTTTTGGTGTTTAGAAGGTCACCTCCACCGCCGATATCCCCCCTGCCACAGAACTGTATGGCGAGGCTGGGTCCACGATATCCGGCTTCGGAAAAGCATTCGCGTTTGCATCGAACCCTACTCCCGTTGTGCAGATTGGTAGCACCCCTGATCAGAAGGGCACTGCCCGTGTGCAGGATATTCGCTTCACTGTGCACGAGGCGCTTGTCGGGGCTATCCTCCTCCGCATCAATATGGCTGGCAACAGCCCTGGATATAGTTTGGAAATTAGTCTGATTCTGCATGAAGAACAAGAATTTTATCTTTGTCAAGTATACAGACTGAGCAAAGCCGCAGGAAGTGATAATAGAGTCTTGCTAACCCACATTAGACATTATAGTATGGAAATACAAACTAGAAAGATTGCACAGATGTATGGTAGGGTGGCATTACACTACAGGCCTGTCATTGAAAACCATCAGGGTTCTAGCGCCCCAAAGACAAAAACCTACCCACGTCTATTTCTTCCCGAGAAAAGTCAAGGCGCCGAGAACGTAACCGTCGAGTCCCGTCTGCAAAGTCGGCATGATGGCGGGCGCAAACAAAGGTGAATGGTTTGCTGGGATATCCCTGGAAATGGTGCCTCGGGCTTCAATCTGATCCCACCTTGACTCTTCGATGCTGCCGTACATGAAGAAGCAGGATGGCTTGTTCACCGCAGTAGCCAGAATAGAAAAGTCTTCGCTACCACCGAGGCGCGGTAAGTTTCTATTGTACCGGCCCTTTTCCTCGCCAAAGTGTACCGAAAATGTGTCCTCGATCTTCTTGGTCGTTTCAATGTCGTTGATTGTCAAGGGGTAGGATCTTGTCATTTTGAACTCGGGCTCCTTGGTAGATTCGGCGCACGCACATTCGGAAGCCACGACAGCCTTGATGCGACGCATCATGCGCTCTCTTGTCTCGACGGTTGCGGAGCGTGTATCTATGCCCAGGACGGCAGAGTCGGCAATGACATTTTCCGCGTCGCCGGCGTGAAAAGTCGCCACCGTCACGACGCTGGAGTCAGCAGGGTCAGTTTCGCGACTGACAAGCGTCTGCAGCTTCATGATTGTGCTGGCAGCAATGACAATGGGGTCAATTGACGTGTGCGGCATGCTGGCGTGGGAGCCGCGCCCGTGGATCGTCACTTCCATGCTGTCTGCGCTTGTGGCGACGATGCCTCGACCAGTGCCAATGCTGCCAGCGCGGAAGGGCATGACGTGCGCTCCAAGGACCACGTCCGGGACGGGGACACCATGGCGCGTGTAGAGGCCATCATCGACCATGGCCTGCGCGCCGGTTCCGCGCTCCTCGGCAGGCTGGAAGACGAGCACCAGAGTGCCCGCCCACGTCGCACGTGCGGAGAACAGGGCTGCGGCAGCACCGAGGAGACAGGTGATGTGCATGTCGTGGCCGCACGCATGCATCACCGGTTTCTCAACGCCGGTGGCGGCGTGAATCATGCGCTTTTTGCTAGCGTAGGGAAGGCCGGTACGCTCCTCAACGGGGAGAGCGTCGATGTCAGCGCGGAGGAGAACGGTAGGTCCTCTGCCGTTGGGAAGCACGGCAGCGAGTCCATGACCTCCGATGCTTGTCTTGATGGCAAGGTCCTCTGGTGCAACGGCCTTGAGCTTTTCGGCGATCAACGCCGCGGTTTCGGACTCTTGGTCAGACAGCTCTGGGTTCTGGTGAAGGTGTTTGTAGAGCTCTTGCAGCGGGCCGAGGTCTGGCCTATACTGCGCTACGACTTGTGACAGATCGGATGCCATGGTTCAATTTCAATGGTAAAGATACTTTGCTGTCTGCACAATCCTTTGATTCTGGGTTGCAATGAGGGAGAAGAATCGTCTACAAATGATGAGCTCATGACAGTACTAGACGATCCCCCACGTTCAAGGTGGGGGTTAGGAACGGGAGTTAGCGTGCGCCCTATGAGGAACACTAGGTGTAGATACCGCGTGGGATGGAGAGAGGCGAGATATGCATATCGATCGGGTTGATAGAGATGGTGATTAATGGTCTTTTTTAGTTTGCGATGAGTCTGGTTTATAATGCTCGTAATGGCGGACGGTAATGGTAGCCGGCAGTGGAGGAGGAGTGGAGGAGTCTTTGACACAAGCGAGGTTGCGAGGGTCCGACAGGTAGGTTGAATATGATTACAAGGGCAAAATGCTGATGAATTTAGATCATTGTTTTGAAAGAGAATTTTGTTCTATTTTTATCTGACAACTAAATTTCTTTCAATGAAGGAGGAGTAGCAGTGCTTTGTGGCGAGAGTGACGAAAGTAGTATATTGTGTTACAACGGGACGCATTTCCAATCCTGCATATTTGTTACTCATGTTACATCGCCTCTCGTATCAAGTAGTCTTTTGTGATACATTTGCATGCAAATATTGATTGCCCGTCCATGGTTGCTCCAGTCAGTTGAATGATGTTGATGTTGGCTTCCGTTGTGCGCCATCGGCCAGGTGCAACGCCTGTGCCCAGAAAAGGAAAAGCGGCAACGCACGGGCCAGGCCTCGCAGCGATGACACCAACTGCCTTTTTTGCCCAAAACCCTCTCTCTGCCCGCCTCTGCCTCCCAAAAACCCTTCTCGACGACACACTCAACCAAAACGAAACTTTGTTTCCATCCCTCTCCTCGTCGCACCATCCTCCAGACGAATCTCGACTAGATTCTCTTTCTCTTACTTTGAGTTTTTACTACACATTTCCCTCCCAATCTCTCTCTCTCCACACGCAACCTCCCTTTTGCTTGTATCAAGCCGGCTGGTTTTTTTTTTCTCTCTGTTTGTCATCCCCGACGAAAGCAACCACCTTCTCCTTTCTTTCGACATTGCGTCCAGATTTCATCTAGGCTCGACCCTCGATTGACTCGCACCCAACCCCATCTCCAACTCTGCACATACATTCGCATCTTTACTCTGCGCATCTAGTCTTTGTGCCGATATCGCCCACCTCCCACCCCTAGACGCCGCATAGTCCACTCATATCACACACACATACATCATCATGGCTACCAACGGCAGCTTCGCTCAGCAGGACCAGCACAAGGCCGCTACTGAACAGTTTCCCGCTTCCAACGACAACAGCAATCTGGCCAAGGATGAGGTCGGCTGGTACTTTGTCGAGCAGTACTACACAACTCTGAGCAAGTCTCCCGAGAAGCTTCACGTGAGTTGACCCCGATGGCGCTGCCCAACCCGCACCGAGCTAACCAGTAGCACGCAGCTCTTCTACAGTAAGCGCTCCCAGCTGGTTTGTGGCCAGGAGGCCGAAGTTGCCAACGTCTCCGTCGGCCGACAGGTATGTGGCTCCTCTCGCTTTTTGATATAGCCTGCACAAGAGCAATCACACTAATCCTGCTTCGCGCCCACAGGCTATCCAAGAGCGCCTCAAGTCTCTCGATTTCCAGGACTGCAAGGTTCGCGTTTCCAATGTCGATTCTCAGGCCTCCGACGATAGCATTGTCATCCAGGTCATTGGTGAGACCTCCAACAAGGGAGCTGAACCCAAAAAGTTTGTTCAAACTTTTGTCCTCGCCAAGCAGCCCTCCGGATACTTTGTTCTCAACGACATGCTGCGATACATTCTTGAGGAGGATGAGACGGAGGTTGACGAGGCTGAGAAAGAACCTGCCGCTCCCGCTCCCGAGGCTCTCGAGAACGCTCCCGAGACCGCTCCCGAGACCGCTCCCGAACCCGTTGTCGAGGCTGCCTCCGTTGAGAAGAAGCTCATTTCCGAGGTTGCCGAAAAGGCCACCGCCAACGGCAAGCACACCGAGCCCGAGCCCAAGGTTGAGTCTTCAGCTGCCCCTGCTGTCGAGCCCGTTGTTGAAGAGCTCGCCAAGGTAGAGATTCAGGAGGAGGAGAAGCCCAAGGAGCCTGCCCCGACCCCCGCCAAGATCGAGACTCCAGCTCCCGAGCCTGCTGGCCCTCCCAAGCCTATGACTTGGGCCAGCCGTGCTGCAGCCGCTGCCGGACCCCGCCCTGTTGTTCCCCTGCCCAAGACAGCGACTCCTCCCGCCACCAACCAGAACCGTACCCCTGCTCCCGCCCCTGCGGCTGCTCCCGCCCCTACTCCTGCCGCCACCACCTCTACCGCTCCCGCCACCACCGCTGCTCCTCCTGCCGTTGAGGCGGCTCCCAAGGAAACTTCAGGCTGGCAGACTGCGGGCGTCGACTCTAAGCGCCAGAACCGACCTCAGCCTAGTTCTACCGGCGGGGCTGAGAAAGAGGGCACTATGGGCTATGTCAAATATGTGACTGACAAGGTTCTTGATGCTGACCTTCGTGCTGCGCTTGCTGCTCATGGCGAGCTGAGCTACTTTGACATTAACCGCCAAAAGGTATGTAAAGACTTGAAAGCACCATTGTTTCCCACCCGAGTCGCTAACCGTTTCAGAACTGTGCATTCGTCGAGTTTAAGACGCTCGAGGGATACCAAGCTGCTGTCTTCAGCAACCCTCACATCGTGAATGGCGAGAATATTGTCGTTGAGCCTCGTCGTCCCAAGACTGCTGGCCACAACGGTAGCGCCAGCTTCGGTGCCGGTCGCGGTAATGGCGCTTCCCGTGGCCGTGGTGGTTTCGAGGGCAACCGCAACGGTGGCCAGGGTAATGCCCGTGGCAACTTTGGCCAGGGCCGTGGACGTGGTGGCGCTGCTCGCGGTCGTGGTGCTGCCCAGGCTGCCACCCACGCCTAAATGGGTATCAAGATGCTCATTTTTCACAAAATTCGGATATCGTCAAGGTCAATAACGCTGCATTGATGCTACGCCAAAGCATCAGTGGCGACCTTGCGATGATACCGCCTCAACTGGGGTTGTAATGAGATGTGCGGGCATCGAACTTTACAGTGTGGCATGCATCTACGCCGGATGTATGGATGTACCGGAGTCCGGATGGGAGCGAATCGATTATTGATTTGGACAGGTAAGCGCCGCTTCTTGCAGCAAGGCAGCATCTGTCTGGCGGATGCGCGTGTCACCTGGGGATGATTTTGGCTTGTTTTGTTTTTTTACTTCACTGCATTGCGGGCGACAAAAAAGCTGCATCTATACCATGAACGGACAATGTATGAAGCCGGAGATGAATGCTCTGAACCGGGTAATGTGTTTTCTACAGAAGAAGTGCTAGTATACGGTGCGTGCGCGGGTACAACGAGATGGAGCAGTTGTCAAGATCGGCACTGATAATTCAAGCGGTGTATCACAATTGGAAGATGGAGGGAAGCGGAAAATAGAGAAAGAAGAGTCAACGGGGGCTGTACAATACAATAACGAACACGACTGCTGGGGACCGGGCTGTATATGAGTCGAATGACAGAAGCTATGACAAGCCAAGTTTCGAATGTGCATCCCTGTGAGGTGGTTCATGAGGGAAGATTTAGTTATGTCTCGGCGCCGTATTGTGAGCAGCAATTGCATCTCGAAGCACCTCGTATTCTCAAGCACGATGCAATGCTGTGCAGCTTATTTGTTCGCTACTGCCTCTCCCGGAGCATCTCAGGTCTTTCGATTGAAATCGCACTCGCATGGCGGTCCCCGCGATTTGGATCGTTCGAGGCTGTGTCTCGCTTTCACGGAGCAAGGCGAGATTTCTCGATCTTGGTAAACAACTGTCGGCGGGCTCAAGTCGCCGCTCAAGACGTCGTTCCACGAATTCTACAAGGGTACAAGAGGACGGTAACGCAACACTTGGGCGCGGTCAGCTACCACTTGCCCACTGATGTCGCGCCGCACATCGACTTTGTCTGGGCCCGCGGGCGCTTCTCGTCGGGTCAAATGCTTGTGGTGGCGGCGGCTCCTCTGAGCAAAGTCTGTCCCCGAATCCACCAACCCGAAGAATGCATCTATTTGGCGTTTACAAAGCATTCCTGCCGCGACCTTTTGTACGGGATCGGTCAACCCCAGGGTATTTTCAAAAGGAACAGGCCCGAAAGTTGGTTTGATCAAGCTGGTCAGCAATCCGTCGACAGACAGCATCGTGGGCGAGGCGGCAATACATTCCCAGTTCCGAAGAAGCGTCGCCTTCCGAGTGCGGCCGGTCTTCCTGCTTCAGATTGATCCCGGCCGAACATCGCCAATGGCATCATGTAAATGTCTACACAGAGTGCAGGTCGCTCCTCGTAGTATTCTCCAGATAAATGCATTGTTCAAATACAGGAGCAAATAGTGAGACAGCTTCACGCTTGGAGACAATAGCGCAAAGTGAGACATGCAGAGGGCCCTGGACGCCTCATCTAGCCAGACTGGGAGCGGGATGTTCGCTTACGGGTCGGCGTGCCGCTCACGCCGCTGTCAAAGGAGCCAAGGAGCACCAACAACTGAGCAGTGAGACATGCAGATTTCACCAAGGCCCTTGTGCTCACTGAGCTTGCCAGCTGGCTTCCCCAAAGCTACCCACATACGTCAACTAGTGGCTGTACATTACTGAAGAGAATTCGGAGGATATGAAGATACCACAAGAACTGAGAGAAACAGAAAAGTGAACCGAAAAAGTGAAGAAGAGTCAAATAAAAGCTCAAGAATAATTAAAAATAAAACGAATTCTGAAGACTTGGAAAATATAAACACAACAAACTTACTTCGCGTGGGTGTGTGCTACGTGATGTTCAAACTGGCGTAGCCTTGCATGTATAGTCATGGCGATGAGCCTGCTCGGTGTACTGTACGGCGCCGAGATGACCGAGATGGCGGAGTTGGGCAACTTGCTCGACGAAGGAAGAGAATCTGTGAGTGTATGCACGTAGTGTGCCATGACAATTACTGGTCCAGAAAGGCAAACGAACGGAGCATGTCAACTGACTCAGTGATGCATGCGCTGACTGGGCGATCAGCGCTGGGACTCGTTCATTTGCGTTTGAGACCTTGCTTGTTCTTTTCTGGCAGTTGATATGTACTTTTTACGTCTGGCGCCCAAGCACGTTGTTCCTGCTCTGCGGCCGGGCGTCTGAGACGTTGCTGTCTTACAACGTGCGCAGCCATGTCTTTGGCAGTGCATCATCAATTTAGCAGTCCCTCGAAGCACAAGCTCAGCGAGCGTCGTGAGAACAAAAGTTCCATGTCGTAGTACTCAACGGATTGCAAGCAAATTAACTTGTTTTGCACAATTACCGCATTGTAGCAAACATCACTCTCATCGTAGCTTTCGCCATGGCCATGTAGTTCTCCAACACGTACACAGCAACGAATTTGCCGGCTGCCAAGCGAGGCTTCTATTTTCATTACTGTTACGGCGGCTGAAGTCCGAGCAAGAACGCAAGCAAAAGGTTATTGATTTGATGATGGCCTGACGACCGGGGCGGGGACGGTGCGCGCTCTATTCGATGTAGCGCCCGTGAACCGTGAACCGTTACACTGGAGAGGAACAGGGATGGTCGCCGCTTGGAGGAGCACACCACCACATAGTCGCGCAGTTCCAACTTTGAACTTCATAGTGTGGTTCGTGTGCCACTGTAGTCACCTCCGTTTCGGTGACAGTGAGATACCACTGAATGCACATTCGGCAGTGCTTCTGTCGCTGTTCTTAATTGAGTATCGCAGACGTTCACTGCAAGAAATTCGAGGGCCTGGGGGTGGGTGACACGCTCGATATTAGATTGTCCGGATAAACGAATGAGCAAATTGCTGCGGGCTCAGTTGTAAGCACAGAATGGTAAAAGAGAGAGGCTTGCAAAAGTCCCTAAGAGAGGGCCAAAGGGCTTCGCGGGCGAGTGGAGGGCCGGAGGCACCCAGCTGGTGGCTTGGCGCATTACTGGAATCCTGCTCAAAGCAGTAATGCAAAGCCGATTGGAGATCGACTGCATGCCGATTCCATTCTACAGAGCACGGAGTACGCAGCTCTAGAAAGCCACTTCACATCCTGTGTTGATCTCAGTAGCTCATGCGGACGTATACAGTGTCACAGGCTTTCCGTCAAAGGCAGCCAAAGATGCGACGTAGAGAGGCGCTTCGGTCGCAAAGGACGGGAACATGTGAGAGCCGCAGAGGAGTTCACGTCGGTCGTTCATCCGAGAGATTTCAGCGTTGTCAGCTGTGGCGTTTTGTCTGCCTTCCATCGGTGATCCAAATAACCAGATATGAGAATCAGTTATAGGTTATAATCTGCCATGTTAGCGACCAATGCCTGCATTTTATAAGCGACCAATGCCTGCCAGCTAGGGTAACTCGGGAACAAGCCAGCGCCCCCGCGACGCCACCAAGAGCAGACACAGGCTGGTGGTAGCCCTGCACCTGGGTGACAAAACTGATCGCCGCTTTCTCACCAGCTCAATACCAAAAAGCGGCGAACAGTTTTGTCACCCACGTGCCCTGTAGCCTTCAGACCAATTAGAGGGCGGCTGGCCATGCAGCATGCTGCGAAGTGAAGCACAGCTACCAAAGAGCCTCGTCAAGTCCAGGGTCGTGAGGCTCTTGGATTCGTGCATTTGGTTGGATGGAATGGTCTTTGGGGGGGAAATAAGCCTCAATTCCATGGGCAGCTTGCATGTGACTGGGAAGTCTGCTCAGGGATTTCGCATATGCATCCAATGCAATGGCCGAGGAGCGTGTGGACCGCTACACCCGAGTTGGCTCATCATTAGATGCAGTTGCAATGTACTACCCCAGAGAGTAGAGCGGATATATTTTCTTGGCCGACAGATTTCAGATCAGTGTTTTTTGGCCTTGGCGATGTCCGCTCTTATCTACCGCTGCCGAACACGGTATATGTGGCGCTTGAAGATGATGTAGTCCTTGTAATAATTGAAGTCGAATGGGCGAGAATAAGAGCAGGGAACAGCTGCAATGAAAGCGCCATATTAGCGTCCATAGCAAGCAAGGCACACACACACGCACGCACACAGAGAGGTATGCAGGAGCCTGATGACGGCGGAGAAGGCGCCGCCCTTTCGCCCCGTCTCTTGCAGAGGGCGTGGGACAGTGCGGCAGGCAAAAATTGACAGCCATGCCAATCATTGTAACTCTGACACCACATCAGTCAAAACATCACCTACCCCCGCGGGCCTAGCGCCACTTCGATGGTGTAGCTTCGGGCATCGGACCTAAAGGTCATGGGTGCCCCGGGTCGTGGAGGAGTCGGGAGGGTTTGGGTATGCTGAGAGGGCTGGCTGGCTTGCTCGGCGAATTGACGAAGGACGATTAAGGAAGGAGTTTATTTCTGACGATGCGAGGTGAGGACGGGGTTCGAGGGTGAGGCTTGATGATGGCGATGATGCTAGGAATAAAGGCAAGAGAAGAATGATACGAGACGAGAGTCAGAGTAACTATTCATGTCGTGGTGTTTGCTGTAGGTAGTACTGATAGAGCAGCTGGCGGCGGGCGTGACCAGTGCGAGACTTCGACTTGCGTTTGCTTTGGAAAATGTACCCGACAGACCGACAGGTGCTCGATCCAGGCACGTTCCGAGTACATTAGACGAGGAGACGAGCGTGGGCTGGTGGGCTCATGGCTGCGCAAACACTTTGCGCAAGATTTGCGATGTGCAGCACGAATGCCGTGATTAGCATATTGATAATGCCAAGGATACGGAATTAGTTCCAGACTCGATGAGATTTGTGCTACCAGCTATTGTCGTCTGTCAGTTTTGCGTCTGTCGATGGGTACCTGCGCTGGGTAAACAAGCGCAAGCACGCATAAGCATTAATTACTTGTATGAACCCGCCTCTGCGGGTGACCTCTGCTGCCTGCAGGCTGCATAGGCCAGTTAAGTAAGTAGGCGAGGTACCTTGGACAAAGGTTCCGCAAAAGAAAAAAGGTTCCTGCAAAAGTCCCCCTGCCTCTGACCCCCGTGTTACCACTCTGGTGTGGCCTCCGCTGCCCCAGCTTTTAGCGGGCTTCGGAACCTTTTTCAGGTTTTTTTATTCTGAGCCTTTGCGGCGCCGAAACGGCGCTGCGTCCGCTAAATAATCCAGCGACCCCACTGGCGACTCACTGTTCAAGCAGCAAAAAATGCCCTCAAGGCCTTCTAGTGTTGCCGAGCAAATACGACCTCTACCTGGGTACCCTCAGTCGAGGTACCTTGATGCTTGGTTGCTTGTTCGGTACTTGGGTACCTAACCAAAAGGTCCACCAATTTTCTCCATGTCTCCATCCATGCCTCCATTCAGGATCCATGTCACTCAAGCCCATCCCACCAGCCTTTTTGACCATCTCGGCCGCTCGCCAACTCAGATCCAGGCATCCTTGGCAAGACAGGCCTGGCACACCTGGCTTCTTCATCAATGGTTGGCCCCCAAATTCTCCCCAGGGCCAAGCAGCTACTTCTGAAACCCCCGTCAACGACCGACTGCTCTGTGCCACCCTCTGCATGTGTACAGCTTTCTGCATCGCCAAACGCTCTCTCTACTCAACGGTCAAACGCCAACGCCATCACCATCCCTCATCTCGCCGTCAGCGTTGGCAACTCTCAATATCCAAAAATAGCCCTGAGAAATACTTTTGAATCCGACTTCTTTTTTCTCACTGGCTGACGTCGCTGCAACCCCGCCTCCCATCTGCCGGTCGACTCACACTGTCGCCTCAAAAGGTCCCTCTGCGGCTCCACCACCGTCTATCCTCAACCGCTTCGGCTGCGACGCACAGCAGACTGAGCAGAGACACGACTAGGAAAAGTTCTGCTCAATCTTATCCCGATCAGTACGCCTCCTGCTCACGCCTCATCGTCATCCTACCTGGTCAATAGCGACGCACGCCCTGGTCGACGTCGGCAGTCTTGCGACCGACCACTCCTGCTCATCTCCGTCCTCTGCACGCCTACCACGCGTGCTCCGGCCTTCCGCGCACACCCCTACCCGACTATTCTCTGCTAGCCATTCTTTCGACCTTCTTGACTTGTCAATTCTCCGTCTTAACCGTCACCTGGGCCGGTCCCCACGTTTTCCGGTGCTTCCAAACCTAACCAGCTCTAACCACACTAGCCTACAAGGTGCCCTTTTTCACTGCAACCCTTGCCCACAGCTCTTGGTTTGCTTGTTATTTGCCTTTGATACGCCCCTCCCGCCTGCGATCGGAGCCTCTTCCAGATTCTATTTCTGCTTCTCCCCCTTCACTTTCACACCAACTCGTCCGGCTCGTGTTTTCACTCACTCATCTCCGTCAACCTCATCATGCTCCAGTGCGGGTCGTTATGAGCAGACTTGAGCCTGGCCACTTGATCATATCTTCACAACTCTCAGCGTATCATCCTGTCTAGAGTTCACGCCCAAACCTGCTCAACTAGACGTCTACCGCCTGGTGTCGCCGAATGACGTCTCGGGTGTTGCGGCCGTCTATCCGTCATCGCCCAGACTAAGGCGTGCAATGCCTGATTCTATCACCATGGACGAGCCACAGGAGCCTCCTGCTGAAGACAGTCATGCATCTCGCCAAGGCTCACCGCCGCTGGGGCGCCGTTTATCCATAGACGAAGACTTGTTTTACCACCGCATCATGTCGGCCCCGCCACGACGCTCTTCACTACCGCCGCCTTATCTGCCTAGCAAGTCTTCTTTGCAGGATGCTGCTGAGTCCGCGCAAGGAAATGTCATGGTCCAGTCAAGCTCTGCTGCTGGCAACGTCTCGGAGGAGTTGCCAGGCTACTCCAACTCCGTTTTTCTGGAAGGCATCTTCTCCAAAAAGCACGAAATTGAGAACACCACAAAAAGAGCCGAGGACCGCCGTTGGCACAACGCTTTTGTGGTGCTCCACGGAACCGCTCTTCACGTCTATCATGTAAAGAAGGACTGGGGCTGGGGAAGATCAAAAGACGGTCCAAGTATATGTCCCGACAACCCTCCCTGGGTGAAGAAGTCCAAGCTTGAAAAGACCTATAGCTTGTTACATGCAGATGCTGGTATTGCTGCCGATTATAAAAAGTGCGTTGCCCTCTTGAACATTTCGAACCGACCCGCTAACAAAACGTTGAGACGACGCTACGTCATTCGTATACGAGCAGAGACTGACCAGTTTCTTCTTTCATGCATCGAGCTTAGCACCTTTGTCAAGTGGCTCGAAGCGCTGTTTGCCGCTATTGATATTGCTGCTCCCATCGATGAGCGCGAGTTCCCTCGCGACATGTCTATTCCACGAGTTCAACGTATCCGTTGGTTCCGCGGACAATCACCTGTGCGGATGCCAAGCCCTGCACGGACACAAGACTTCGAAGAGCCCCTGCAACCAACAACCTCTGCAGGGCGACGCAATTCATCTCCGCGACGCCTACGAAGCCCTACTAGTGACCAAGAGCCAGAGCTTCCTTCACGAGATGCTACCGGTGGCTTTCCCAGACACGAAATCGAACACGAAGTCGAACCCGCCCAAAACGCCATTGACTCGGACTCGGAAGAATCAGAAGATGAAGATGGTGGTTTTACTAGCAGAGGGCATAGACTGGTACACCGACTGAGTACAACATCCTACCACAACACGTCGATAGACCCATTCTCTGGCAAGTGGTTTCCAGAGCACAAGTGGTCCGAGGCGCATGACATGCTCTACGCCAAGCTATGCTACAGCAACCTGCTGTTCCGGAGCCCGAGAAGATCCAACTACATTATCAGCAAGGGGAAGCAGTGGTTTGTCGATTGGGCCACCGGACGCATGGTGCGGGTGCTGCCACCAGCCTACGGCGAAGACGTCTGCGGGCCGTGGCAGGCTGTACACACAGAAAACCCGCGCATTTAAAACAGTGCACATATATTACGAAAATTTACGACATAGGACGATGTATACAAATGATTACAGGGTGGACATTTTGCGCTTCGATACCCACCTGGAACAGCCCCTGCGTGCAAAGAGCAGCAAGGGACCTGTACACGATTACGGTTGCATTGTTGAGGTTCTCAGACGGGGCGTTTTGACTTTTATTTCTTTTGCGTTATCAGCCTGTGCGACATTTCGCAATGGCTTGCATGGATAGCCGGCGTAGTTCATAAAGGCTATCAAAAGGCGCGGCGCAGTTGTGTGCCTGCCTATAGAGTGCAGTAGTTACACTGTCTATTATGACCAGAGATGGAAATCCACTCTTCCTTGTATATAGTATCTCGGTTTCAACGGAGAAAATTCGCCCGATACCGATTTCGCAACATGTTTTATTATCCACTCTTTTGATTTCTTCTCTTTGCCATTGACTCATGATTCCTGATGGAGGGTGATGACGTACGCCTCGTCATATTTCGTGCGTAGACAGATTCTTGACGAGGCAACAGCTCTATCAATTTGCACAGTTCGGGTATCTGAGCCGTGGGCGAGCCAATTGACAACGACCAAAAGCATGCACACACACGACCAGGTCAATAGAGTAATTGAAACCAAGTAACCTTTTCCCCCATGCCCTCCCTCGTCTTGCGCGCCACCAACAATATCCCGAACATATCGCGGAGATGCTTCCACGTCCGCAAAACGAACCCGTCTGGCCTGGCAGACACGGCTCTGTTTCTGCTGCCCGTAACCCTAGTTAGGAAGCAAGTGGGCTTTTGCGGTGACTCCTTTGCTGTTTGAATCCGCTTCCCCTCTCTCGCTAGACCTTTTTCTGCGCTTTGCGGCTGAAAGGCGGATATAGGAGGACGGACGGGCGGGCGGTCGTCGGTACTGTATATGTGTGTGTGTGTGCGTCCGCCTCGTTCCAACGTGTGGCTGTAAGCTGAACCTGCGAACATATCGTACGCCCTTCCCCTTCCCCTCCAAGCCCCATTCTCCAACGCCACGCGCGAAGCTGGGAACCACTCGCTAGGCAGACGGAGAGGAAAACACATGCTCAACGTGAAAAATGTCCGACAGCGGCCCCATATCGTGGCGTTTTTTTTTTTTTGTCATTCCTTCCTTTGGTTTCCCTTGGCCCTCGCATGTAAGTCGGTGGAGGTGAACCCACGGCGACCGCATCGCGTGGCTGGAAACCAAAAAAAAAGTCGCCGGCCCTACCGCTGTACCAGTTGTGCGCGCATTCCAGGGGGGATCTCTCTGCCCATTGTACTGTGTGCCCTCTGGTTTTGGAAAGATTCCGTTTTTTTTTTTGCCCTTTCCCTCTTTCCTGTTCAGACATGCTCCGCATCGAGCCGCGTCTCCTCAGCCAGCGCCGCAACCACCTCCTCGAGCGCCTCATTCGCGCCGCGCACGTCGGCCGCGGCGTCCTCGAGCCGTGCCAGCAGCGCGTCCGCCTCGGCGCGCTGCCGCCGCACCTCGTCGACCAGCAGCGCGTTTTGACTCTGCGTCGCCGCGAGCTGCGCGCGCAGCTGTGCGTGGTGCCGCGCCAGCGCCGGGTGCAAATGCGCGGCGAGAATGGCCTGCGGCGGGAGTGTGTGCGGTCTTGTTTTCGGTTCACTTATGTTAGCCAAGGTTGACGGGTCTTTTGTTTTTTCTTGACAGAGAAAGAGGTTGTAGAATAGGTCCCAGCAATATTCGAGAGAGAGATGAGGGAAACGAAGACAAAGAAAAGAACAATACTTACGGCGTGGGTTTCTCTGTGATGCCAGCAGCTTGCGCCTCTTCCCGTCTCTTCTCCGCGTCGCCCACCAGATTCTCCAGCTCGTTCAGTTTGGCAACGACCTGTCTGCTCTCAAGAATCTTTTCAAACTCTCTCTATTTTGCGTTTCACCCCATCACCATCAACATTAGCCATCTTCACACAAACACACATCGCCATTCTTGTAGTCCCAGGGTTATAGAAACATACCTCGCATCGCCCCTGCAGCTGACTCGCCATCTGCTCCTGCAACTTCCTCAGTACCCCCTCGGCACGCCGCGCAATCGTCGGGTAGCACCCCGCAAAGTTGGCCCAGCTCAGCTTTCGCAGCGTGCCGCCCAGGGCCTGCGCGTAGATGGCCTGCAGACGCGTCGCCCGCACGCCAGGCGCTTCCTTTTCGCCTCCGCCTCCCCCTCCCCCTCTTGTGTTTTCTGCTGTCCCATTTCCTGTAGTCGCTTCTGCTACTGCTGCTGCTGACGCCGTATCGCCTGAAGGCTGATGTTGTTGGTGTTCGGCCATGGCCAGCGCAAATGCAAACGGGGCGTTTTTGTTTTGATAGTGTTCCTTTTGATTTCGGGTGTACTAGCCTGAATCCGTAATTTTTCAGTGGATTGACGATTGAATCAAGTTGGAAATTTATGGGTAGTTTTGTCGTTGATTTTGCAGAATGTCGTTGGACTCATATGAGCGTCCGAGAATGACCGTTTAGGACGCGACGGGAAGACGCGATGGCGCGGCCCACCACGTGATGGACTCGTAGCACTTACAGCGTGCCCGCCGCATCTGATAAGATACGACAACTACTATCGAAGCCGCTGAAACTATCCTCTTTCTCATAATTTCCGAACACACACGCAATCACTAGAATGAAAGTCGAAGCGCAACATTAGCCCAGATGTACCTGTATTAGGCATCAAACCCCATTCTAATGTATCCAAAGTAGAGAATGGTATTCTATCGTGTCTATGGGGGTATCACATTCCTTCTCCTTGTCCTTTTCTAATTTGCCGACAAGCTTTCCACGTCGTCCACCACCTTTGCCGCCAAACTCCCATCCTCCGCCCCGTTCCGGGGCCCGTAGCGCTTCAGCTCCTCCTCGTCCTCCCGGCGCTGCAGCTCCCGCGTCTCCCTGCGCCTCCTCTCCTCCTCCCTGCGCTTCTCCTCCTCCTCCTTGCGGCGCTGCTTCTCCTCCTCACGGCGCTGCTTCTCGTCTTCGCGGCGCTGTCGGGCCTCTTCGGCGCGGCGTTGCGCCTCCTCGGCCTTGCGCACGCGCTCCTCCTCCTGCTTGCGCTGTTTCTCGTACGTGGCGAGGCGTAGCGTGCCGATCGTCAAAAAGGCCATGACGAGGATGCCGAGCACGGAGCGCCATATGAGTACCCAGCGCACGCCCTCGATTTCCGTCTTGGCGTCGGACGTAAGGTCGATGCTAATCTTGTAGCTGATTTTTTGAATCTGTCGTGCGTTAGATGCTACCGTAGCCGCCATGGCGGAAGAAACTTACAGCACTATCTATAGCCTTTTGCTCCTCTCGCACAGCCTGCTTACGGTCGTTGTACATACCCTTGACAGTGTCGTTGAGCGTCGCAACCTCTTGGTTTAGCGACTGCGTCAGGATATCCACTTCGTGCTGGAGATGCGTCCGCTTCTGGCGCAGCTCTTCCTCGGCGAGTCGCCTATTGTTCTTGACTTCGGTATTGAGCTCCGAGCAAGCGGCCGAAAACAAATACGTTTCCTGGAGGTCTGATTAGCGTACTTGGTAACAGGCCCATCTTGCTGAATTGAGTACTGACATTTTCAACATCGCTTTTGCTGACGAGGCTTTGCTGCGCGACGCCCAGATTCTTGGCGAGAAGCTTCCGAATCGCTTTCATTGACATGATTGCCTGCTGCGACGTGTAGCCGCCCTCTTCAAGCTGCTTCACAAGCGAGTAGCTGTCGAAATGATGCTCATACGGCGGCGGCGACATGGACGGATGCTGCTGCGCAGTCTGCTCTGGCGGCTGCATGTGCAGTACCGCCTCGAGGGGTCCGCTCGATTTTGCCAGCTCCTTGGCCTGCGCAGTCTTTGTCTCCTCGGCCGTCGGTTCTCGTTTGCTCTCCGTCGCCTGCGACTGCTTTCCCGACTCGCTGCCTGTCTTTTTAGTTTCGCCCTTGGTCTCCGCTGCTGGCGGCGGCGCCAAAATCACGTCGGGCGTGGCGACAGCCTCTTGCGTGTTCGTCTTTGTGCTTGACGCCGTCGCCGTCGCCTTGGGCTTGCTGTCCGCTGCGTCGGCCTTTGCATCATTTTCAGCGGCAACGGTGGGAGCAGCCTCGCCAGCCTTGTTCTCAGTCGCGGCTACACCGTCTTCGACGGCAGCCGTGCCGTCTTTTTGCTGCTGCTCTTCCCATGTCTCTGGCGCCACGCCTTTGCCATGTCTCGGCGCAAACGAGCTTTTGGCCCGCCGAAGAGCATGCACGGAGCGTTTCGGGTTGGCCGCGGCCCAAGGGGGACGGTAGGCAGCCCATTGCTGCGGTTGCGCTCTGGAAGTTGCCCGCAGCATATGCGGGTAAAGAAATGTCAATCGCGACGCAGCCGACATCCTGTATATGATGAGATGAGACCTTGAGAATCTTGGTCAAACCGATCAACTCATGTATCGTCTCGGCTTTGGAGAAGAGTATCGCGCTATTTTCTTCTTTTCGTGTCGGGGCAAGAGGGATGTTTCGAATGGGCAGGGGAACAATGGGGTCCCCCTTTGGCCCAAAGCTTGCCGAAGCTCGACGAAGCGTCTTGCTCGTCCAATTGAAAGGAACAAGCGGGAGAACGCTGAGAAAGCTCGAGGCGATACAAAAGGAAATAAAAAGAATGAAGAAAAGGAGTGTACGCCTAGTCTGTCGGAGATTGTGTTGGGAGAAAGGGTACTGTCCCGGCTGTGGAGGGGGAATTGGCTCTGAGCAAGGGCACGCCGCCACGATATTTATTAGGTAACCTCGCGGGTCATGTTTGTGGAGCGTCTGCTGCGAGAGCCCGCGGCGCCGAACACTGGACGGGCTAGCACCGGAGCTAGCAATAACGACGCTTTCACAAGATATTGGCATGCAACTGGGCAGAAACAAACAAGTAGGGGTTGAAGGGGCAAATCTTGACATGGTTGGCAAGATAATAACCCTCCTCCAATTCCTGGAAACCCACATCTACGGGTCAAGACCTCACCAAGTACAATGCGCAGGACTTGAGGTCAAATAATAAATCTGCCTAGTACAGGGCCAGGCCATAAATAGCAAACTGTATACGGCAAAATTCCCCCCCTGCCATATATAAAACTGTAAGCCAATCAAGAGCAAGTTCATCTGCCCCAACACCAAACCACGTCCGAGTCCTGAGCATCCAATTCTATCCCACCGCTGCAGTGCGATACCAAAAAGCCACAGCCGCTAACAATCCCTCCATGTCGCCAGCAAGTTCCGTCGCATGAATGCAACAGAACACATTGCGCTGAACAAGTTTTGTGCTGGCATTATTTGCAAATCGCTACCTGCACTCGTAGAGCAAAAGCAACTTGGCGCTGTTTTGTAAAGTATATAACACATGGAAGTTCGGCAAAAAAAGAAATTAACAAAAACGCCCCTGTACACTGTGACAAATAAGAAGAACAGACCAGCCAAAGTTTGCGAGGAAAAAAGGGGGCAATTTATTCATGAGCCCTTTCCGGTAAAAAAGTTATCCTTTCCGCATAGCACCAAGACTGGTTTCTCGTTAACCCGCAATTCCCATCTAAAGCCATGGCGTGATTGTGAAAAAGTAATATCCTGAATTGGCCCGTATAAATGTGTTGTTCTGAATAATGTGCAGTTGTGAAATCGGCAAGAGGGTATGGACATGAGCGAGCTTCGTTCCCTCTGCCCTTGGCGTATTAAAATGTCGTAGACGTGTACCATCGAGTGTACTTGTTCCAAGGGGTATAAAGTCGTCGTGAGTCTATGTGTCTTCTTCAAGCTTCCTCTTCGTGCACCTGGACATCCCCGGCGGTCACGGTGGATGCCTTGCTAGATGCATCAGCCGAGACCAAACCAACGGCACTAACGTGAGTGCTTGGTGGGCTGCTGGTCTGCGGGCTGCTGGTTTCGTTGGTCAAGGCAGGGGTGGGCGTGGCCGAGTGGTCACCTTCACCGCGACTGCCTAGTCCCAAGAGTTTCTCGAGAGCCTGAAGCTGGCGAGAAGCGCCGTTCTTCTTGAGCGAAAAAAACTGAGGCTTGATCTCGTCGACAAGAATCTCCTTCTCGGCGCCGTGCAGCTGGCCCAAAAGCTTTTCTAAGCAAGATTAGTTTGCGTTTGGGAAAAATGAGTAGAAAAGACTGCTTACGGATGACATAGTTGCCATACTGGTCGCGCATCATAAGTTGGAGTGGGCTGGAACCGTCGGAAACAACGGTAGTGAGCTGCTCACGGATAGCAGAGCGCTGTGCGGGGGTGCCATGTTCGATACACTTCTCCACAACGTTAGAGGCGAACTTGTGCTTGGAAAGCGTAAGCAACTGGGACATGACAAGCTGAATTAGCTTGTCGCGGTCCTCGGGCTTGCCGTTCTGGATGACGTGCTGCGCGACGTAATTGCCATACTGGTCAGTAATCAGAATCTGCGCAGACGCATGCAGCTCAGTCATAATCTCAAGCTTGTCAGTCTCGGTACCGTACTCGAGCATTCGCTGAATAACACGGCATCCGTAGGTGTGAGAGGCGAGGCCGGTGACTTGCCCACGAAGAGCATCCATGATGAAGTCGATGTACTGTCGGGGAACGAGCTCAATGATCTTCTGGATGACGTGGTTGCCATTCTGGTCGCGAATGACGCGAATGATGTCGGGGCTCAACTCCTTGGTCAGTTCAGCCTGCTGCTCAACAAGAACATGCTCGAGAGCTTTTTGAACTACTCGACAAGCATACACCTGAACTGAAAGGTCGACAACCTTGCCTCGCATCTTCTCGGCCAATATCTTTTTCTGGACCTGGTTACCGTGCTCAAAAAACTTTTGGACAACGTAATTGCCAAAAACGTCCTTCATCAGCTGGATCGCATTAGGCTCGATCTCGCGGAAGACTTGTTCCTTTTCGTCACTGTTGGCGGTCTCGAGCTTCTGCTGGATGAATCGGGACCCATGCTGGTCACCACTGAACTCTACAACGTAGCTGTAAATGTCCTTGAGCTCATATCGCTTGTTTGATTTGTTGCTCTGACGGAACTCCTCCAAAAGGTAGCTGCGTACAGCCTTGGAGGGATCCTGCTCGCGCGAGGATCGCGCAGACTGGATGCCGCCGTTAGGAGCATAAGCAGAGGGCAGGGGAGGAAGGGGGTAGCCCGAGAGCGCAGGGTGGCGATAGTTTTGCGAGTACGGGTCAAAGTTGGGAGCGTACTGAGCCGGAATGGGTGCATAGGTATACTGGCCGCCGTAGAAGGCTCCAGGATAGGCGGGAGGGTACTGGTGCGACTGCAGGCGGCGCTCAATGTCAGCAGTGCGGGGATCGCGAGAGGAGGGACGGGCGCCACCCCAGACATCAGAAGTGATGGCGTGGGCGCTGCGAGGGCTGGCGCCAGGCTCCAAGCGGTATGTGGGCGAGGGAGTGATCCTATCGATGGAGCCGCGCCTCATGGCAGAGACGTGGGAGCCAATAGCTTCAGCTGGCGGATAGTTGAAGGCGCCTCCATAGCGGGAGGCACTTTCAGCCATCCATGGCTGGGAGCCGGGGTCGAGCTGGAAGGGCTGCGAGGCAGGATTGAAGGAAGCGGCGGGATGCGAATCGAGGTTCATGCGACGAGTGAACTGGGCGGTAATTTCGTCTTCAGCCTTGGTATTGTATGTAAAGGCGCGCTGATTGGCGTTGGAGAGAGAAGAGCCATGGCTCGAGACGCCGCGAGAATGGACCGAGTTGCTGTGGGCATGACCAGGGTATAGGTCGGCAAAGGCAGGCGAGCCCTGAGTCTGGCGCGAGGGAGGAAGGTCGTCGTCGCGGGGAGCGAAGGCGGCCAGGGTATCAAAGCCGGCGTGAGGGGCGCGCTTCTGAGTCGGGTAGGGAACGGTGAAACTGTCGTTATCAAAAGCGGACTTCTTGATACCAATGGCAGGATGGGAGTGGTCGAAGAAGGCGGCGCCGTTGGTAAGAACGGCTTCGCGAGCTCGGTTGGGCGAATTGCTGACGGAGCGGGGAGGGTGATCATGGTTCCATGGATTGGGAGACCAGACATCGGCTTCAGAGTTTACGTTGAGAGCGCTGCAACCTGTGGGACTCTCGTCCGGCGCTGCGATGGCAGGTTAGTATGACAAGGTACGACCAAGAGGCTAAGGAAAATATTTTCGACGAGGGTGCCGAGTCGACGGGATGCACAATTGATGGCCAAGGAAAAACAAGTTGTCAAGGCAAAGAAGTGATGACATACCTTCGGGGACGACCGCGGAGCGCTCCCTGCCATTGTGAAGTGAGGTATTCCAGATATTCTTGTTCGGGTAGAGATTTGAGCTTGCGTAGCCAGAGCCCAGAGGCTGCTGGGCCTTATCGTTGGGGCCGGTAGGCATGGTCAAAGGTGGGAAGGCCCTCGTCCGCGCCTATTTGGGGGTTGTTAGAAGTTTGAGATGAACAGCAAAAGTCGAGAAATGATGAGGGAGGAAAATGAGAAAGGCGACGAGGAAGAAGGAAGAAAAAAAGACGTTGATCAAAGACAAAAGACTGCGCTGCGTCAAGCGTGGGGATGAGGAGGCGAGGCCCAGGCCACCCTGGCGCTGGTGCCGACTTCTGGGCTTGAAATTTGGCTGGCAAAACTCAAGACTTGCGGGTTTTGGGCGTGGGCGTGGGCGTGGGCGTGGGCGTGGGCGTGGGCGTCCCGGCTAAGAGCCACTAGTATTGGGACGGCCCCAGTGAGACACACGAGCCCCCCTCGTGTGGAGTATGTTCAAGGCAAAGAGAGGAAATAATGCTGCTTTGGAGAAGAGGTAAATGCATAGAGAATTACTCGAACTTTTCTTGACTCGAGGCAGTGAAAAATAGAAGGAGTGTGAGGGGGGTAGGGGAGAAAGGAGGGAGGGGAGAGAGAGAGAGGAAGAGAGAGTCAGACTCACAGTAGTAGTCATAATGTTGCTGCGGTAGCCGATGAAAGCGATCTGTATCAACAACGAATATGTGACAAACAGCGAGCAACTCGCTGATTCTGGAGACTTGGAAGTGGTGGAAGCGCCGGCTCGCACACACAAAGGATATGCTTGGTTTTAAAGCAGCCCAACGAGGGTGACTGATGTCAATGATTGTCGTAAAAGAAAAAAAAAAGATGTCGATAGCTGGTATGCGCTAACTAGCAGATTTGCACTCAAAGTGGCGTCGACTGGCTTGCAAGAATCGCGCGCAGGCACCGCTAAAACGACGTGGGCCGGGGGAAATAGTTAAACTAGTGACGATCTGTCAGACGACGGGTTTTGGATACACAGCAAGTGTATCGGCACAAGAGTTTCGAGTGTGACGGGCGAAGCAAGCAGGTGAAACAGAAAAAAAAACAGAGCAACGGAGGTCAAGTGTGTTTTGACAAGCCTGAGTGGACACGGGGCAGCGGCATCAAACACGCAACGAGGGAAATCGAATTGGCAGACGAGAGGGGCGAATGCGACGAGGAGGGGGGGTAATGTGGTGAATTGATGAACGATGCCGTGATGCAAGTGTGGGAGAGGACGAGTATGATGGAAGCGGTGGCGGGCGGCGCAGGCGGTGTCGCAACCAGAGTGCGGGATGGTGATGAGCAGAGCCAGCCAGCAAGACAAAAAAGTGGAGGACAAGGCGAGAGATGGTTGATGGTTTGAAGCCAACTTGATGCCAACCTGAAGGCTGATGGGCAAAAGGGCAAATGGGCAAATGGGCTTGAAGCCGCTTGGATGGATGCGCTTGATGGAGCTTTCTTCGCAACGTCTTCTTTTCAGTGGGCAGAGGTAAAAAAGAGGGGCCAGTGCACTGGAAGCAGTAAGGCTGATCGACCTTGGTGCAGCAGTCTGGCAGGGGGGTGATCTGGTACAGGCACAGCACCGAGAAGCGGGAGGGAGATGCTTTGCAAGAAGCCCTGCAGAAAACGTCCATCGGTAACACACAAAAATTCACACGAGAACTTGATGTGACTGTTGGCCGCCTGGGCAACCAAAGGGGGCGTTTCTTTAGCGGTGTGTCGGCGTATACCGTGGTGGCCGCAGAAGCGCCGTGGCTCTGGCGCTACCGACGCTTACCTCAAGGGCGGCACAGTGGGCTGTTGGCTGGCTTCAGTGGATCCCTTGGTACCTGCCCAGGTACCTACCTAGGCATGGTCTGCCTGCGACTGGCCAGCGCTGCGTCTTCTCGAGGGAGGCGAGGACAGGACAAGGGAACAAAGGTAGGTCGATAATCGGGGAGGGGGGAAAGCAGCGCTTCCGATTCGTCATGACAAAGGGGAAACCAAACAAGGAGGGGAAAAAAAGAAACTTTAGCACGTACCCGAAGAGAGTTGATGATTCTGGTGAGATGCGAAATGAACCGTTTTGGGATGTCCTTGTTTGTGCGTTTGCGGAAGAGATGTTTTTTTTTTTTTTTGATGGCGTCGATATAAACTTTATTAAGAAGAAAGGCCGGAATGTACCTTGGTGTATAATGGAGTGATTTAGGTACAGGCTATAACGGCATGTACAGGAAAAGGAGAAAGAAAGAAGTGGAAGATAAGGGCAAGAAGAAAAAGAGATGATAAATTCGGCTGCAGTATATACCAGATAGTGAATCACAGACGAAGGGTACTTTCGAGTACGCGGTCAGTTCCAGGTCGATGCGGCGTGTCGTATCATCTGTCCCGTGTGTACTCTTTGTTGCTTCGATTCGATGCAAGCAGCAAATGATAAAGAGGAGAGGAAAGCAGGGAATCGAGAGGACGAGATGGAGGGTATTATAACAAGAGCTCACGCAAGACAAGAGTTCCCACAGCTCCCGCAGCACAAGACGCGGGATACAACACTAGAGCAACGGGGGGGGGCCCTTGGTTCTGTGTTGCCTTTGTCCCTGATTAAATATTTTAATTTTTGGTCCCTTGAATGTGATGCCGCAACGAGGCTAAGAATTACAAGTATGGAGCCAATAATGGTTCGAGGCGAGGGATCGCGGAATGCTGGCGCAGGCAACCGGAGCCCAGGGATAATATCGGATAGGAATGATGGGCAAGACAAGATTTAGAATCCTCATCAGCACCAGGGAGGTGTGGAGGAGCGCCTAACTTGGAGTGGGAGAGGCCGGAAGGAAAGCAAGGCTACCACTGAAAAGGCAAAGAAGCAAGGGCAACGAGAAATAATAAGGGTGCTGAGCACAATGCGGCCGGATTTTTGATAGTTTTGACAGTATTTCAGTAATTGGTTTGCTTTGAGATGAAGCGAGGGCAAACTGGCTCCCCATGCAACGCCAGCTGCTGCACGACATGGGTCGAGGCAGATTGGGGGTGGCGCGAACGTGCTGTGTGGGAAGAAGTGTCTGGCAGCCAGATGGTTACAGAATCAATTCCCACCCCAGAAACCACGTATTCAACTTGACCGGTTGGCCTCGACCGGGCCGCTTGAAACCATCGACGCCGCTCAAAGCCTACCTAATAATCACCTAAAAAAAAAATTAAAGACCATGATGACCTGCCACGGCCCCCTACAGACCGCGGAGAGGGTCGAGGTTAGGGCGGGGAGGGGGGGAGGCCTTGAAGAAGTGGGCTTGTGACTGAATCGATTCAAGACCTCATCACTGGCAGTTTGAATCTGTGCGACGATGCACAAGGGGGAAGGGGGGAAGGGTTCTTGCACGCATGTAAACTGTACCGAGTAAATTACTTGTTAGATCACAGCTGTCTCTGGCCTCCCCATCCGGGGGAGAGAGGGCGTGATTGTGCCACCACGTCCAGTGATAGTCTTGCACGCAAGGGAGAGCGATCATTTGGCCCCAAAGAAGCAGCTATGGAAATTTAAAGGGACGCGGACCGATGTTGGTAGTGTACGCCCGGCTGAGCTGTGTGATTCTTGTTTTGCGCAAAAAATTAAATAAATGAATAAATAAATAAATAAGTAAAATAAATAAAGAGTTAAAAAGGGAAAAGTACAGGAGAAAAAGAAGCAGAAAAGACCAAATCCAGCCTAAAGAGCAAGGTATAAAAAATCAGATACTTGCGGATGAGCAATCAACCCATTTGTTTGCTCTCACGCCGCTGGGGAGTTACAGTTGGGCTCATCACGCCACGACCAAAAGGGCCGAACAAGCAAACAAAGGATAAATAAATAGATGAGCATAATCATCATGAAAAAAAAGTATTATAATGGAAAAAAGAACGCCCAGAATCGGCACTAGCAAAGGCGGGGCACTTTAATAAAATAAACCCTTTGATACCAGAACCAACTTCGAGGCTTCTCGCGGCGCGGCACGGCGCCGTCTATTCTTGGCAAACGCTGTTTTGCATGTACACGAATATCCGTACTTTGTACATCGAGTATCGAGTATCGAGTCTCATCCAGGATGTCCCGAGCCATTTGCAAGGCTTTGTCCACATGCGCGTCTGCATGACGCGATCGGTAACTTTTTTTTTTTTTTTTTTTTTTTTTTTTTAGCCTTTCTTTCCCAATTCTCTCACGCCCGCTTGCAATGCCTCCAACGCCGCCCCCAAAAAGCCACATACTCGCACATTTTTCCTCATCCCTCTCCTCGCATGTTATTCTAGACTGTTGCTGCCGCGGTACTCTGTACACCAAGAATCAGCCCTTTCTGCTTGCTCTCCTTTCAATCAGCCTCCAATCAGCCATATTAATTAAAATCCCGTCCCAATATTCTTCCTCCCGATATCCTTTCTCCCAGCAAGGAACCCCCCCACCTTCATGAACTAGCCGCCCATGACGAACTCAGAACAAACACCATCACCACATATCCTCGACTATAATACGAGGTCATGCTCACACTCGGCTCTTTTCCCGCACGAGGCTAGCAAACTCAGGCACAAGACCTCCTCGCTGCATCTCATCCAACCTCCTTCACCCAGCACACGGCTCGCAGTTTATATCTCTCACTAGCAACAAAGCTCATGGCGTTTCTGGTCGTTGCATTATTTTTCCTGTTTGTTCGTAATTTCCCGTGTCTTCCGTCTTGCTCATTGTTTCCCCCCCCCCTTCGTCTAATTATAGCCTCATATTCATTGTCGTGCGCGCTCGCGCTCGCATCCTCCCCCCACCCACCCCCACGAGATCCTTCTGCAAGACATGACGACTTGGTCTCGTGCAGACGCCTTGAAACTGCCTGTCATGACCCTCTTATTTATACAGTCCAGAGCTATTTTTATACTCTTGCAGCAGGCGTATCAAACATCATCACCTCTCCAGATCAGTGTCTGCTACACCTTGTGGCGTCGCGCGCCGTTCGCTCTTCTCTCTTGGTCTTCTTTCTTGTGTCACGTCAACCTTGAATATGAACCAGCAGCCCGGTATTACTTGTTTCTCGGGCGCATGCAAGTTTTGCATAGGCAGCCCCCCTCCCCCCGTCCTCTCGCACAAACCTGTCTCACCCACCTAGCAGTTCGTCCCGTCCACAACGACCGACTCCACAGGCATGGTGTAGTGCAGACTCAACAGCTACCGACAGGCTACGTCTAACTATTCCATCCAACGACTCCGGAGAGAGGTCTATTAATTCGTCTCCAGATGGGTGTCTTTGCCCGCGAGTGTCGATGCATGTCGTGCCACAGCTACAGGTCCCATCTACAGTGCTGCATCGTTGGTCTGAACACGACTCCGCGCTCCCAATATGCCCTTCCATCGCTCTTACAGTTGTTCACATACTGTGACTCCTGCATTTGCAATTTACTACAGAAGTGTAAAAAAATTGGAAACGGCGTGTTACACCTCGAGCCGTGCGACCTTCAAAACGTGCAATCAGTCTACTGAATCATACTCCCTTCCGGGGAACCTGGCCCGCGCGACTCGTACCACAAATTGGTTCTTCTCGTGTTTCCTGGCCGTTTCTTGTTTCTTGTTTCAGGATCTGGTGGACCTTCGGAATACAGGCCAGGAGTAGCTCGCTAGAATGCATCACTGTGATTCATAGTCGGCTACGGACTACACACGCAGAGCTTGACTGGATCGATTGGAATGTCATCTTGGCGCCATCAATCTTCAGTCGGCTCAACCCATATTCTTTCAACAACTCCATGTTGTGTTGTACGGGGCAAGGTCTTGCCGCCCTTCCATCTAACTCTTGTAAGCTATCGGCGTTTCTAGCGTCAGGGCGTCCTGCTGGCTAGCCAAGACATGACTTGACAATAGCATGTGATGATTGGGAGTACCCTATTCTCTCTTTACACATTCTGATTTATTTGTGAAGGCCCATTTCTGTGTGTAGGCGGGCACCATCTGCGGATGTGATGTAGATGTTGGTGCTGAGACTGCCCGCCAGACAACCGTACTGGGCTTGCTGGGCGCGCTCATGTTGTTCTATGAGCTTGGCTATGTCATAGAGTTGAAAGCCGAGGAACGAGTGTATAATGCTATTGATGGGCTTTTAATGTGTGTATTTTATCCAACATGGTTTTGGATTTCACTAAACCGACGGCCCCATAAACCGCAACTGTAAATTCTCGCCACGACAAGTTGAATTCGTTGCTTGCGTGGCTCGCAGAGAGCGGTATTGATAACACTCGAAAGTCGACTGCAGATTAGTTCAGCACCAAATCAATATTGACTAGTAAAGAATGGCCATTACACCCCCAAAAGTATGATCGCGACTGGGTTCGCCAAACGACCAGTCTGGACAAACTAGCTGTAGGGTACGCTCAAGACTGAAAGTGGCAGCTGAATGGCAGCGAGACGCTGGAGAGCATTACGCGTAGTGCTGAGCTACGTAGTATATGCTACCCAAACTTCTCGAAAAGTCCGATGAGTCCAGCATTTGAATTCCTGTGTTTTGGCTGCTTTTGCGGAGCGTCGGCCAGGAACAAGTCGAACCCGTACCGTCTGCCTCGTCCGTCGACATACCCCTCGCATAAACGTTCCATGACGCCAAAGCCAAAGCCAAAGCAATAACAGAAGAGAAAAGGTATATCAATGCGTGCCCGATGTATGATGACAGGTCAACGTCATCCAAGAACACGGGGAAGGGGTTTCGCCCGATCGCGCTATTCAGGGTCCTGACACGCCGACGGTGGAGTTTGTTGTCGGGACAGGAGGTGAAACGCTTGTCGGGACGAAAATGCGGTAGGGAAAAATCTACGTTTGTGGGAGAATTAGCCCGAAGTTCTGCTACAGATGCCGCAGAATCACAATTCTTCTTGTTCTTGCTCTTGTTCTGATTCTTTGCGTAGGTATGAATCGTATGTATGGATCTATCTTTGGCAGCGTGAGAGAAACGGCTGGAAGCGACATGTGGGGCGGTAAAACAGAGGAGTATTGCTAGGGACATAGCGACATATTGCTAGGGACACAGGTGCACGTGATGTGAGGTACCTACCTTTTCGCGTGCACGCCTACTATAATCTATGTACCTTCCCAGGTCGCTTTTTCCTCCTCTCTACCACCACCACCACTTATTAATTAACGAGCTTCTTACTAGCTTCTATAGCCGTAGAAGAAACCTCTTATTATATACCTTAAAAATAGCGAAAAAGGCGTTCTCTTAGCGACTAAGTGAGTATTAATAGGCTATGAGAAGCCTACCTACCTAGCGACAGCGCTAGCGGCGAGCGGGAAAATTACCTAAGTGTTAGTGGCAGTGGCGGCGGCAGCGTAGGGCTAAAAGGTACTTCTATTTATATATAGTTTCCTACATAAAACTAGGTATTTTTTAGTCACGTGCACCTGTGTCCCTAGCAATATGTCGCTGTGTCCCTAGCAATACTCAAACAGAGGGTCCAGTGCATGGCGGTGTGGCGTACGGGTTGGGCGGTGAATGGCTCATTCTTAAGCGCCGGCAGTCATGCGGCCAGGGGAAAAAGCAACGTGAATGGAGTCAAAACGGCATGTAAAAATCAACGAGTGCGATATACCAGTAGATATTGGGGGCGATGCAGCAGTCGAGATAGAGAGAGGCGCAGATGAAGGTGGTTTCTTGGACAATTCGCTGCGCCAGATAGGACAATTATTAGCGCCCGGTACTTGGAAGGTGATGACGTGATCGCGAATGCATAGAGGTTATAGAGGTGCTCGACTATGGGCGTATGAGATCTAATCAATGTGCTTTACTCCGATATAGCTGCCTGCGAGTTGCGAGGTTAGAGTTGGAACGCAAGGAATCAGAACAAAAGACAATCGTGATATGTTTTGAGTCTTGGAGATGTTGGTCCCTTGATGACGCTGCTCGGTAAATAGTCGAGAGACAATGGGGCAAGGAGTATTATTTACAGGGAGGAGGAGGCAAAACAAAGGGGAATTTGGACGCGTGCTGTGCGGCTGTGCCTGAAGGGTTGCTCGGAAGCTGGCTGTGCTCAACGTTGCTAGCCACTCGAGCGAGGCCCCTGCATTTACCCACTCCGTGTAGCGCGAGTTCCGGCCAATCGTGAGCGGGCGGGCCAGTCGCCATGGGGCCATGCTCATTTCCCACGGCGTGTTTGTTAACATCCCGGTCATGGACGACGAGGTTCAGGGGCCCGAGTGCAATGATAAATTGGTTTGTGGGGAGGGCGACGTGCTGTGGCAGTGCGAAGGGAGAAACGTTGCGAGGAGAAGTCCATACTGCTAGAAGAATACAGGCTGCGTTTCAACCTCTGAAGAGGCCATGCCTGGTTCATATGGACAAACAAATTCCTTCAAGGTAATCCGTAAGCAATCGCGCAATACTACAGCGCTTCTCGTCGCTGAATTATCGGTGACATTGAACAACCTGGCTGGCCGGGGGGGGGGGAGGGAGCGGGGCAGACGGGGCGCCACCGTCAACAAATAACCAATCCAGACGCAGCCGAGGGACTCGACTAAGCCTGTTCCTGTCGATGTGCCCAAAGCTCGGGCTTGCAAGCAGGTTTTTGCAGCACTTGACAGTTGACGGCCCTCATCAGAGAACTTCACGAGGCTCGTCAAGACCCCGGACCAGGGCAATCAGGACCGTGGCAAATCAGGAACCACTCACACTAAATCAAAATCTCTTGTCCTGTTTGCCGTCCGTCTTCCTGCTATTGTTAGTTTGTCGGGCTCACTGACCACCGACTGGCTCGCCCGAGCCCCGCTCCTGCCCGTCACCTGCTCACTCACCCCTTCCGCCCTTCTCTTCTCCCTCCTCACCCATCCCGAACAGGCCTGCTCGACTTGCCCAAGTTCAACGAGACAAACAACATCGTCCTTTCAGCCTTTCAGGTGTCGCTCATTTTTTTTTCGCCTTCTTCTTCTCTGCTATGCTTCTATAAATCCACATTCATTCTCCTCTTCTAACTGGACGTTCTTTGATCAGAACTCCAGCCACTCCTTGGTGCTGCTCAGCTTCATTCCTTCAGCTGGCGCCCGTCCTATCCTTCCTGCCACCCGCGACCTCTGGTCCAACCACGACACTCATTCGAACTGAAAATAAGAGAAAGAATTATTCTGACCCAAATCATTGACGTACGTCTCACATTCTATTTGCACATCCATTTTTTCCCGCTTGTTTGCACCTTGTTCTGCCGTCTCACATCCCGACCAACCACCGCCTGCCTTGGCTCTGGCAGGAATGCGTCGATGATGCAGCTTTCAATATATCGACCATACTATCTCGATTCTCCCACACTGACCACCACACTATTCGCCTTTTCAATACCAATTGTTCGTCAAACTAACCCCGCGCTTCAATTCACAGCCACCACAAACTACCTGTCCTTCATTTATAAATTGAGCACATCTCGTCTCAATATCTTAGCGACCAATCATGGCACCAACCCTTATGGAACCATCCGTCCGTCTCGATAACCTTGCCGCACGTGGCACTGAGAGATCCGAGTCTGCTCTGGGGCTTCGCCCTGTCATTATTGATCGCGACGAGAGGTCTGGCCTGGAGCCCCTCCGTCGACTCATCTCTCGAGACTCAAGCTCTGAAGATGGCTCCGATAGGATGATCAACGCCATCATCACCATCCTCGTCCTCGCCTTTGTCTCCATCATCCTCATCTCCACCCTCTACTTCTTCCGCCGCTCCCGTCGCATGCAGAAGCTTCGCAACGAATCTCTGCCTACCTACAACGAAGCCAGCAAGGAGCCCATGCTCCAGCACAGCCTTACCATTGAGACCAAACACAACGGTCGCTCCAGCGTCGTCGTCATTGGCCGCGATGGCCAGCCTATGCTGCAGAACCCCAACTCGCCTCCCGACTCTCCCGATAATGTACCTGAAATTCACATCACCTTTCCTGACGAGCACGACAATGACGGCCAACGCAAGAGCGGTCGCGTTCTCATTGTCAGAGTCGGCGACAATGCCGCTGTTGGCCTCGAACCTGTACGAGAAGAGCAGCTTCCCGCCTATGAGAAGGAGGCCAAGGGCCAGTTCCAGTCCATTGACATGGATAAAATTGGCGGCCTCAAGGAAAAGGATCACAACCTGTTTCAATAGACGGCAAGAATCATCATCCAAAGAGCGAACAAACAAAAGGGCATCGACAACTCTGTCCCAGTTACATTCAGCACCATCACCGACGACTTTTTTGACGAAATTACTCTTCTTTCTAGGATACAACAGCCATCGCACGGCAATACATATAATCCTTATTACTCTCTTTTGAACATTCTTCTTCACATTCCTGGAATTCCCTGCTTTCGGAATCGAGACACTCTGCACCAGCGCGCGGTATCCGTACTGTTTCCATCGATTACTTCTATTTACTCTGCGAAACTCTGAATGTGTCTTTGCAAGCTTCGACACCCTAAACACAACACATGTGAGGAAAGGACTTTGGCGCCCAATGGCTTTTCTGATATCAAAGCACATGTGCTTCTCAAAAGTTTGTTCTGCATCTTGCAAACTCGGAAAGCTCTACTGCTGGGAAGAGTCGAGTAGATGCGCGACAGCAATGGTTGTGCGCAAAATCGGAGTATGCACGAAGAGCAAGACAGATTTTGTGTTCAAACCAAGGACGACTTGAAGAGAAAGTGGCCTGTGACGGACGCAAACTACTTGTGAGCCTAGTCACTGATTTACAGCCTGCGTTGTTATTTTTGTTCTTCTTTGCCAGACTTGGGCTCTGGCTTTGGCAAGTACGTGGTTATAGCTGTATATTTGGCATAGTGTATAATGGTTTAAATACGTTGTCTGTGTGATTGAACGATGTGCTTTTTCGGCTGTCTTGTCCTATTTCCAGTATTGTCTGCTCGCCATGGCACATTTGCTCACGTTGTGCAACGTGAGGTGGGTTTCGCTCCTACGCAAACCACCACCCGCCAATGTATGCCGTGTTGATGATGGACGTAGCTATGACGCCGTTTGTTTATTTTGATTGCCCCCTTGACCCCCTATGCAACTGCAACTCCACCAATGTCTCTGATTGCGCGGAGAATTTTGGTCTTCCTCGTTGCAATCAGGGTCCTGAATACCCCCCCTTCCTCAGCCCACATTCCAGTCAAGGCCGATGTACGTGGAAGTCAAGAAGACCGAAGCCACGATCCTTTCCGGAAACAAGTGTAAAGGAAAACAAAAACAAAGCAGGAGAATAAAGGGTAAGAAAAATTTATGTGATTAAATCATTATGTAACAAAGAATACAGACAGGTGTGCATGTAACATCTCCAACAAAAACCCGTATAGAAAAGCCTAACCCGTCAAAAAGCATAAGAAAGACGAGGAAAACAAAGAAGAAGAAGAAGAAGAAGAGGTGAAGAAAAGAAGAAGAAGAGATAATTGAAGAAAAATAAAGAAACATCAACTCCCAAAGCGCCGGCCCACGGGGCTTTTCTTGCTAGTATGCTGCTATGCGCTGTCCTTCTTTTCCACTGCCACTCTCGCCTGCATCTCCCTTTATCAAAGCCACCGGTTTCGCGCTATGGATTAAAATATATGGACAGAATGAATAGGTCAAGGATATTGCGGGCAAAGCAGACCACGTTATCATGCGGTGTCTTGCCTTATTCGCCGGCGCCAAGCCTTCCTCTTCTTGAGGTACTTATGGCTAGTCCCCCATCCTTATGATAGAGGCTGCTTGGGGACTTCGTCTTCGGGTGACCAAAGCATGGGCTTCCGACAAATCTGTTCGGCAGCATATGATCGGTATCGGTCCAATATATCTGTCGTAGGCAGCTGCTCGGACTGCGGACCAAAGCTGTAGTGGGCGACAATGGCTCTACCATCAGCCACGGCAGCGCGGCCCGTCTTCTCAGGCATGGTGACGGAAAAGTGCTGCTCGTCGTCCTGGCCGATGGGCTTGGCGCCATTTATATCTTTGCCGAGAACGACCATGAATTGAATGCCGAGACGCTTCAGCTGAAAATCCCAAATGTTGAACTTGTACTTGTGAAGCTGCTTATTTTCCAGATTCTCAAAGAAGCTGTAATGCTGCTGAGCACCAATCTGCCAGTGACCGAGGCCTTTGCCAAAGGCATGATACTCGGTGTGAACAATAGGAGTGCCATCGAGGACGTGGTCTGTGCGATTGCGAATGGGCAGCCATCTGTGCTTCTTCTGGTCAGGCGATTTCCACTCAAGCATGTCAAGTTCTTCGTGACCCTCGTAATCGGGCAGCGTCGAGGCGCGCCAGTCGACCCGCTCGCCAGGTTTGAGCTTTGGGTAGGGATTCGTGGTGTCGGGCAGGTACGGCAGGACGGCGCCGAGATTCCAGTGCAGCCAGCTGATCATGGGCTGATTGACAACGTTTGCAGAGACAATGTAGTACTCGGGGTGGGTGAGCTTGGTGCAGATCATGGACAGGATGGCGTCGTCATCGATGAAGACCTATATACATGATTAGAAAGGAAAATTTTGACATGTAGGCGCACCATGGAAAGATCGCCAGTATTGCAGTGCTTACCACATCGTCGTCGATTTTGATGTATAGCGTGTCATCGTCCATGCCGTCGTAGGCGCTGGCAAAGCCGGATGCTTCTGTGCGATCAACATCTCGTTTGCTATAACGGCTCTCGGAGTCGAGGAGTTTCTGAAGAAATTCGAGATCTTCTTCTTTCTCGGTACGTCGCAACCAAATGACCTCGTCTATAAGACCGCCGTTGCTGACGAGGTTGCGCTATAATACAGGGTCAGCTTCGATCAATCACACTGACTATGCAGAAGCGGCAGCGTAGGTCCTTGAGAAGCAGGGGCTTGAGACAGGCAGAGACGCCAAAGCTAGGAAGAACCTCGAGGACGCAGCTACAGAGAGCCTCGCCGAGGAGGCTAGCCTTGGCTCACGTGCAGAAATCCCTCGCACCCAGCTCGGCACGGACCAAATACATCATTGCCTCGCGCGCTTCCTTCTTGTTGTCCCTAGGGGGTCCTTCGTACCTTGAGGTAGCAATCGAGAATGGAAACGGTGTTGCGGCGGCCGTAGAAGATGAGGACGACGACCTTGGGAACGGAGAGGGTCTGGCCGTGGGTGGTGCTGGAGACGTTGCGGCCGCGGACCAGAGGGATGCGCTTCGAGGGTATCTGCTCGCCAATGGGACCCGGGCAAGTGACCTCGTGCATGCGCGCGGCGACGATGGGCACCTGCTTGTGGCCGCCGTGCAGCAGAGGCGCGGGCAGCAGCGATTCGAGGTTGAGCGAGTGCCAGGTGTAGACGAGGAGGGCAACGAAGAGCACCGAAACGAGAACGGCGCTCCGCTTATTGCGATGGATCTGCGCCAGCATCGTGTGGGCTTGATCGCTCGCTCGCTCGCTCGCGCCGAGGAATGATTCGATTTTTCGTATTGAAAGGCGGTATTCGGAGGTGAAGACTGTCGCTTAAATTGCGAGGGCGGGGGGGATACGAGGAGAGCGGAAAAATACAGATGAACCACCAAAAAAAAAGGGGAGAGACGGTCGCGTTACGATGACTCGCGGATAGAACAACGAGTGAGCGAGCGAGGGCAAGACTCCAAAAAAAAAAAAAAGGAAGAGAGTGAAGGGGCAGAAGACAAGGTCAAAGACCCATGCGTAGCCTTTCAAGAATGTCAAAGAAGAGAGATTGACGAGGAGAATTATTTACCGAAACGGGGCGTGATGGGCAAGAGGCAAGAAAGAAGTAGGTACCTAGCAGGCAGGGAGGAGAGGTACCGGTGCCAGTCAATAAGGTCGAAGGAGCAAGGAAGGCAGCCAATTTTGGTTGTGGCGTTGTGTGGCTTCTCTACTTATTCGTATAACGGGTTGGAGCGATGAATTGGGACGAGGCGCAGCGTTTTCCGTACCTGCCTGCGGCTGACAAGAAGCGTCTGAAAATACGGACAATTCATGATTTCTTTTGTCGCAAAACACTCGGTCAATGCACTCAATGCAGTGCGGCAGCGCCCTGTTTTACGTGTCTACCTACCAGGAAAATTTCCCGTAGGGCTGTACATAGAACTGTTTGTTGGGCTGGCTGGCCTCTCAAGCTGGCTGGTCCACTGCGGTATGATCTTCGTCCCCACGTTGCCAATTTGCTGCCAAGCTGATGCCCATGGTGACACTGCAAAAATCTCCCGCCTTCCCTGGGAATTTAGGCCCAGCGAATGTCTGAATAACGAATTGCCGCGCCGGTCATTCTTGCGACGGCCTTGTTGTTGTTGTAGCAAAATACCGCAGTAACAAGCAAGAATCATGACCAGTCTTGCCCGTTCAGCCCCGTCTCCATGTATCGGCCTGCATCACTCTCATTGGCTCGGGTTGCTGGTGGCGGCATTGTCTCCCAATAATCACAAAACTCTAAATCTCACAGCTCAGAAATTGGTAACAGCTCCCAGAGCTAGTTAACGAACCATGGGCCCGGCCCCATCTCATCTCAACTGTCCGCCCAGACACCACCATCCTTGGCAGCCCACGTCTTCCTCACCAACGCCGCCGCATCTGGCAGTCGGCCACTCACCACGCACCACTCACCACTCACCAATCACCACTCACCACCCACACCACTCACTTTCGCATAACACCTCGCTTACAACGGCTCGCTCACAACGGCTCGCTCACAACGGCTCGCTCACAACAATAACTTCGACTGCAAGATATTAGCGCACCGTCTATTAATGCATGCTGATAATGTTACTACCATACAAAATCCAGCAACCTTGGCCCCCGCACAATTAGTGCCACGGAAAATCTCACATCATGTATCCCTATTTCGCCAGCTGCACCATCCTTGATTAAGTACTATGCCGCGCGACGACATGTCATTCCATGGGTATACACTGCCATAATAAGTGGCACAATATTTAAAGAGAGAAAGCAAGGACAAAAAGGTCCTGACAGAAACCCCGTTTTTACCCTTCTCCTTAACGCCAGTCATGACTGCATCAACTGAATATCAACCCCATCCAGATCAACAACACAAATCCAACTGCATGACAAAACGAAAATCTGACAGCTACAATTCTCCTTAGCAACGGCCTGGGTACGTATATCGCGAAGGATCCGCATGCCCATTCACATAATTGTTCGAGTACCCATTCACCTGACGCTGCTGGTGCCGCAGGTACGCCGACACGTCCTTGTCGCTGTACATGCGGCCCGCCGTCGCTCGATACTGGCCATCGAGTGTCAGTCGCTCGTCTTCTTCAATCACTTTGCTCATGTCCTTGGAAAACTCCCAAAGCGGAGAGTGCTCGAACGAGTTGTCACCATCGTACAGTCCAAGTCCCGTATCTTCCAGCGGTGCCATACGTGCCTGTTCTAAGAAAAGCGGCACTCCGGGCGGTCCGTTTTCCATCTCGAACCCAAGATTCACCGCACCATACGGAGAACCGTCCTCCGATGACGGCATGTTGGCACTGGCACCCCACTGCTCATTGACAGACTGGTCCGTGCTGCCTAGAATAGACCCTCCAGCTGGGCCCGACAACATGCTCATCCGTGTCGCCTCAATCAGCCCGGCGTTGGGAGTCTCATTTAATTTGCCCGTCTTGTAGTAGTGGTCCACCATGATCCTGTTGGCGTCATACGCTTGTTTGGTGATGCGCGAGATGTGACTCCACGGCTCCATCACCTTGAAAAGATTGTCAATCATCTCTCGAATGTCTGCTTCTGTCACTACGCGCGAGTTGATACCCCTCCAAGGAGGGCTTGTCGTCTTGCCCGCAATGTCATGGTACAAGTTGTGGCACAAGGCCACGACTAGCACGCGAATCGCCTGCGTGCACATGTGTGTTATGGAATAATCCCCAGTCAGTCGTAATGGTAACAACGAGGGATGCTTTTCGTGCTCGCGTCGAACCACGTCACAAAAGGTGGCGACGCTGATGGAATGCGCAACCGCCTGTTTTTGCGATGCTAGTACAAATTCCCGCGGAAGTCGCTGTAGAAGGTCTGGAGCAGTGCCGTGAACACCTGGCAGAGAAAAGCGATACAGGTCCACGTGGCTGACACCAATGTGAGAGTGTAGGTAGATGTAGCCGTTTCGCTCCTCAGTGCCCATAATGCGCTCAATGACCTGGTCAGTAAGCTTATATTGCGCCGGAAGCGACATGTGGAAACATCCTATTTCATTTTGGAGAGTCATAATCTCCGACATGACTGCGGATGGTTCCGGTCGTGAAACGTTGACTTGAGGGAGTGTCAGCCGCTTAGTCGCTCTGCTATGGTTATTAGTGCCAAAACTCCTCATGCGCAGTCTCGGGCGACACTTACACCTGAATTCGGTGTCTCAAATCACATAATCGAAGCTGCCAAGCATGCAAGCCGGCATTTTCGAGGTACAGAGGGGGGTTGTCATGTAGGCGGTCGGCTATCACAGGACGGTTCCCGCGATAGGCTTCTTCCGTGCAAGGTAGTCGGAGCTTCCAGGTATCATTGCGGTTGGCGAGATACTCATCATAACCCCCGGCAAGTAGCCTATCCATGTAAAAGTTCTGCCACACTAGTCGACGTAAGCTCTCCTGCTCGATCCAAGAGCGGCCTGTGTATATTTCAGAATCCCAATTCGCTTGCAGGCCGACCATGACGCGAGAGCCGATCCCGAGACACGTCCAGACTCTGGCATAGGAGCCAAGAAAGAGGTTGAAAAGGGTATTCAGAGTGGTGAGCATGAGGGATTCTTCCGAGAATCGATCAATACTTCGAATAAGATATGATTCCACTTGGTTGCAGCATCTCTGGCCAAAGTCACGACCAACTTCGCCAGGATTCGCAAAGAAACATGTAACAGAGCATATCGCAGCGGCCTTGGCTGGATGAAGTGTCATGTCCTATAAGGTATTAGCTTTGAGGTGGATGACATGGGGAGGTAGAATAGAGAGATGCATACGTCAATTTGGCGCCATATTGTAGGAGGGTGAAGGAAGCCCAAACTCGGCATCCAGTAGAGACAGTACATATACACTTCAAAATGTCGTGAAACAATATCTCTCTTGATTAACTTGTCCCTGCAAGAAATGTCAGCATACTCGCGGATGTCTTTGAGATGAAAACAACTTACTCAGCGCCTAATACATTTGGGTCTAAGAGCATAACGTAATATCCTTGAAGGTGACTGGTGGTTGGGCTATTGGCTGACAGCTCCTCGGTAGATTGCATGCTAATATTGGTCTCTGATGGGGTGGGTGCGCCATCGGTGCCGTTGGTAGCGCTGTAGCGAACACTGGTAAATTTTCGCTTGGTGGGTGTATACTCGCAAATGAGATTGCTGGCCTCGCAACGCCGGCAGCGAGGCAAATCGCCGGAACACTTTGTCTTGTGTGAGTGGCATTGGCTGCAGGCTCTTTGTGCGCGCTTGCGCAGGGTACCCGCCTCGGTGTGGCTAGCGCTGGGAGTTGTTCTTGACACGCGATCTGTAATTCGTGAATTGTCAGTCTGGCAGTTTGTTTGACTAGAGATATTCCGTAGTGACCCATCGTGTGCGCATGCGCTACGCAAAAGTGTAGCGCAGGCAGCTATTTGTTGGGAGGCGGTTTGATATTGAAGCACGTACCTTGAGGATCGCGCAGATTGTCGGTGCTCTGAAAGCTGCAGGCCAATTCGAGGCGTACGCAATTAGTGCAGGGCCCGGTCGCCGACTTGCCTGTGCATTTTACCTAGAATGGAACAAAAGACGAGGTCAGCAAATGCGCGTCACATGCTGCACAACTGGCGCCATGGCCGTGGTCTTGACAGCAGCCTGAATGATGCAGTCCGGCAGCGGGCGTTGTCTGGGGCGCCGGCGGCCCGCATGTCGGGAAAGGGACTGCAGACTGGACTGGGGGTGAAACGAAGAGAAATCGTAGCTGACCTTGCGCAGCCTGCAAGTACGACAGCAGTCAGGAGTGGCATTGGCCGCTCTGTAGCGTTTGCTAGCCGGAGAAGCCGCCGAAACGGCGGGCGAAGACTCGCTTGACGATGGCTGTTTGCCAGAGGACGACTGGGCGTCAGCGTCGATCAGGCCCGGAGTATCCATGGAAGGCAGTCCGCTGCAGCATCAGAAGGCGAAAAACCGGATGATAATTATATGCAGAGGGAGCCGCCGTGTATACGTTGACTAGGCGCGCCCCTGACACGAGGACGAATGAAAAAGAAGGGAGGCAAGGCCGGAAGTCGTAACGGCCGTCGTGATTAGCTCTGACGACCAAACGCCTGTAGTTTGTGCGGCTGTTGGGTGGTTGGCGGAGACGACCGCGGAGGCGGGGAGAGGGCGGAATTTGCAAAGGAGGCAGCCAGACTTGTGTTGCCAGGCCAAGGGTGAGCAACAAGTGCGTGAATGAGAAGAGGTGGAAGAGAGGCTTAGCAAGAACTGGCTAAAGAGCCAAGAAACGAGGACAAACAATGGACGAAAAAACAAGTGTGAAAGAATCAAAGAGAGGATGGCGGATAGAGGGACAGAACGGTGACGTTTGAATTGGATTGAATCGGGGTTGGAAGAAGAGAATAGGTAGGTTAAGCAAAAAGAAAAAAGACAGCCAACGCAGGGGACGAATTGGGCCGGCTATCGCGCGATGCCCGCTGCAGCGCAGGAAAAGTGGTTGAGTGGCAGAAGAGGGGGTAAGGTCTAGGACAAGGAGGGGCCAATTCTGGGGCGGCGTTTGGCGAGAGCCAGGCCGAGTACCAGCGTGCAGCGTGCAGTGTGCAGTACCTAACTAGTGGGCACCTGTGCTGAGCTACTACTGAGAGCCTGAGATGAGGAGAGCTGGGGAAGTAGTCGTCAATACATGGACATGATGGAAAAGATTATCGAGGTAGATGCAGGTCCCTACAGAAAGGCAGGGAATGAATTCCTGCCTGGTAAGGATGATGTTCAACAGCCCTGGCAGTTGTATTGCCTACCACCTACCTAGGTAAATTTAGGCACTGCTAAATTCTAACTACATAGGTAGGTATGTACCTAGCAAACGGGCGCATTCTTAATTCCGCTCGCTGCCAACTTCCGCCACCGCCCCTCACAGCCCCCGTCTAGATTTGCCGTCCAATCACCTCCCCCCCCTCGACGCCATGCAGCCTTGACGCCCTGGCATTGCACACTAAACAGGTTGACAGGCTACAGCTGGCCATTTTTTGCCATTTTCTTGACTCGCGGTTCGGCCTACAAAAGAATATACAACTATTTTGTCTCATATCTTTTACCGACGGTCCGACAAGCAAGCAAGCAAGAGAAACATGGAACAAGGTGAAAAAGAACCGATCTGTATTCAGCCTGCCAGCTGTCAATGCATGTATTATCTAGGTACGCAACAGGTAACGCAGACAACCTGCCAAACGTGCAGTTCCGTCGCAGTTCATGTCACAGTAACCGTTCAACTTCCCCATAAAATGGAAACTCTGTCTTCTGAGTCTCTCTCTCCTCGTTGACTCGGGACTTTCCCGCTTTGCTTAGCCGTGATTCTGGTCTATGACTATACCGGCGTAAACTACCTACCTAGTCTGCTTCTTTCCCTCTCTGTACTTCTTCTGCTTGTTGGCGGGGGCACATGCACGACTCAGCCGGCGCGAGAGCCACTCAACATTCTCACAACTCAACGGTCGCTACCTTGGTGCTTCGTCTCGGCAACCTTCCCCTACCCTTGGTTGCTGCACTAAACTCGAAATATTATTTGGCACCTACTTTAATAGGATCGCTGCGTAGGCCCCCGCCTATGGCTGCCGTCGTGTTCAATTTTGGCCGTATTTTTGCAAATGTCACGTCAAACGGATGCCGGCAGCCATGCCCTCTAGCCTCTGTCTCATCCCCCATGCGCCACATGCGTCGTGGCAGCGTGGCAGAGGTGCATGCACAAGGGAGGCAAAGCAAAAAAGATGCAGCCTTGAACGAAAGTGGCTCTGGCTGCATCGCCGGCGATCATAGACATCTTTGAATGCCTCATGAGAGCCTTACGCTACTCTGCGATTCCCGTCTGCTCTGTTTGTCCATCTCGATCGTTCAGCAAACAGGGCCTCTGAAAGGTGGCGCTCATCACGCTCGTGGCCATCCTTCATTCGCCGCTATTAATCCGTCCGCTCTGCACGAGGTCAGCAAATGGCCAGCTTTACTACCAACTGCCGATACTGCCACCATGTAGATCAAAGATATCCCGATACAAGAATCATCCATCTAATATTCTACGTAGTATAGCCCGTATGCGCCAACGGCAAAACAACGGGGCGCTCGGGACCGTCATTTAAGTATTGCTTCCGAATCCTGACACAGATCCTGATAGTCGGCATAATAATAGTTCAGCCACACATCGACGTATCGGTATTCCGCCTGGACCGAGCGTTCTGCATCTGCACAGGGCTCGCGGTTTCAACATTGCCTGCTGGCGTCCTTCTCCGCCTTGAGAATCCGTCATTCACGCCCAATGACGATGGACGAAGCTGACTAGCGACGCAACATGGCTCCTCCCGAGGCTTCCGCCTGCGAATAAATTAAAACGATTGTGCCACCCTCGGATGTCGCCTTGATGATCCCATCAGCTGCACCTCGTCTGGCATGATGATCCATCATTACTCTGTTAGGACAGCCATTTGGAAACTGCAGAGACCGCTCCACCACACCACCGCCCAGCCCCCTGCGACTGGGCTCTCGGTGCATTAAAATGCGACGCTGCTGAAGCCTGCTGCTAAGTTTGGCTGCACAATTGGTCATTGCACCTATTGATTGATGCCTCGCCGTCTAAACTATAGTCACGCACCGCGGGCAAATTATTAGGAGCTGCTACGATCCCCACTCGATGCTGGCCAAATTCCAGAACGACGTCGGTGAATTGTATGCCGAAATATGTACCGATATATATATAGATGGAGCTCCTGCCGCCAATGACTGCAAGTTTTGCGACGACAGTCTGTCTTGGCAAATATTTTGTGCTTATTACCGTCAGTGTCCTTTCCATGTGCAGGCGGTGGTTCTGTCGCCCACAACTATAACAGGTATTGGGCAAGCAATATGCCGGCATCGCACTGTCATCAAAATCTTGCGCTAGCTTGCAAACTTTCGAGGCCGCTCTTTGGATGACCTGGTGGGGAGCATCTGCTGCAGACGGAACCCGCCGATGCTGTTGGCAACCCCTGTACTTGCAGAATTCGGCATCTTGATGGCGGGAAACCAACACATGAGGCGTCGTTGAAATGTAATTTTGATGCAAAGCCGTATTATCAAGCCGCGTTGTGTTGCTGAGCACGAAAGCCGCGGACGCAAAGACGTCGCTCTTGGTCTTTGCTTGTCCGTCTTGTCCCTCTAACAATGCGGGACCGCCATCGGCCGGTAAAGTCCGCACCGATCCCGGCGTTCTCACCAGATGCTAGTTCGCGAAATGACCGAAAAGTTATTTTTTCCTTTTTTTTTTTTCATGAAAAATAGCGTTGCTGCCCGTCTTCACCTTGCCCTGGGCGATTACCAGGTATTTGCCCCAACAGACAAGGTCCTTGGCTGCAGGCTGCCCCAGAGGACCGACTTGGCGAGGCTCCATTGGATCCCGATAGCCGAGCTGAATAAGCTCGTACAACCACTCCTTTCGGCCAGCTGACGCTGAAGGTGTGCTGCAGTCTTGACGCGAGGCCTAGTCAATGAGGGACCAAGAAAAAGACAGGTTTATTGAGGTACATATAACTACATTGGCCATGGCTGGGCTTACCAGGGGGGAAATTGGGATACAGCGGGCAAGCAAGCGCGCGGTGTCTTTTAATTCTCATCCCTGCTCTCCTGCATGACCGACATGTTTAACAATCCCAACCATCTCATCGGCGCGCCTTCCAAGTTATGCAAGAAGACATTCAACTACGTAATAACGTGCGTAGACGTTTATCCAGCCTATCAGCGCCGGAGCCACTTTTAACGTTCCTTTCTTTTCGCTCGTCTCCGTTGAGCTTTTTTGTTTCTGGGCGCCTCGGAGAGTGCCGCCCGTCTGATCGTCGCCAATTCTTTTTTTGCTTTCCTTTCCATTTTTTGGGTCTCTTTCCTTTGTTATCTGTGGCTGTCACCAAAGCTGTGGGCGAATCTATGTTGAAAGAAGAAACTCCCACTTTAGACAGGCTAATGAGTAGGTGGCTGCGGCGCACAACCCGTGCCTGTTGCTGATTGACGCCGGAGCTAGCTAGCTACATCCTCAACTCAGCAGACGGAGATGATGAGACCAACGCCGAGGCTGTCATTTGCATTTTGACAATCGATTGCCTCTAAAACGCACTCGATGGAAGTGTCGGGTCTGGAAGTTATCAAAAATTCACCGAGTAGGCTGGCTCATCAGCTACAAAAGAATGCTTCCAAGTACTTTTTTTCTCGTCTTTGCATCTCACTTCTAGCAGGTACAAGAACATTCAACAAGGGCGATCAAACGAGTTGATGAACAAGGTCAGATTTTTAAACAGTAGTCAACATCAATATACATCATGGCAGCGCATCGCTCAACGTCTCGACGTACGCACTGTACTATACTGCCCGATTGTTTGCTTCATATCAGAATCCAACATAATAAAAAATGAGCAAATACATATGCCGTTCCATAAACTCCTACTTCAGCGTTCCATGAAAGATGGTACCAAGTCATCCGCCTATACGCCTACATTGTCAAAAGAAGCCATCCAATTTCCACGCTCAAGAACCGGGCACGGGGAGGATGGGGTACAACGAGTTGCCGCCCTCCTTGCCCTTGCCGAGCGTGCGAGGAGGCAACTGGGGGCTTTTGACGTCGACGTCCATGGCATCGCCGTTGTGCTCCGCTTCGTCGGGAACGTACTCTCTGCGCTCCAGACGTCCGCGGACGTACTCGCGCAGGCCCTCGATGACACGCATGTTCTCCAACCAGCGGTCGTACTGCTCCTCGCGCTCGCGGGTGGCCTCGCTCGTGTCTGACGACTCCGAGGCGGGCGAGGCGGGGCTGTCAGCGGCGGCCTTGGGGGTAGTGGCGCCGCTGGACGGCTCGGCGGGTCGCGAGGGCAAAGGTCCGCGCGCGCGCTGGAGCAGACCGCCAGAGTAGCGACGGCGCTCGCTCATGTCGAAGCTGGGACCGAGCGTGGCCGTAGCAGACTGGCCGTAGCCGTGACTGGCAGCGGGCAGGCTGGTGGGCAGGCTCGGGTACATGACAGCGGCTGGGCTGTGACGGGACTGAGGAGAGAGGCCAGCAGCAGACATGCCAGAGGCAGACGGGCTTGGAGAGTGGCCCGAGGTGTAGGACATGGAGCTGGAAGGAGGGGTGACGGCGGGCGTGCCGGTCGACGAGATAGCAGTGAGAGGGGAGGCCATGCTGGCGGCTGAGACGGCGTAGCCGTCGGCCATATGGCTGGGAGATCCGCGGTGCACGACATTGGGTGAGGGAGTGTTGCGGAAGCCACCATAGCTGTGATCGCTGCCATTGTGAATATGTACGCCGGCAGTAGCATGTTGGGCATTCTCGTAGATGGTATCCTGCATTTGGCCGAGGAGATTGTCAATATGGACGAGATCCTTATGGGTGCGGGCGCTAGGCATAGGCAGGTAGTACTGCTGAGCCAGAGGGTTGTGAGCAATGGGAGGAACACCGGCACTCATGCCGCCAGAGACGTGCGCAGGCTGGGGCATGTAATGATCGGCAGCAGCCATGGCACCCTGGGGGACGGACAGGGAGCCGTGGAGAGGAAGAAGCGAGCGACCTATGTCGGTGTAGGACGAGGGGTCAATGTGGCGGCGCTTGGCGCTGCCAAAGAAGTCGTCAACCATGTCGTAGGTACGCTTGCGGTCATAACCGCCAGCGGCGGCAGCGTTGTAGCCAATGTGCTCCGCGCGGGGGGCGTTCAGAGGCGGCTGGTTAAAGTACATGCCATAGCTTGCAGGCTGCTGGGGAGCATAGTAGCCGCCAGGGTGACCAGGCTGGGGGTAGCCGGCGTGACCAGAACGCATTTGACCATTATGGTCGTAGTAGCTAGGGGCTGCTAAACATGTCAGCGGTTGCTCTGTCTTGTATGGTGATGGATGAGACGTACCCTTGGACTGAGTTCGGTAGTTGAAGCCGCTGTCCTGGCGGGAGAGGACAGAATCATCGGCATGTGTCTTGACGTGCTTCTTCAAGTCCTGAGGGCGTTTGAAGGACTTACCACAGAACTCACACTTGTGAGGCTTGAGAGGGACGTGGACTCTGATATGTGAGGTAATGTGGTCACGCTTGACAGTGGTTGTGCGGCACGAGTTCCATTGGCAGGTCAGGCTAAGGTTGTTTGTGCTTTTGCGGCCGACATGGCGATCGCAAATGTGTTCCTGCGGGCCAAAGAGTCAGACATGGGTGGCGGACGGGTATGAAGACAGCTGAGGACTACGTACATAGAGGATTTCGGGAGTAGCGAATTTTTGAAGGCACTGGTTCCAACGGCATGTGAGATTGTCTTCAGCAATGCTGGCCATGGCAGCCTCGCGCGCCGCGGTGGTTGAAGGCGCAGGGGTGCCCGACTTGGAGTCGCTGCTGTTGCTGCTCACGCCAGAGGTAACCTGGGAAATGTCGGGGAGTTGCGACATTGCAGCGGTTGATTATACGTGTAGTCGAATACAAGAGGCGGACGCCAGAGCGGTTCCGGGGTGATGGTTTGAGTTAGCGCCAGACAACGACGTTCGTTAGCGAGAGGACGGATGAGGTTTTTAAAGAGTGATGCAAAATATGGCGATGATGCAGGTTTTGAATGTCGGTTTAGATGTTAGCCAAGAAGGAAAGTCGAGAAGCAAGATTTAGATTCTAAAGTAGAGAAAGAAGTAATGTTGCGGGGAGGCGGTTGGCTTTAGATGTGCTGATACCGGAGCCAAGTCGCCAGGTCTTGGCGCGAAGACTGAAGGGGCGAGCGGAAAGTCTTGGCGGTCTTGGCATGCCAAGCCCAAGTACTTCTTGGCAGAAATACTTGCTCAGACGGTAGATTTGGTAGCTAAAAAGAGTAGCAGAGCATGCAGGGACATTGGAATGTGCGGCGGAGCAGAGTTTGCCAAGGCTGCCAAGCTCTTGGCGGTCTTGGCGGAAGACCCATAAGGGCCATAACCAGTGTTCGATTGGATGTTGGGCCGGTTGTGGGGCGTCGGTTCAGCATTCGCCTTGTACACTGACAGGCTCTGGCCGCGTTCCAGGCTCTTCTGTTTCTCCAAACAGCGCCCACCCAGTTACCAGCGTGCGAGCCCAATCTTGGGCAACACCGTACACGCAACACAAGGCGAGCAATAAATAAGCAACACCCTCAAAACCTGGCCTGGTCGGCTGCTTTTGCCAGTTCAGGCCACCAGCAGCCTGGGCTCGTCTGTTGTGTGATGTGATGGCATCATGCTGCCGCCGATACCGTCGACGGTGCACGCGATTCGCAGCTGCTTTCAGCAATGCCGCCAGGCGGCGTCAGAGCAGGCAGGTAGTGGAGCGTTTGCTTGTCTATCAAGACCAATAATCTTGTCAGAAGACCAGAAAAGGTGTACATGGCCGCCCGCGCAAATTAAATCCTTCCCAACCTGCTTGCCTCGTTTATCATTTATGGCTGATAATTTATGGCTGACTAGAACTTGGCCAGCAGCCGACCAGTCTACGAGTCAGAATGATATGTAGCACAACTGCCTCAGAATGGCATGATCGACAGTCTGTGGCTGTTTCGCTGCAGCGTGAGCAAGGGCGCAAGAAGCGGCGGACTGCTCTTACGATGCAAGGGTCGTTGTGAAAATATTTAGCCATGCACTTTATTTACCCCTCCAACCCTCCAACCCTCCAATCGCCCTCATGGACACCCTGGACATGGCTTGAGCCTGGGCTGCAACGTGACCTCAAGCTCTCTTCCGCGACAACACGACTCGAGACGGGAATGTCGACCCGTGACTGTATCCGACCTGTCAGCAACCTGCCAGCAACCTGCCCAGCACTACCGTTCGGCAACAATCCGTCCCTGTATCTTGCCGAAGCCGAAGGCTCCGGTCTGCGACAGCGCGAGCTAATCTCAGGCTTGTCAGTACCGACGATCGCCGAGACTGAACAAGAAAGGAATCAAGCTTTCCGCTGAGCGCCCAGTCTCTGTGCCCCTCCGCCTCCGCCGCAGGCTAATAAGCATGCCGAGAAATCGCTAAATACGTGGGGCTGCGCCCGGGGTACCAAGTATGCAAGAGATGAACAAGTGTGACAAGTTGGCAAGCACACAAAGCAGCAATGACGCCGCAGGAAGAGGCCTGCAACTGCTACTTGTCCTCTTTCCCTCTCGCCCTCCTGTCCATGAAGTGTGTCTGTGTGTCTGTGTGTCTGTGGCTGCCCAGGTGTTATCAAGTGTGTGTGTGTGTGCCTCTCTGGCTGCCCAGATATGGCGCATCAGTCTGCAGCCCGCCAGCATCGCCATCTGCCGTCTCTCTCTTGTTTCTTCCTATTTCGCCCTGGCGCGCATACCGGCTGGGCGTTGTGGCTGTTTCGTCGGCCCGCTTAGCAAGACTCTTGTTATTAAATGCTAGTCTGACGCAGATTTCAAGCCTGTTCGCAGGACCCGAGCTTTGCCCCAAGTTGAGCAAGCAGCGCGGCAGTTTGCCTGATGCTGCATTTGATGAACTACTCAAGGGTCGCCTTGTGCGTGACACATGGGCTGATCCCCTTCCAAACGAACACACTACCGCAGGTCAAGTCTCGGCATCGCCTTGAGGGTCAGATGGCGACATGCATGATTGGGCCACCGACTGGTGTGGCTCGCAACCGTTTTATTACGAGTAAGGTTTAATGGCTCAGCCACGCCGCCGTGCGCCCATCCGCCTCCACGTGTTGCTTGATTCAACGCACTCTGGCTCGAATTCGCCGACCCTGGCTCAAGTTTTCAATGGCTTTTGCTTGGCACGCCGGACAATCAATACGCCAAGCACGCTGCCAAGCTCTCTCAACCAGGCGCAGAGCGGGTGCTAATGCTGATCAGAGCAACGACGAATTTGTGCTTTTGCACAACCTAAACTAATCTATCGTCTCGCCAGCAATTGCGCCATGGCCAAGCATAGCCAAGCAGTTTGGCGGTTCCTAAGAACTTAAGAAGCATGTTAGTTGGCCAAGCCATCTGCCCCTGGCTTTGCCGATGATTCCCCGCATTGCGACGAGGGAGCGTAGCTGAGGCTGCTACATAGCCTTCACCTTGAGCTTGGCGCGTCGATTGCGTACGTACCCAGCTCTTTAAATCTTGCCGCGTGCTTCTGGACTTGGCGCATGGAAAAAAAAATACTCACATTCACACAATTCCTGTTATGGCAACCGCAGGTTAGCTTGAAGCGTACAACGCGGTGGCAATTGTGCTTGACAGACGACCATGGTCGCTTTTTTTGACAGAGGGGCTTGCCAGTAGTAAGTAGCCAGTGACGACGACAGCTTGCCTCAACCTTGTCCGTGGTGCACGTGGAGTCCTGCCGACACTGCGCGGAATCCATGCAGGCCCAGATTCACGTATGCATCGCTTGACAAAGGTTAGTCAGTCGTCAACGCATCTCTCAGTCAATCTAAGCATGCATTACAGGCCAGTCAAGGTCCGGTGGCGCCTCACTTTCAAGTATGTATGTCATATGCAAATCATCCTGCAGAAAGGTGCTCTCCAAGCGGTAAAAACAGAATAATTTGTGGAATAATCGTGCCAAGCGGGTGTCCATCACCGCCGGCTGTCATTCGGCCTGGGTTCGCTGCAGGCTGCTTCGATTCGTTCCCACCACAGAGCCAACACGACCAACGGCCCACGGTCCACGGCCCACGGCCAGCGGCACCAATCTTGGGCTTGCTATTCTTGTGGAACACGTCTGGAAGCGAGATAGCTTGTCGCTATGCGTTCCACGAAGTTTGTCTTCCATCGGAAGATTGGTGGGTCGATTACGCACGCACGCAGAGCGAAATAGTGGTATATCAATAACAGTGTCATATCGAAACGGCGGCTCGAAAATGCGGACGCAGACAGAAATACCGAACTTCAACCCTTTGATCTAGAGATGCAATTATATCTCAGACGTCTCGTCCGGAAGGCAGCTTCGGCATATCCGTAGCCTGAGAATTCTATCGTCCCGATTCCACAGAAGTAGTTGTGCCAGAAAAGCTGTGGCACCAGGTGTCGTATCTTATCATGCAGCAGACAGCTATGGTAAGCAGCTTCGGTGAATGCTGCATTTTGTGCTGCATCTTGCTGTTATAACATGCTCTCTACTACGATTGTTCTGTAGCACCGCATGAGCTTTGTCCTTGTACGGTATTGTGGTGCTTCTGTAGGCTGAGAGATTCATGTCAAGACAGTGCTGATCGGTTCTCATAGATTGGTGCATTATTTGGCTACTTTAACGCAGACTATTCGGCATCATTCAAGTGAGCCCATGGGTCCTTTTTTTTTTTTCCTTGATGCGCTTGCCTCCAAATATGTCCAGTCTGTGTTAGCAAGAGGACGGTCAGCCAAAGTAGCCGAAGCGAAATGACGTGCAACACAATGAGCTCAAAAAGCTCACAACTCGGCGGAGTACTTCAACTGCTGTCAGGGGTCCAGGGATCAGGGTATATATACGATGAATGGCTTGCTTCCGTGAGACAGAAGCGGGCGCCGGCACGGCGGCGACGAGATTGCCGTGGATGGAGAGGCACGGCTGAGGCTGCATGACAGTAATGACATTGACAGCCTGCTGCCCCTTACTTTCCCGACTCCAAGATGAGAAGACGAGCCGACTGATAAGATGGAGCTACTGCCGCGCGACGCCCCTGTCCATCGAGGGCTCCATCAAGGGACTCAGCATCCATGGCTTCAGAATCGGCGGCGCGGCGGGGGAGCCAAGGCAGGATGGGTAAACTGGCAATACTTATAGTGGGCGTGCCGCTTTCTATAAATATGGGGGCCTTTTACTGTTGGTTTCTCAGGGGGATTAAATACTTACTTCTAGGGAGGTTTGCTGATGTTGTTGCTGATGGTTGATTTTGTCAGCATCTAGGCAGGTGCATCATGTTGTGATAGATAAGGGATTATTGCGCTCATGGAGTGTGACGCGTCTAGTTATTAAAGTGTATGACTCGCCAATCATGAGCCCAGGGCGATTCCTGAGGAAGCCTGTGAATACCACTATAAAATGCTGTTGAGCTATACCTCAGAGTATGTTTCCCACTACAAGATGCATTTTAGTGGCCAACATGGCCTTCTAGGGTCCGGAAGAGGCCAAAAAAAAAAAAGGGCTGGACGGCGCGAAAAGTGAGCCCTAAAAGGAGTTTTGATAGCAAGAAAATGCCTCTCCCTTGTAGTAAATACTGGTAAAGAGCGGTAAGAAATGGAGTGTGTGTTGTGATATCAGGGGGGTATAGCGTGCATAATAAGGTGTGGCGCGTCCCTTCTTTTGAGTTGTGTAAGAGTTCAACACATCCGAAATCAGAGCCCTGCATGTAGTGTACGCTGCAGGGAGTGAAATTATTTCCGTTTTTTTTTCTATTTTTTTTTTCACAATCTTTTTGAGGGCTCTAAATGCCCTTGTCCATCCGCGGTAGCGTGCGGGTTTTGCGGCGCGTAAGCGCTCGCTTCATCCATCAGCCGGACACGATACGATCCGATGCAGTTACAGCCCAGACATGACGTGCTTTGTAAATGAATAGTAATTGTGCATCAAACCAAAAAGAAAAAAAAAAGAAAAAAACACAAGTTCTTTGCTCATGATAATCATGTTCCCCATCCTTGAAACTCGGCCATCCCCGCCGACTCGCGCAACCTTCTTTTAACCAAATATGACTCGAGTTCAGAATTCATGCGGACCCTCTTTTTAGACCCTAATTTATCGTCGCGTCGGCAGTAGGCCTGGCGAATCAGAAACGAGGCTCTCGCCCAACAAGGGTTGGCGCGGCTCTCGTATTCTGCGGCGGGACAGCCTGGCATGAAACAAGGGAAGATAAAAAAAAAAAAAAAGAAGAACGATGACGATAGCAAGGGTCTGGGAGGAGGATAAAAAGGGGAGCATATAATACTTTGTTTGATATCAGGCTCCGATTGGGATTTTTACATTAATTCTTGCCTTTTCTTCTCGTGCTTCTTTCTTTATTCTCTCTTCTTCTTCTTCCTGAAACATTTTTGCCGGATGCGGATCATCGCCAGTCATTCTTTCAGAACCAGCATTCATTCCTCCTTGTACGGTTGCATAACAATACACATCCCGTTCCCGACGCTGAACGATTGAGACATCGCGTTGCAAGCAGTTCTATGGATATACATTTCCAACACTTGATTCGAGGTTTTTAATCTCAGCCCGTGAATAAGACAACCTTGGCAACTTTTCGTCCTTCTCCGTTCTCCAGACGCCAATCCCAAAATAATTAATCGAATCTCTTTTTTTGTTTTTTCTTCTTCTCAGCTTTTCGACATGGAAAAGTCTGGCAGCTGGCGCGAATTCCCCTCGACGCTCCTCCAGGGCGGACGCTCCCCGCGCGCAGTACGCGTCGCCGCTTTTACCATTCTCATCCTCTTCCTTGTCCTCGTCTACGGCGGCAGCAGCAGCACCAGGGCCAGTTTCGGGAATCACAGGCGCCCTGCCGAGCCGGCAGCCACTGGCGGAGTCCCGCGTCCGTCGCGCGACCAGCAGCGTCTCATGGACGCGGCGAGCAACGCGACGCTCGGCTTCAGCTCGATTCAATTCATCAACCTTCCCGGCCGCTTCGACCGCCTCGACGCGGCCTCGCTGCAGGCCTGGCTTGCGGGCATCGACATCACCGAGACGCCCGGCGTGCTGGCGGCCGACATTAACGACGTGGGCATGCCCCCGGAGCATTCGGCACGCCTCAGAAAGGAGGAAAAGGGTTGCTGGCGCGCCCATGCCAATGTACGTTTGGAATCCCTCGAAGACGCGACCCCCCCCCCCCCCCACATCCCAAAGAAGGAAAAGAATCAGAAGAAGAGGAAGGAAAAGAATCAGAAGAAGAAGAAGAAAACGGACGAGATGGGGCGGCGCCGTTGAAAGGCAAAGCCAAAAAAAAAAGTGTGGCGCCCGCTAACGTTGAACCTGCAGATCTGGAGCCAGATGCTCCGGGACAAGTCCCCCGCCGTCCTTATCCTCGAATCCGACGCCTCCTGGGACATCGAGGTCCGCGAGTCGATGAGCCTCCTCAACCAGCATTTTAGCCGTCTCCTCGACAAGGTGCAGTCGAGGCCGCTCCCCAACCACGGCTTCCTCAACCGCCCGTCCACCTCGGTCACCCCTCCTCCTGCTGCTGCTGCTGCTACCACTACCGCCGCAGCCCCCCCGCCGCCACCGCCGCCGCCGGCGCCGGCGCCGGCGCACCCCGACGACCCCTGGCAAAGCACGCACTGGGATCTCCTCTCCCTGGGCCAATGCTGGGAGGGTCCCGATAACAAGAACGTTTCCGTGCGCTACCCAGACCCGCACGTCGCCCCGGGCATCGACTACTGGGGCGAGGAGCTCGGCGCCGAGCGCGTCGTCCGACAATCCGGCGGCATCGTCTGCACCACCGCCTACGCCGTCTCCCAGACCGGCGCCGCCAAGCTCCTCCTGCGCACCGCCCTCGACCTCGACAACCCCGTCGATCTCATCATGCGCCTCATGATTCAGGCCGGCGACCTCGTCACCTACAGCGTCACCCCGACCGTCTTTGCGCAGTGGGAGTACCGCGACGACATTGGCATGCGCGAGCGCGGCGCAAACAGCGACATCAACAGCCCCGACGGCGACGGCGAGCCCAACCTCTCCGGCTGGGAGGCCGTCAAGCACACGGGCAGCGTCTGGCGGAAAAAGGAGGGCCACACCAGCATCTCCTTCAAGGATATGGCCCTCGAGAGGGCTTGGGGCTTCATCTTTGGCCAGGAGACGACGCTGGAAAGGAGCCAGGCTTGATGAGGCCGATGAGGCAGTTTTGATAAGAGGGGGAGAAAAGATGTCGCTGGCTGGTCATCTCCCCTTGCTGCAGAGCAGACAGGATGAGGCTTGGGGCTAATTCGAGGGCGAAGCGCCAGTCATCTTGTCCATGCCGATATACGCGTAGGATATTACATTAGCTGTTTGAATTTTTTGTACTTTTTTCTTTTTTCTTCTTTTTTCTTATATGTATCTTGTACGTTTTAGCCTAAATGTCAGCACATGAATCTCCTTTTCATCTACGTCATGTACATGGTATCAAGTTCCATTTATACAGAGAGACACGCCAACGTCGTCATATTTACCTACCTATACACAATTGTCACAGGTGCAAAGCAAGAGGCATGTGAACCTACCTATACACAACTGTCACAAGTGCAAAGCAAGAGGCATGTGACCGACGAGACAGCAGGCAGGATCAAGAGTTTCCATTTAGCGCAGGCATACATAGCCTGAGTAATACTAGTAAAGGAAGACTACCTAAGCAAAGTGCAAAGTGCTTTGACATCCCAAAAGAGAAAAAAAAATCAGGGTCCTATTTATATCCCGTTCTCGTGCTTGCATTGAAGCATCGGATGCCCCCGCCATTCGAGGTGCGTAGTTGGAGTTCCATACTCCAACCCAAGAGAGATATCAAGCTACTAGAGTAGCCATATCCCAGTGTCCTCCCATTGAGATATTCGAGGGCTCTATTGAGCCGCCTAATCATCTCCTTCTATATAAAGCATATTGGTTTGTTGCCTCCAGGCCGCCATCAATAGGCAAGCCAAAAGGTATTATCTTGTGGTGTCGTAGAGCATTGCGGCATCTGATAATTCACTGTTCAACAGCCAAGCCAGAGCAAGATGCCAAGGTTGAAGCGTCAAGCAGAAAACTTTCCACAAAAGTAAGAAAAAATAAGGTGTTGAACTGGTTCGAGACGATGGCCAGCAAAAGGGTATGTGCAAGAAGATAAAAAGTAGCAGAAGCGAACGACAAAAAGCCATTAAAAGAGATACCAGGAGAAACGTAGAGTGACAGAGTCATAAAAGTTCCTGCCGGGCAAGTGATGGTTGAGCTTCGCGCTGCGGGGGTATCTGCCCAAATGCCAATTGTTGCCAGAGACCAGAGAAAAAAAAATGCAAGGGTTGAAGGGGAGAAAAGCACAATAAGCGAGTGTTGTGAACTCTAAGAACTGGCCGCGATGAAAACGTTTTCGCCGTCAATAAAAGTAGCGTGTGATGCGTATTCCTTTTGGCCCAGCCAAGTTGACCGAGTGCATTTTGATATCCGAACCCAGTTGAATAACAGTAAGAGGAAAGGAGGAAAAGAGAAGAAAAAGAAGCCGCACCAAGATAACGCCGTGCATGCAAATCGTATTATACAGAACCGAGTCGTAGAAGAGCCTCGACAGCCTCACGCTCCTGAGTGCCAGAGGCAGCAGCAAGAGCTATCATGTCGAAGCCAGAGGGAGGGAGACGAGCCATGCCGGACCGGCCGGAAAAGGCGCGCATGCCTGTGGCATTGTACGTGTGCGAGACGGGCACGTCGGGACTGGACAGGGCGGCGGCCATGTTGGGGTACGATTCGGCGCGTAGAGCGGCGGCACCCATGGCGGCCCAGTCCTCGTCGTCGGTCACGTCCTCGGGGTCGTCATTCATGGTGACATCGTCGTCGGGGGCCTCGGAGCACGAAGCGGACTCGTAACCGTCCATCGACATTTTGTCAGCTTCGTCCTCCATCATGGGGATGCCGTCATGGTCGTCGTGGGAGAAGTGAAATGCTTCACCACTGGAACCAAAAATGTTTGCCCTGGCCCTCTCTTGGGCTTTGAGGGCATTCCTGGAGATGGGGATGCCGCCATTAGGCAAGGACCGGGGCGGGGTGGCCTCGTGGTCACGTCCTGGGAGTCCTCGTCGCTTGGCGTTCCACCGTCCCCAGCCGACCTTTTCGAAATCAACATCGTTGTCGCCGAGCGCGCCGTCTCCACGGCCCTCGAGGGCACCGACGACCAAGCGGCGAGCCTTGGTTGGGGGGATGCCGGAGAAGCCGGGAACCGATGTGGTCAGGTAGCCCATGATGTGCCGTATCGCCAGAGGTCCGTGGTTGAGCAGGATCTCGGGGAGGTGATAGGTGGCCAGCATGGCGCTGGTTATGGTACCCGACGGATCATGATGGGGAGAGACGGAGCGCTTTGGGCCGTTGGCGTCTTCGTGAAGGTCCAAGTCGGAGTCGATGGGCTCGAGCTTGGCCGCCTGTTGCAGCTGGGCCTTGAGGCCGTGTGCAGGAAGAGCCGGGGAGATGGAGTTGGGAGGAGTCGGAAGGTTATGAGATCGTGCCACAGTCGCCAGGTCGCTCCGATCCGCTACAACAGTCAAGTTGTCTCGGTTCAAGGAGGCCTGGGGGATGTCACGAGCAGCTGCTGCCATGGAAGCCATGATGTATGTACCAGGTGTATAAGAGGGCTTCAGAACAATCTGTCAGAGATCAGCGCGTGTTGACAGACGAGGGAGGTAATGTCGGTGGCAGAGATGAGGGAGATGGAGATGAAAAGGGTGATGCGGCGCGAGCACGGGCGACGTGACCGACTTTGCGAGGGTTGCGATGCAGGAGCGGGAGGCGAGATGCTGTTGAGTCACTGCGGCCAGGGTACGTACCTAGACTGTTCCGAAGCGAAAGTTGGCGAAACTGGTAAAACTTGAGCTTGATAGAAAAGGACAAATTATTTGTATGGACAGGCTGGCAGGGCTGGCGCGACTCTCTGGACTGTGACAGATGACTCTCGATGGTTATTATAGGATGGGTGCGTTGTTGTTGTTGCTTTGAAGAAGAGGAGGGAAGGATGGAGGCGCGGCGAGGAGGAGACACGAGTTATGTATAGCAGGCAAGCCAGCGGACACAGCGCTGTATCCCTACCTACTACTTACCTAGGCTGTAGCGAAACGCTGGAACGGATGGTGCGCCAGGCCAACATGGCGGATATTGGGGGGTCTGATTTGGCTTGGGGGGTACGTGTCTGAAGAAAGCGGTTATTAATCCAGAAGTATTTGCTGCTCGGTTTAGCCGCGAAAAGTGACCTTTATGTTTTGCCATCCAGAGTCTGGAGAGGCCGAGCGAGCCACGCCAGCCTGAGCCACAGCCTAACTGGAGGTACTTGAATGGCGATGTACAACTTCTCTGCGGGAGTGCCACGGCAGGTGACAGAGCGCGCCGGTTTGGATGCCAACCATCCACAAGATGTGAAGATAGAGGTACTTCTCAGCTATGCCTATGCTGCGGCATTTCGCAAGTACCCTCTTGCGACATGGTGTCGTCAGTGTGGAGGGTGTGCGCTCAGAGCCCCGCTATTCTTGGTGCCATGGGGCGTCGATGCAGTGGCGTTGCCCCGACGGGAGGTACTTGTACGCCACGTACTGCTTGCGCGCTCTTGATATGACGGCTGACACATGAATTATATCCCATGACTCCCATGACTCCCAGCCGCCAGTGCACGCTCCTTGTCCTCCCTCGCCTCGGGAAGTGCTAGTTAGAAAATGCAGCTTGTTCATTCTGTTGACGGCCCATGTTTGTGCGCTCTGCCAAATGCAAGAAATCTCCCCTCACTTACCCGTCTTGTGTTGCCTTGCAAACGCCCTGCGTCACATTGACTGACTCCCCAACGCACTGGAGAACGGCGCAAACCGCCTGCGCGGAGGCCACTGGCCAGTAAGCTGACTTCCTGGCAGCAACACTGCATAAGGTAACTCAATGCCCACTGCCGAAATCGCAAAGTAAACTTCCCGACGGGCATGTCACTTTTTTGCCCTAATCATTTTCGTGCACTTTTTTTCTCTTTTCACTCTGTTTGTGCGTGGTGCATCGAGTCACGTCCCAGTGTTGCTTTTCCCCACGCGCGCGCGATCGGAGCTTCTCGGCCAACAGCGCGGACAACGTGCGCGCACCAGTCGATGGCAATCGTGGGGACGTAGAAAACTAAAATACAAAACTACCATTCTAGTTTGGAAGCAAAAACGGTTACAGTGCCTACAGTAGTGTGCCATGGCTATTGATTGCGTGCATCTAGCAACTGCGTCAGGTTCGTGGCGCATGTTGTCGTCTCTTTGCGCGTATGACTGTACCCAAGTACTGACTGCCGTCCTGCCAGGAAAAGTCTCCGAGTATGACAAGACCAAATGTCCGCGTACAGAAGAAATACACGTTGCCCGAGGTATAACAAGACAAGCTGTCCACAGTTACACGTCGCACCGCATTCACTTGCCTCTTGAACACATGTTTAACTTGAGAAGTGTACTTATTAGGCACCTTGTCAAGCATCAAGCAATGCCTCGGGGCGTCACAGCAGCTAACGATAGGTGCCTTAGGTACTGCCTTCAGCCGCCCCCACACTCTGCTCCTCCCGCTAGCATTACAGCGCATTTACAGCGCCTGTCGCGCCCATTACCTCACGCACATGCCCTCCACGATTCGTCCATTCGCCAATTCAACCTTTAGCCATCGGCTCATCGTCCCAGTTCGAGCATTGAAAAAATTGCCAAAAAAAAAAAGAGTGTCATCTGCGTCATTCTTTTCTGGTGCCCTTCTACAATCATATTCTGCTCAAGACACCATGTGTGTCCGCCAACAACCCTTCACCACGTTCTTCCCCCTTTCCGTCTAAGTCGGGGCCTCCCCCTTATCATCTAGTCTGATTACCTTCATTTCAACACCCAAGCTTTTTTTCTATTTACAAAGTATGCTCCTGTATCAATATCCCTCCCTAGTTCTATTTACCTCTTTCCTTGTAATAATGGCCCGAGTCAGTGAAGAATCACATCTTCTTCTCTCGTTATTAGGCCGCATGTCATCAAGGGCTCTTCAACCCACTCCTGCCTCGCCTCTTCTGCCCTAAAACTGACGTGCATGCACAGGATCCATCCTCGCTCTCTTTCTGAAAATAGCCCATCGAACAGAGTTGGTCCATATTATTCCCAAAGTTGCCAGGGGGGCGTGTGTGTAACCGGCCCCAGAAGCCCCAGTGCAGGTTGAGTCTTGGCTCCCTCTCCAGAGCCCAGTTGACAACTCGTGGTCGCTCCCAATGGCTCATGACGCGCCGTAGAATGGAGCCTTTTCTTCGTTTTGACTTGTCAAGCAAGCCCAATAAAAAAAAATAACTTAATGACCAAATAACTGTTGAAAATCTGTGAGCCATTTCCAAAGCCTTTGACAATGCCTGCTTTACCCGAACGCTAGTTTGGCGCGTCTTGGTTTGCATTGCCAAATCAAGCCCTTCCTTATCACAATCATTGACACCTACTGTAGTGTACTGTGCGTATAGAGCGACGCTCAGTTATCGCGTCTTGGCTTTGACTGCAACTCTCCAGCCCACTTCCCCGCGCCGCCCGGCTGAGATAACACCGGGAGCCGAGCGTCATTTTATCTCAATTTCACTCTTTCACTTTTTGTGTGCGATTGCCTCGGAAAGCCCTAAACCCATTGCCAAATCGAATTCCACCCTCGTATTTGTCCAACCGCAGCCTCGACGAGTCGACGGTCCGACTGGGTCAACCACCCCGCGCATCCGGCTCTGGTAACGCGGAACCACACCTGCATTATTCATTGATTTCGGTCGGAGCTTTTATTTCCATTGCAGCTGAATTCGGGTGACAATCGTAAAGTACATCATTGTTTCTGTCATGTATAAAACACCTCAGTACCATGGTGCTGCCAGCTCACACTTCATTGGCCGCATTTGCGATATAAAATCCCGACTCCACGCAGACAACCTCAGCAAACCCTAGGTACCTAGCTCTGTCATCGCCGACGAGCACAACCCCGCTCTGCAGCATGGCCTGTTGCATGGCAGCTCAATACGCTCAACACGCCGAGCTTCCAAGCCTTCCATTGCTCCCTCGTGCAGCTTGCCCCTCCCCCTCCCGCTGCCCAAATCCAGCGAGGCAGCATCGTCGGACCACTAACAAACCACGACAGTCCGACACATGCCCATAAGAATTTTCGCGTGGCGTACTTATTTTATTCTACATCCATCGGTGGTATTCCAATATATTCCGTCATTTCTAGTCTAGTCGTGTGCCCGTCGTCATCCAGGCTGGCCAAACACAAACTCGCGGCACGCCCGCTTCAGTACGCTCAACCTTTCTTGAGACTGCATAAATACTTGTCTGTATTGTGAGATGCTTTCCCGTAACATGGCGTCTTTGCTTAGCCGGCCCTCGCATATCGCCTTCATCTTGAGCTCCATCTCTTTTCGTAAAAATGGCTTGCCCAGACTCGTATCAAAGTCCATCCGGTCAAAGCCTAGAATCAAGGCCACGCCCAGCTGCGTCGGCACAAACACCTTGATATTGCCTCCTCTTCCTCGTCCCGTAGCTCCACCGCCGTCACGCCCGCCCCTTCCGCGACCCCGTTCACGCCCACGACCGCGACCACGTATGCCTCTGCCTGCTTGCGCGCCATTGTCGCCATCGCCATCGTCATCATTGCCGCCGCCTGTTGCACCAGAACGGTCAATCGTCGCCACGTATTCTCGGTCCTGGATCTTCTGAATATGTTCAGCCATGGTCGCATCCGTGCCGATACCGTTGGCATCCATCAGTGCAATAAGATCTGCTTCAGTGAGATACGATGGTGGTCCTGTCTTTCCCTCTGTCATCATGGCCTCTGTCGGTTCAAACTGCTCCCCAACCGTGAATTTGGGCAGCTCTGCCGTGTCGTTCCACTTCTCGTATACGTAGACGTCGAGATAGTTCCTTTCCAAGACAATAACCCCACGAGTGCTGAACATTTCTTCGCCGTATTGCAGATCGATTTCTGTCGCGGAGCCTTTGGCATCTTCTGAGCAGCAAGCGAGGAAGCGTCTCACGACATACTCGTACAAGCGACCTTCATCGTAGTTCAAAACGCTCGGTGCGGCATAAGTAATAGGATGAATGGGCGGATGCGCTTTGTCATCGTGCCTTCCTTCGCGTGGCTGCTGAAACCCTCCGTTCACAAGACCTTGAGCAAAGTCACCCCAGCGCTGGTCGGGCGTCTGCTTCTGTACCAACGCACGCAAATTCATGCCCTTGTCGAAGCGGTCCGTCTCTGTTCTTGGGTAGCTGATGAATCCTTTATTATAGAGGCCTTCGGCAATTGTCATGGCCTGCTGGCCACTCATTCGGAGCAGACGAGTGGCTGCCTTTTGCAGCTCGACTGTGGTAAGTGGTAGTGGCTTAAACTTGCGCGTTGGCTTTTCCTGAACCTTGGTAATCTTTGCCATTTTTGCAGCCAAGCATCTTTCATATAGAATAATGGTTGTCATGCGATCGAAAAGCCGATATCGTGACCAGCTAAAAATGGCTTGCTTGCCTTCACGGCTGTGGGTTACCTTGATGCCCCAGAAAGGCTCCGGGACGAAGTTCTTGACGCGAAAGTACCGATCCACAACGAAGCCAAGAGTAGGGAATTGACATGAGCCTTGAAGCGCACAAGTCAGCACACGGACCGTTTGAATCACACAAAGAGCCAGGCTCACCATAACTGAGTGTCAAATTTTCCATCGGTCCACCTAGCGGCCGTAGATTGTTGGTCATGAAACGTGTGAAGGCGTAGCCAATGCGCAGGTCTAGTTCTATTCGTGCTGCCACAGCATTCACTTGCCTCACATCGAGGTCTATCAGCCGCATAGCAGCAGATAAGACGTGCCTATACAAAGTCAGTGCATGCTGGCGGGAGCGGGGTTAGAGTGTAGCATCTTACGCCCTTTCGATATTGCTGAAGCGAGCACGTTTGACCTGGAGCTGCGCATTGCCCTTTTTGGCAGCATCTACAATTTCCTGGCCAATGTGTTCTCCTTCGCGATCGCAATCCGTCCAGATGACGAGAAGGCGCGCATACCTTGCCTGATCCGCCAAATTCTGTGCAATATTCTTCTTATCCTGAAAGCAGTTAGAGCTTGTGTCCTTGACCGAACGTATTGGATGTCATACTTGGTATACGTTGCTAATGACTGGCGCGTTAAAGAGCGACTCTGGGGGCGGGAAACTCCAGTTCTTGTGCTCGGCAGTAAACTCGAGGTTGGTGAGGTGCCCAGACACGCAAGTCATTGTGACGGAGCATTGGCCATATGGCGGTCCGAAATTGAAATCAAAGGCGTAATTCTTGACATATTGATTGCGAGTGTTGTGCTAAAGGATGCGGCGTTTGTGCATTAGTCGTTGTTTCGCCATCCGCCGCCCATGTATACTCACGGTCTGAAATTGGCCTCCGGAGAGATGGCTAGCTACCGCCTTTGAAATGGATGGTTTCTCAGCCACGCACAGAACCCGCATTTTGTAAGTATGTGCTTTTGTATGTGCCTTTTATTTTACGTGGCTTTATGAACGTCGTGGCCCGTGATATGCAGACTGGCTCATTCTCACTTAGCCTGCAAACGCGTCGCGTGATGACAATCGTGCAGCTGTACCACCCCTGTCGCATGGGCCAATCGCATGATGATGGCGTTGATTTTCGGTCATTCAAGTTTCAGGGCTTCATACTGGGCGATTCACAGACTTTCTTGTGATATATTTCGTTGCGTCCCACGCATGTTCATGAATGTCGGAAGAGCGAGCCAGAGACTGCCAAATTTAGGTGGGCAGCTAGCTGGCAGCTCGTCGCGACCCACCCAAGCTCCAGCGCCACCATTGAGGTGAGGAACGTTCTCTATAACATTGTTAGATATTTAGATGACAAGAAAAAATCACAATTCACAAGTACTAGAATTGCAGATATATCTCTTATAGATTGAAATTATAGCCAATATCGTAGAGCCTGCGCCCAACCCTAACAACAAGGCAGGTGTTCCCGACAACCTAGCGTATGATGACGTCCCACAAGGGTGATTAGGCTGTGGCAAGACAACCTCCACCCTCTATGACGCGCCGGGCCCCTTCTCGCTTTCAACAACTTCTTCTCTGCGCATCCATCACCTAAAACCAGCCCGATCCCAGGGGCGCGATACCGTACTTTCGGAGCCATGATTCCTGCCATCTTGTCTATCGAGGACTGCGCCGACTACTCCAAGACGGTGCAGCCCTTCCTCCCCCAGCTCTATGCCCTGCCGCAGGTGCTCATGAACAACGGCGCCAACCTCGCCGGCCTCAAAGACATTTACCTCCAAACGAACCCGCTCGTCACCGGATTTTCCTTTTCTGTCCTGCTTGGCGCCGTCTTCCTTGCCGTCTCGGAGCTCAATCGCAACTACTCCCAGGTCGACCGCCTGTGGAGCATCCTGCCCAACCTCTATGTCATTCACTTTGCCGTCTGGGCCCGTCTCGCTGGCCTGCCGTATCATCGCCTAGATCTGGTAGCAATCGCTACTACCGCTTGGAGTGTATGTTTATTTGTTATTCACCTCGATTGCGTTTCACTAAACAATGTCTGCAGATTCGCCTCACCTTCAATTACTGGCGCAAGGGCGGTTACAACGTTGGCTCTGAGGACTACAGATGGTGAGCTGATGCACCAAGACCAAGTCACGTCACGAATTAACATCATCACAGGTGCATCGTTATGAAGCATGTGTCCAAGCCCGTTTTCTTTCTCTTCAACGTCACCTTCATCTCCTTTATCCAGAGCGTTCTGCTCTTTGCTTTCTCTGCCGCCCCCACCTATAACATTCTTCTCAGCACGCGCTTCGAGCCCGAGATCACCAAAGCCGACTGGATGTACTTTTACATCATTCTGAGTCTCGTGCTGAGCGAATGGATCAGTGACGGCCAGCAGTGGGGTATGTCTTCTCTCTCACCCCGAACAAGAAATCCGCAATACTAACACAGCACCAAGACTACCACCAGGCCAAGCACTCGTACCTCAAGACGGCCAAGGTTCCCAAGGGCTGGTTCCAGGAGGAGCTTGACCGTGGCTTCCTCACCAGCGGCATGTGGGCCTACAGTAGACACCCCAACTTTCTCGCTGAGCAGGCCATCTGGTTCGTCCTCTACCAGTGGAGCTGCTTCGCCACCAACACCCTCTACAGCTGGGCCGGCGCCGGCTCCTTGGCCCTGATTGCCCTCTTCCAGGGGTCTACCTGGCTCACGGAGCTCATATCTTCTGGAAAATACTCCGAGTATACTCACTATCAGAAGCAGGTGGGCATGTTCATACCCACATCGTTCAAGGGCTACACGCCGCCCGCCCCCAAGACGCCCAAGGTTATCCGCACGAGCGAACTCGCCAAGCATCTGGAAGAGAAGGAGAAACAAAAGCAGTGACTGATACATGCCCGACTCGACACAGAAGACCTTTTTCCCCTTTAGCTCACTCGGGGCTTTTCGAGATTTCAGAGTATGACTCACTCACTGGAGTTCTCTGGAGAATCTGGGCAAATTGGTGAAAAAGTTTGATACCCCCAGAATATCAGTCTATAAGATTCTCCGATTCTAGTAGTCTAGGTCGTTTCTCGTCTAGTAATAACACTCTTATGCGCATTCCCGCAAGTCGCTCAGCTTGTCAGCGTAGAACGCAGGCACAGCTATGGCATCCTTGGCCTCCCAGTCCGCTTTTGTATTGACACCCGTCAGCACATGTAAAGTGCCGCCCAGCTTGCCATCGATGCCAAACTTGATGTCCGTGTTCAGCCTGTCGCCGACCATGCACGTGCGCGCGCGGTCGAGCTGGAACTTGCCCTCGACGGCGTCCATCATGGCCTGGCTGGGCTTGCCGAGTGAAAGCGGCGACTCGCCCATGGCGTTTGCCAGTGGCACGCTGCAGGAGCCCGCGCCGAGGAAGAGGTCGCGGTGCATGGGCAGCGTCGAGTCGGTGTTTGTGGCGAGGAAGCGCGCGCCGCGGCGGAGGTAGTGCAGCCCGTGAACCAGCTTGAGGTAGTTGATGTGGAAGTCGAGGCCGCACAGCACGGCGCCGACCTCGGGATCCAGCAGCGACCCGTCAGCCAGGCCGGCAAAGTCGGCGGGGGTAATATCCCGGCGGAAGGCGGGGTCCGTGCCGCCGATGAACGGGACGCCCTCGGACGCGAGCTCCTGCTCCGCGCCGGCTTCGCCAATGACGTAGACCTTGTTTTTGCCGGCGGGGAGCTTCAGGATGCGCGCGATGTAGACGGCGGCCGAGTAGGACGAGCCAAAGACGTCGTCGGGGCTGGCCTCGATGCCCATGCCGGCAATCTTGTTGACGTAGTCTTGGCGCGATTTGGTGGAGTTGTTTGTCACAAAAACTATCCTCTTTCCTGTGAATTGCTTTGTTCAGGGGCGTGGATTTCAGGTAGATTTTTTAGTTTGCAATATGTATCCTACCTTTTGACCGCAGAAGTAGCAGCGTTTCCGGAACTCCCTCAAAGACATGGTCTCCAGACCACAGCACACCTGGCCTCATGGTTTCAGCTAAAGCGTTCGCCATACATATCAAGAAGAAGCGCCGGCCGAGTACTCACCATCGCAGTCAAATAAAAAAGTCTACATTACAGCATCAAATGGTTCAGTTAGTTTTATGTACGCAGTGCTTCGCTCGGGGGCTCAAATAACGCACATCAAACTTGGCGATAAAGTCTTTGATACCAGCACCGTCTCCGGTGAGATATTTCGGCGAGGCGGCCATCTTTGGGGAAAACTTTTGAGATTTGAAAAGACAAAAGCAAGGTGCTTGAAAGTCAAGCGGTAACGGAATTTGAATTCGGTGCAAAAAATGGTTGAGTGAGACACGAGTCGGGAAACGGTGAGACTCGCATCTTGGTCCAAGACAGAGTGATTAGTCATGAACTCATCAGCGGGATACCGAGCACCGAGACCGGGAAAGATTCGCGAATAGTGCATAATGGCATCGATCTCTTACCGAAAGTGATTCTTTCGACTATCCCACAAATTATGAGCTGTACAGTGCATTCGCTTCCGCAGAGCTCTCCTCCGTGCCGGATGAACAAAATTACAGGTTCGTTCCGGGTAGTGGGCGACCAGGCAACGTACCGCGACCCGCCGGGAGCTAAAGGTACAGCCACCTCTCTTTGTCAAGGGGTTCGACAAAGCAGAAAAAGCCAATAGTGTTACGCGAGACAATGCATATTTTAATCATTTACATGCTACCCTGAAACTCGATTAAAATGGAAAGCGCGGCGCATCAATAACAAAGCTCGACGCCCCGCCATCGGCGTCCTTGTTCCACGGATCAAAGTCCGACTCGCAGACCGTCTCGTGAGACGGCACCTTGCCCGTGTCCATGTAGTCCCGCGCGATGCCTCTGGTGCACTCGCTGTTGGCGGACCCAAGAGCGCAGTGGCCCATTGACTCCTGCACCACCACCGCAGCGCCCGGATGCTGCGCGGCCATTCTGCGCGCCGACCGCAGCGGGGTGACGGGGTCGAGGCGGCTGGACAGGAAGAGCAGCGGCGCCGCGGGCTTGCCCTTTACGGGCCGTCCGCGCGACGTCCTCTCGTAGCGCGGCGTCGTAAAGGGCCCGTTGAAGGACCAATGGCGCGGGAAGCGAAATCCGGCGCACGGCAGGCGAATCTTGGACCAGAAGCTGCCAAACGTCTTGGAGGTCCTGCTCTCGCTGGCGACAAAGTCGCGCCACCAGGTCAGGTTCCTGCCCGTCACGTCCTCGCCGTCGGCGCAGCGCGTGGCGATGCTGGCCTCGTTGACGGCGAGCTGCATGACGGGCACGCGGATGCTGTCCCCGACGGCGCACGCGTCGCGGAGGTGCGGGAACGCGCCAATCTTGTCGAGGAGCTGCACAAACGACGTTGCGTTGCCGGCGAGCAGGTCGGCCAGGGAGGCGGCTAGCGGTTTGAAGGAGGTGCCGGGCGAGTAGCTGGTAATGGCAGAGGCCATGCGCACGTCGGCGGCGGTCAGGGCGGAGAAGCCGCCGCCGGGCGTCGTGATGGGCACGGGCTCGTCGGCGAGGGCGGCGACGTAGTCTTCCACCCGGGCCTGGATGTCGGCGCCCGACTTGTCGCTGGGCTGCACGAGCGGGCAGACAGATGCGCCGGCAGCATGGCAGCTAGTGTAAAAGTGGGAGGTGATGTTGTCAGCATCAATCGTGCTAGTGATCCAGCCCTGCAAGAAACGGCACGTTAAAAAAGGAGCCGAAAGAAAGAGGCTGAAAGCGCAAACTTACAGGTCCCGACGAGTAGTCCTTGGCATCAACAACGCCGTCGAGAATAAGGCGGCCAACACGCTCAGGAAATAACGACGCAAAGTAGTTACCCAGGATGGTACCATACGAATAGCCAACGTACTGCAGACGTGGGACGTCCTTCTTGTGATGCCCTCTCTTTCGCAGTTCGACACGGTCATTGTCGTCGACGCCCTCGTCTAGTTCCACCCTCTCCTCCTTGAGGTGCTCGTCAATCTTGTCCACAATCTGGACCATGTCGCGCGCGACACTCGGCGTACTCATGAAGCCCATAATCTCCGCGCCGGGCGTGCCCGCCTCATCTTCCGCGGCGCACTTTTGCAGGAAGCTCTTGTACATGCCGAGTATGCGGGGCACGGCCGACGGCTCGGACCCATCGAGAATGCCGACGCCGCGCTCCTCGTACGCAAAGGCGTCGCGTGCGAGGTCGTTGTGCGGGAGGCAGTTGGCGCGCGGCCAGCTGCGGCCGACGCCGCGCGGGTCAAACGACAAAATCTCGTAGTGCCGCTCGCCGGGCTTGTCGAGGGCGTCGCGGAGCTTGCGCCCGCCGCCTCCGCGCAGGCTGTCAACGCCGGAGCCGCCCGGGCCGCCGGGATTTGTGAGGATCGTGCCGCCAAAAGCCGGGTCCGAGACGGGCACGACGGCCGGCAGCCGAATCACGGCCAGCACGACAAGACGCGGGTCGGTCTCGTCCTTCCAGTCCATGGGCACCGTCAGGCGCGCACACTCGAAGCCGTCGTAGCAGGGCCGGTACGAGAGCACCGTCGAGGGCGGCAGCTTATCCCAGTCAAAGCTGCTCGCGGCGTCGCCTGGCGCCTGCTGCTGGCCCTGTGCCAAGGCGGCAAGGCCCGCCAATACTGCTCCAGAGTATCGCATTTTTTGTAGAGAGAGACGCCACTCTTCGTGATGGCCTGATCTGAGGAGCAGACAGAGCCGGGGCAAAGAAAAAAGAGAGGAGATGTGCCCGATCAAAGGCTGCGGCGAGGCTGGGATAAGATGATGGTCAGGTCATGGCGAGCGGAGTCGGGCGACTGCTAGCGCTCGGCTTCGGCACCCGATTACACAGATCAGGCTGCAAGTTTCAAGTCTTTGGTCGTCATTGCTTAACAAAAGGAGCGACATGATTGATTGATTGTGCGTCTAGACTCCAGATGCGATTTTGACTAGAGATGGAAGGACAGAGACTGATGTGGGATGAACAGAGTACAATCTCAAACCGCCAGTAGACCAAAAGCCCGACTGGTACCAAACTAGCGGATCGCGAACTCACTACGGAGTACGGAGTATTAATACTGTCTATCCAGTCTCCGACGCACTGTGCGATGGATCTCACACCGCAGCCTGGGCGGCGTATTCGTATACCGTCTCCGTACTCGGATTATATCTAGGTATTCGCGAACTAATGCATTTGAGGCTTGGACTAGCAACTCCAAAGAATCCCCGCTATATTTGGCTTTGAAACTGACACTAACTTTTGCTATCCGTCTAATTTTGTGCATGGTGAAAAAGTTTCGTATAGCGTTTGTTCGGAGTTTTCGGCGTGGCGTGCGCGCAAGACGCGGGGTCCTTCCTAAAAAGTCCTAGAAAGGGGCGGTCCCTGGATAACAAGAAAAAGCATTGCCTCTCGGCGTCGTCTATTAGATTACAAGTATGACTCCCAACAATAATGTATAAAAACCGCAATAAACCGCAATGCTCGTAAATGAAGGGGCAAGTCTCCCTCGCAGTGAATGCTGTTGGTTCCGAATTTAATCGCTCTTCTTCTTTGGAGGAATCGGGTTGCCCTTATCGTCAACGAGCCCCTTTTCGCGCATCACGCGCAAAGCGTCGTGAATAGGGTCTAGCTCTGGTCGCGGCTCGCGGTGCGAGTCAAAGTAGTTGTCGGCCCAGGTGAAATACTGGCCGTAGTTGCATGTAAAGTACATGTGGTGAAGAGTATGGTGGGCCGGACTGTTGATGAACTTTTCCGACCAGGTGCCCGTGATCATGTCGCCGTCGTGGATGAAGATGGTCCAGAGCTGCACGAGAATGAAGAGTACGGCGTAGAGGTACTTTTGCATAGGGCAAATAAAGACAAAGATATGGTAAGGAGTCGACTGCAAGAATCCATCGACGGGGTGGAAAGCAATCGCAGCCCAGGGCGTGGGAACAATCCACTTGTGGTGAGGCTTGTGAACGTATTTGTAGATGCTGGGGTGGTGTTCGAGTCGGTGGATCCAGTAAATGAAGAAATCGTTGAAGATCATGTATATAATGGTCGAGACGAAGAGCCAGGGCCAGCCGTACTCATCGATGTGCGTGTAGAGAAGACTGTGGCCGCGGACCTCGGCGAGGAAAAAGGGCAAACTGAGAAGATCTATGACAGGAATGGCCCAGAGCGAAGACACAATTTCTTGGGAGATCTGGTTTTTGAGGAATCGAGGGTGGTACTCCAGTCGACGGTCGAAGATCAAGTAGTAGGAAAAGGCGGCGAAAATGAAGTAGATTGCGGCGGCACCAAAGCCCGCGACAAACAAAATCGAGGCGCATTGGCGTCGAATATCGTCGCGAGGCAGCGACGAGACAATGCACGATTCGATAGCCGAAGTGGCGACTTTTGCGGTGGCGTTGTGCGCAGCAACGGCGCTCAGCAGCGACGACGTCGACCATGAGGCGCTGCGAACGGCATCGCATGCAACGGCCGGGCCGGGAAAGAAATATGAATAGGCACGGTCGAAGACGAGGGGGTCGAGAATTTCGAGAGCGGTGTCCATTTTGTGCGACTGGTGTACCTCGCGCACGGCAAGGGACAGAACGAGCCAATGAAGCAAAAATAAAGAAAAAGTCGTAGTGGTAATAAAAGACGGTGGAACGAAGAGGAAAAATAGGTTGTTTGCCCGTCTAGATAAGATCAACACAATTTCATTTATTGACTAAGCTACTGCGCTCCACTTGCAGGCACGGGTTGAGCGGATGCCGGCTCAATTCCCCTCATGCCACTTTTTGCTTGCCTTACGAGTATTCGTTCCCGCCTGGCGCCTGCGGAAACCACAGTGCGAGATCTTCGCTAACACACTGTCCTGGTGGCGCCAGTCTCCCCTGACCGCAGCTCATTTGTGTTCCTCGACCGGGCCATCTCGGTCGCCGCAACACGCGTGAGCAAATGCACGTCGCACCTGAAGATTGCCATGTAACAGATAGTGAGGCCAGTCGCGCCGGGAATGTCGTGTAATTCCTTGTCGGCTGATTCGCAGACGGCGGAAATTAAGTAGGCCGAGCCTTTCCCCGTATTACACTGTTATTAGGGCGCCCTGTCGGCTGACGAAGCTGCCAGCTGCTCGACCTAGCAGTACTACGGCGGCCGAGTAGTGCAATACCGTTCATGATGGCTCATGCAGCCTGCCATATCGGGACGCAACGCGCATGCATCAGCACCATGCATTCACCACCACATGTATCCGTACTTTCGCTTCACGAAACATAAAGCTTTCAGTGCGTGACAATGAAACAAAAAAGC